TGGCCTTCGAGAAACCCGCAATTGCCGGTGGATGATGATGCGCGAATCTTTATGTACAAGTGAGTATTAGAAGAAAACAGTATATAGGCTACAAATATCCCCAGAACTCGCTTAATCGATAAGTGATGCAAAACCCCGGGGTTTAGATGTGGGTGAGATCGTGCCGGGAGGCGACGTGCGTGTAGACTGTTGCGGAGGGGTGCCAGGAATTATTTCAATGACTTTCTGAGGTTCTACTGGTAATCCATTAGGCTTACTACGAGGCCGCAGTGAAAATTCATCCCGCATAACAGATCGCGGAGATAGGACAGCTGGTTCGGGTTCGGGTTCGGGTTCGGATTCGAAATTACGCTTCGCGGGTAACTTGGAAGAAATTGCCGTCGAGGCCTTGGTAGCCTTAAATGTTGTACTGATAGTAGCCTTGGGAGCCTTGGAAACCTTCGGTTCTGTCTTCTTGCTCGATCTGGGTTTTCGCTTGGTTGCCTTCTTGGTATCCTTGGATATCGAGCTGGTAGTCGTAGATGCACTCGTGCTGGGAAACGCGAGCTTGCTTTGCTTCGATACTGGTTTGGCTACAGGCAAGGCAGCCCGTACCTTGGGGCTAGCGGATGGTGTTGGTATACCCTGAATATTCTCGATAGACTGCGGTTTCGCCTCAACGGGTGAAGCATCACGTGATTCTCCTTTGACCGATACACCAGCTTCAGGTGTAGTCTTTCTGATCTCTACCTCGAGCTTGACGCCACGGACATCTTCATTATACTTCTTTTCGTCAATCACCACAGCGTCGTCGGTGTTCTCGTCGTAGCGTGGTAAGTGGACCAATGAGGCAACATCGTCACATTTGCCTTGCACGACCAAATCCCAGCAATTCTTCAAATCGGCGCCCGTAGGTTCTGGATCCAGATTGATCCAGGCAGTAACACCGTCCTTTCGCTCTCGCGCCACGCGGCACATGTCTTTGACCATATTGCGCACGCCAGGAATCTTCATACTAGTGCCGACAACAATGACGGCATCAGGTCGAGCTCGAATATCGGCTCGAACAACATTGGCGATAGACTCCTCATCCGGATTATATTCGTTATAAAGGACCATCCGTGGTCGCAACCTCCCAATCCCATGACTACGCTTTCCGGCGTGAGAGGTACGTACATTGTCTGTCTCCTCGCATCCTTTGCAAAGCGGTGCTTCCGGGCCTTCAAAAAGCGAGCCGTCGAATTCGCTTATCTCGCTGCATTTAGAACACACCATTTTAGCTAGCCCACCGTGGAGCTGAATCGTCTTCGGCCACGGACCCTTTGTATTCAACGGAACGGTGGTGACGAGAGGTGGCATGGACGTATCGAGACCATCAACATTTTGTGTATAGAGACGTAATAAGCGACCCTCTTTAGCGAGCGACGCGATTAAATGGTGAAATGGAGTAGGTTCCGCATTCTTCGTAAGGTGCGATAGATCCCGGACCATTGTGTGAAAAGACGAGGTAGTAGAGTCGTGCTTGTAAACAGACGCGTCGAATAGGTGCTTGCCGGATCCCTTAAGGCCATGTTCTTTAGGCAGAGTAGCGAATAGACCCTTTGACGACCGGAAATCGGGAACTACGGTAAAAGGCATATTAGCAGGGGAATTGAAACATGGTGAATACTAAATATCCAGGGGAAAAAAAGAATACGTACTTCCTGCAGATACGGAGATTCCAGCGCCAGCAATTACTACAATTTTCTTCTTCTTGCGCAGGGCCTTCGTTAACTGCTCCAGCAGTTTCTCATCTTTCTCATTCTGCTCAGAGGCTGCCTTCAGATCGAGATATTCGGTAGTTCGAGGCTTGCGCTCAACGCGGCGTCGCTTTGCAGGTGGTGGGCCATCAGGGTTTACATGAATCTCGTTCTCGACGGAGACTTGGTCGGAGGGCTTCATTGGTGATGCGCTTCCAGAATTGACGGTTGAAGGCGGGGAAGGCAAGCGGCTCGGATCGTACAAGAGAGATGTTCGCGGTGATATAGTTGGTGACCTAGAAAGAACCGAGAGAGGAGAAGACGGTGGGTTGGAAGAAGGAGGATCAGAGAGGTCGGATATTGACGATATTGAAGAAGTATCCATGTCCATAGCTATTGGTTCCAGTGGGGGGTTTTACTCAATTAGATTGTTTGAAGGAACAATGGAAAAGAAAGTTGAAGGAGGAAAGAATGAAGGTTTTCAAATCTTATTTCGCCAGGCAAGCAGTCCAGACGTAAAGAAAGGACGATATGGTCGCGACTTTGTTATGGATAAAATTAGGTATGAAAGACGAAGAACCAAGGACCCAAGGCAAGGACCAAAAACCAAAGGCGGTAACGGGAAAGAGTCGAAATGCTATGTCATGTCATAGCGCTATACCAAATCTAATAAACAACGTGATACAACCCTATAATCCTAGCCCCGAATCCAAGGAAAACCTTACGCCGTGATACCGGCGAAAGCGAATCTATAATAATCATGCAAGTGTTATGTTGTGGCTGTGAACAATTCGTATACGCGATCTGTTCCGTTTCGCTAGAGAAACGGCGGAGGCGATTTTTAGGTGAGGTAAGATGAGAAATAAGGTAAAGGTGAAAAAAAAAACTCTTGGGGATTTCTAGAGGTCGGAGGAGGAAGGGGCTACAAGAGGAGCCCGGGACAAGGAGAACAGGGCAACAGCTTAACAACAAGCCGCGCGCGGTCGGTCTTCCTCCCCTAAACTCACTTTCGCTTAATTGACCACGAATGGGATATTTTAAGGTTTAACTTGCATAGCACTAACTTTATTTTTCTTCAATGTTCGCATCAATGATGTATCTTCTATAGGTATCTTCTATAGGTATTTTCAATTTCTGCATGCATTTCCCATTGTTGATATGTACCTAGGTACATAAGCATAAGGCACCTACATAGTATTTATATACCTACTTACAGTACATCTCTCAACTTTCATTCTAAATTAATACTATATTCTAAATTATACGGAGGAAGAGAAACTACCCAAACATAGATAGTCTTTTTAAGGGTTAAATCAACTTAAAGTCTCTAGTACGAAATCTTTTACTAGACACTCTCACTTGTTGTCTACGAATTAGATTCATTCCGCCCACCGACGCTTCAGTACATAGCGGAAGGTCGGCTCTTCCTTTATTAACCCCTCTTCATTTTCTGGCTCCTACATAGAGGTAACTGCCAAAGCATTTTAGCTTATGCTATAGTAGTACCTACCAGTGTCTCAATCACCTAATCTATACCTATGCAAACGGTTTCGTTACCGAGTAATCTCAATATTTGAATGATGCCGTTTCTCGGATGCAATATGTCATGTAGGACAAATCAAGTCGTGACATTGACAGACAATCTTATTAGCTTGCATTGCTGCATGTTAGTAGCTACATGAAGTGACCAACATTAGTTTAGTAGGTACCTTTATAGGTACTATACAGGTTAAGACAGTTCCACTAGGCTGATGATCATGAATATACTTAGGAAGATATACAGTAGCCTAGTAGTATGCACTATGTAATAAAAGTCGATTCTCGTTGCTCCGCGGTTGCCAGGGTTAAAGTGGCTCTGGATCTGAGGCTGATCAGCCACATGGTCCAGGGTCTAACAAAGTTAATAATACCTTTCAAGCCTCATCCAAACGAGGAGAATGGAACGCTGAGTTCTAATGCCTGCATGAAACCCATACATCTTCTAATCCCTATTGGGTTAGTTGATGCGCATTACCGTACATATTGACACTATGTGACACAGGGTACAGTACATGTACCTTAAAAAAATACATCAATGAGGTACCTATCAGCTCGTTGACAATCACCAAGCACAGACCTACAACTCCCAAGCCTTCCAGTAATTCGACATTAATCATACAATACAACATACAATTCGACATACAATTCAACATGCTCTATCTCACCGAACGAAAAAAATAAATTGTGACTGTAGCCATCACTTTTCTTTTTACACTAGTTATTTATATTAAAGGAACGAACTCGATCGTCAAGGTTAAGAAAACTTCTTTCTTAATCTGTCAACTCTCCATTGGCTAACTAATCCATTTGGTCTCTAGGCTTTGGATATCCTTAGCCGTTGAACTATGACCAGTTGTTAATGCATACCCCTAATTCAAATTCATAAAGAATATCGCCAAAATTCGCTTAGAACTCTATCGAGTTTCCAAATTCGTCTTCTAGATGAAGTCTAGCAAGATGCCTCTCATCCTAGACAATCCTATGGGTGGGGAGGCTATGCAAGTCGATTTAGACGACGTTGATGACCTCTTCGGTGATGGAGCTCCTCTAACTCTTCCGCCCCGCCCAATAAGCAAACGTCTACGACAGAGGCTAGACGAGCTTCGTGAACGAGGCTCTTACCAGTAATGCTTCCCACTCTCTACTATATTGTTCAGAACAGCTACTGATTACTCGAAAGGGGTATTGCTTGGTCCAAGGCTGGCACTATAGCATCTATTACGCCTGATGGCCAACATCTACAGCTAATGTATATTCATGCGAAGGGCAAGGATGCTACCTTTACCTTGAGCGATCCTACTACGATCGCACCATGGGAATCCCTTACAGGAGGGCCCCTTGTCCATCTTAGTTGGAGTCCCGCTAGCCCAGAACTCGCTATTATCGACGCAGTAGGCAGAGTCCTTATTATTAGTTTCTCATCGAACCTAAATCGCCCGTCCCCTTCCAGGAGGTGGGATGGAGATTCTATAGATGATTTACAAGCTGTTGTGGGAACATATTGGCTGCCTAGTCACCATACAGCAAACCCAAGAGTAGGTCCTAAAATATTCTCACTTGTCATTTACGTGGCTGACAAACTACTAGTCACCTCCATACACCCCATCCTACGGGCCGGCTGTTAGGAATGGAAACGGAAATAACTACAGTTATCAAATCACACCTATCTTCAACAACGGCCCTCTTCACCCTCAAAATAACAGGTCCGCTTTTATATGTATCACCGCGACTGGAGTCCTTAAAATGTTCTGGGCGCAGAATAATGGTAAAATCGAAGAGACGACCGTAGAACTCGAGAATGTCACATTAGCAGACGATTTAATCACCCACGCCGCAGTATGTTCGGATAGGAGTGAGTTGGACGAGCGTAACTATCCAGCATGGCAGTCATTCACTAACAAGATAGTAGGAAGCCTTATGGTAGGGCTGGCAACTGCATCGAAACAGCTATGTGTTGTCCAAGTTGCCATTAATTGGAATAGCCCTAAAACCGAGGGCGCGCAAAGCAATCCTTCTAACAATCAACCGCTAAGTCCAACGCTCACGAAGAGGCACGTAGCAGTGACTAGCTGGTTCCAGCCAGGCTCTGGCGATTTGCATTCCGATGCGTCCATGCAAAAAATCACTCACATTGAAATGTTGCCTCCTGTTCTTCTAACCGCGTTCAATGTACCAAACAAAGAGTGGTCACCTATTGTGATCTTGACAGTGAGATCTCTTATCCCGGACCCGAACGTGCCCTACGCCCAAGAAGTCCAGAGCATAATTGATCGATGGGAACTCTTGACAGATCACCATCAAACGCTTCATTCCGCATTTGAGCAACTCGGCCTTAGAAAAAACAGTGCCGGTTCTGCAACACCAGTAAGTATGAAATAACCCAATTTATGTTTATTTTATTAACATATCTTCTAGAATGGCAGCAGACTCAAGAAACTCGATTCTGTCGTTGTCAACAAGGTCATAATAGGGGTAAACCTCATTAACTTTGGGAAAGTTCTCTGCTTCTCTTATAATGACGGCAGCGTAGAGTATCGAGACCGATTCACTATGGCCGAGCTATACCGAGAACATAATCTAGATCGTATCAATTCGGTTTTTGATGCTGGATTTTCCCAAAGCGGCGAACCATCATGTATGTATCGTTCTCACAGGCAGTCTTAATATGCTAACTGATTAATTCTAGGCCTCCAGACAGCTTTTTCGCCAACGAATTTCTCATTTGTTCAGCTATGCGAAGACGGTAAAGTGAAATGGCACAGTATCAACTATACACTAGCAGACGTCGAGTCTATGACTGACGGTACGTATTTATCACTCACTCAACTGATTCAAATCTCACATTTCTCCAGCTCAGGTGTCTGCACTCGTCGCGGCCTTTTACATATCCACCGCCCAGGCCGTCACCCAGGGTGCAAATTTTGACGACATCCTAGCAGTCGCTAGGAATTTCATTAATAGAGACTGTAAGGCCTTTAAGTCTATATCTCAAAATATGTACCTTTATTAACACGATCTTAGCATTTGCAATTGAATGGGTAAAAACCCAAGTGCAGCAGATGAAGATAACTATCGACTATACGGAGGACACATTACATGACAGTCTCATAAAGAATGGAATCTTGCAAGTTTGCCTCAGTATTATCAATTACCTTGGATGGAGAGGCGATCTTCAGCCCCGGAAAGGCTGGGGAAAGCTTTCTCTGCTGGCTCTGAACTTGCGCAACATAACAGTCATGATGCATCTCTCAAACAGCCAAATACCCATACATAATAAAACCACTATAACGCCGCTTGATGAACCTGGTAGGTTTAATCTTCCCCCACACATTATATTTCTCTAGTACTAAATACTTCGATACAGAAGCTGTCAGTGCTTTAGCCGGGTGCGTCAAGTGGTCAAACGACCTGCTTGGCTGGATATGTGACTCGCTATTCTGTCTTTTTGATGACACCGAGTTCATGAAGCACCTAAAGGGGCCTCAACTAGATAAAATGACGATGTACTTACATGCGAATAACGAAATCGCGTTGCACTTAGTATTATGTTCAACAACACGCGCCCTGCTTTCCGCCCTATGTCGTCGTATTTTATCGCTCGACTCGTTATCGACAAAAGCTATTAGCTGGTACGAAACCCGCGAGAAGTCTATTGCGAATAATCCGAATGCTGCAGCCGATCCTCGCACAGCCGCTCATACCGCTCTGCATGCCGCGTATCAGAACTTGCGACAATGCATTTCGTCATCTCTTATTAAAGCTGACGAGTTCGACAAGCTTCTCACCGGCCTAGGAGCCGAAATACGGACGGCTTACAGTACATCACTAGCAATAGTTGGCGAGCAAGCTGCTAAATCAGCAAACAAGAGTCAGCCACAAAATTCGAACCCTAACGCACCGAGACCAGACCCAGCCCAAGAAGCCATTGCCCGTGCACGTCAGCACTGTGAGCTTGATATGCTCGTCTTGCAGGCGCCACCGTCATCCTTCGTCCCCGTTGTCAGCAAATTTTTCAACCAGGACCTAAAGGAATTTCGCGCACGGTCCGAGGTCGCAAAGCTATATTTCGCCGACTATTCGATCCTCGAGCTCGACGACGAGCCGCGCTCACTAGCTAAAAGGAGGGCGAGCGGTGTAAGGGTAGATCTCTTCAAAAGAGTTGAAATCTCGAGAAGCCCGAGAAGCGGAAATGGCAAGAGTCAGTTCCCTTGGAGGAAATGTGCGCGTTGCGGTAACGTCATGGAGGACCTCGCTCTAGTTAATCACAAACCAGGATTCAGCTTTTTGCTCCGTCAACAGAGTAATTGCTCTTGTGGTGGTCGAATGGCTATCCTACCGACAAAAAACGCATAATAGGTACCTACTTACCTGAGACAGCTAGCTGAGAGTTGGAGTATTCAGGATTTGGCCACAGATCATATTTAACTCCCTTTGGCTAACGTTTTATTAGCCAATATAGCATATAGCTTTTCGTTTAGGACTAATAAATTTATTATCTTATTCTAGCACTGCGTGAATTCAACTCTTGAGATGTAATTGGGAATTGTTACGAATTCATCTGGTGATAGTTGAGATGAATATAATAGCACGAAATAGATTATTTTTACCCAAACCCTTTTGATATGGTTAAGTTGAAATTGAACATTGTAATCTATTTCTTATTTGTTATATTAGGTACGGTACAGTACTTCATACCTCACGATCCGCATCGTCAACGTCTTCTTGGGATCTAAACTGTCGGAGGCCCGTGTACTGCCAGTTAGATACATACGTCTCAAACGCCCGTTCGCCATGCTTGCCGTTAGAAGTAGCGTAGACCCCAAGGACGAGACCTAGGTTAAGATTAGCTTTTTCTATTTTTAAATGTTGATCTACCACGGTATAGGTGGATATGTGACAAGTGTCAGGGGCTGGTTAACGTACCCGAGTAATATGGCACCAGTTCGTCTCCTCGACAGTAGCCAAAGACCCGTATCTCCGCCTCCTTCCCTGCTGGCCCAGCCGAAAATGCAAAGTGTGTACTATTGACGGCCTCGACCTGCAGAGTCAGTTTCTGTCCGGCCCATCCCTCTGGTAGCGGGTAGGCCTCGGTCCGGACGTTGGTAAGCCCACGATACGGCGTCTCAGAGTGTCCTCTGAAACGAATGTAGGGCTGGAGCGGGGCGCTGCTCGTATTGTTCTCCTTCGAGGACTTGAGCAATACGATACCCAGGTCAAAGTGCTGAGCCTGGTCTTGAATAACTGAGACCCCAACTTCCATCTCCTCCTTGGTCAACGAAGATGTCCAATCTACGTCGACGCGGAACCGGAACAGCGAGTGCGCCATCCGCCGGCCGACGAAAGTCTGTCCACGGCCTAGCGCGTAGTCCCCGTCGAAACCCGTGAGATTGAGCACCGATGATTTCAGCGCTAACGTATTCCAGTGGCCAGGCGGCGAGACGGCGTAGTTCCGCGCGGTGGGCAGTCGCCAGTGGACGAAATGGATCGGCAATTGGGTGCCGGGTGGAAATGTAACGGAGTCGTCAGCATCGCTTAGTTGGCCTTCACCCTGCTCAGGAATTTCTTCAGCGGGCAGCGGCCAGGCTGAGACCTCGCCAGAGACAGGGGTGAAGACAGGCCATCCGCCCTCCTCCCATGTCACGGGCGTGAGTACCGTCTCCCGGCCCAGGGGGAAGTTTGCAAAATACGGCGCCTCGCCGTAGGAACCGCCGGCGCGAACTGCAAGGGCTACAGCCCACCACCTCCCGTTTGCGTCCTGAAACAAATCAGCATGTCCCACAGCTTGAAAATATGAGCTTGTATCATTGGCTGCCGTGAGGAGCGGGTTGGCTGGTGCGGGCTCGAACGGTCCCTGCAGGTTGCGGGAGCGCGCCATGGTCACCATGTGGTTCTCGCGGGTTCCTCCTTCGGCTGCCAACAGATAATACCAACCATCGCGTTTAAAGATGTGTGGACCCTCTGGTGATGAACCACCGGTTCCATTCCATGGCATAAGGATATTCCCAATTTCGCCAGTCTCAAGGTCGAGAGGGGCGTGCATTATGCCGGGATAATATGCCGCAGTATGAGCGCCAGAGACGTACGTAGTACCATCATCGTCCCAAAATGGGCTCGGGTCGAACCCCGGAAAGGAGAAGTGTATTGGGTCGGACCAGGCCTCGGAACTATACGGATCCTCAGTGGTGACGAGGAAGTTGTCCCAGCGGGAATCATTGACGCGCGGTAGCTGCTGGTTAACTAATGTAGTCATGAGGTAGAAGATCCCGTCTCGAAAGCGCAGCGTCGGCGCATAAATACCACTGGTGGCTTTGGGTAGGAAAGCCATGCCTGGCAGCTGGTCAGAGCGACTGAAGGCGTTGGACACATGCTTCCAGTGTATCAAATCCCTACTGGCATGGATTGGTAGGCCCGGGAAAGCAAGGAAGCTTGATGACGCGCAGAACCAAGTATCGCCGAGCTCAGACACAAAGATGCAGCTCGGATCCGGATGAAATCCGGTGATGATAGGATTCCGGAAGGTGGAGTTCTGCGCCGATATACCTAGTGAGAAGAGCAGGGTTAAGAAGCACGTAAGAGGCGTGAGATTCTGCATGTTAGCTGCGAGTACAAGGCGGAAATGCCAGCTTAAGCATTTCCGCATAGATAACATCTCGATTCTCGTCAGGCTTCGACCCCCCCGTGTCTACATGGCAAGTTTATAGACAAGCCTATAGAGAATAGACTCTCTTCAACCCCGCCCGGAAACATGTACCTTAAGCCGCGAAGATGCTCATGAGATCCATGCTCGGGAGAATATTACCGAGCTTACCTTGTCTAGACTCAGGTATCCATGGTAATAAGGAGAACAGTTCTAACCGATCTCCAAACCAAATCCCGGGGGTCTTAGCTCCTCGGTATTAGCTAAAGACTAAAGTGACGTTCGAATAGTGTATGCACCATGCCTAATGTATGTAGACGGGACTCCACCGGATTTCCAAATCAGTCTAACCGGGGGGGTATTTATGTGGCGTACTTGGCGTAGCTTAATATTCTTCAGCTTCGCATTACCATAGCCAAGACGGCAGAGCGTACAACTTGAGAATAGTTAAATATAGACAGGCAAGCAGATAGGAAGATAGCTCGCCAATCGGAGTATCGAGATTACCTAGGTCAGAGCTCTTAGATCAGACCTTGATGTTATCTACTACACACCGAATTTTTTAGTATTATACGCTGTGTGATGGACATTCTAAATGCGGTCCTTCGCCAAAGCGAGTTCAAAGCTCCGAGTATTCTAAACTAGGATACGTCTTACACAAATGGCTTTTTTTTTTCAGATCTTACAAGGTGCTCTATCCGATCCTAGGTACCCAAGACCAAAGCCCGAAACAGACAATTGGCTCATCGTACCACCTAACTAAGACTATACAATATATTCTTCGGCTTATGTCTATAGACTGGTCTGCCATTTACTATTTTAAAATATATTATTCATGGGCTGTTGTGGATATTGAAGTATAATCTCTGAATTTAACTTACACATGGCACTGGATTATAATATTTAGGCCCGTCAGTATATAACCGAAATGATTAGTAGAGATATCGTCTTCCTGCAACAGTTATCTATAAGAGTGGTGACATAATATAAACACTCCAGCCAGCCACTTTAAATAAGCCCCAAGTAAAGACGAGATTGCATAAGTTAACTTCAGAGGTCATCACTTTAAAGTAGAACGCGGCTCGGGAATTGCCGTAGTTGGTAGTTAATAGAAAAAAATGGGCTCTAAACCCTTGTAGGTTGGTTGGTAGTTATTGTACGGACTACATAGTATCTGACACATTCTTCGATGTACGCATGTCTGTGCGAGTAATTTAGGAGAGTAGCTGGCGTAGGACATGTCTTTCCTGCAAGTCACCGAATGACCTGGCAATTTTACGACGTAGATAACTTGGGTACATTATGTAGGTAAACAAGGGCTTCGGGCTTCCTTCATCTTATTGCATGATGTCCAGCATAGATCACACCGAATAGGAACGCTTTGGCGGGTTGGTATAGATAAGGCAGCATTATGAAAACGGCACAGCATCATTCCTATATATTAAGTAGATAACTACCTAGGTACCTATAATATATATATGTGTGTCTTCTCTCCCATTGCCTACTCTTTGTTATATGGGCCTACTCACTATCACAAATATATTCTCCTTTAATAACTATAAAATTTGCTCACGAAAATGCCAAACCACAGCGAAAAAGAACTTGTGGTCAAGAGACTCAAGGGCCAGAAGCTTGTTATCCCGGACATGCGTCCCATATTCGCACATTGGCCCAGCGAACAAAACGAACACTACCATACAGTGAAAGACATAATAGACAAGCAGATCGCAGAGTATGTAGTACTACTTAGAACAGATGCGAAAAACTACTAACACTAACAAGGCAGCCTATGAAGGATGAAGCTCGTACAGCATTTTACAATATGAATCCGTCTCTGCTCGCAGCAAGGTATATTGATCTTATACATCGACGTAGCAATAGACTTGTATTCAGACGCAAAGGCTAATTATTCACTAGATGGTGGCCAAGGTCTTCGGAAGGAAACTACCGGGTCTTAGTCGACCTGATCATCTGGTTTGCCTATTGGGACGATCTCTCCGAGAGCCTCGCTGCCGATCCTAGTGCTGCCGAAGCCCTTCGTAATGCCACCAAAGTCCTCGGCCGCCAATCGCTCGGTCTAGCAACTTCAGAAGAAGATGTTGACATTTCTAACCCGCTCATACTTGACTTTAAGAGGATTGGCGAGAAGATTCGTGCTGCCTATGATGAAGGTGAGAATACAACATAATCTATAAATTTATTAACGCGGATATTAATGTTCCTTGTGGTGTGCAGAACAGCGAAAGACCTTCTTGGCTCATTTCGAGAAATACATCGATTCGACACGTCTTGAGGGAGAGGCCGACTTGAGTGACACCCTACCCACCCTTAAAAGGTACTGGGAGGTAAGGATATTGACCAGCGGCATGGGCATATTGCTCGGCGTCACCGAGTAAGTAACCAACTCTATACCAGTGTCAAAAACTTAGATACTAACACTTGAACAGATTTGCTGCCGAAGTCAAATTACCCCGTCATATAGTCAGCTCAGCTGCATATGACAGCCTGTGGACGACAACTATCGTAATAAACTCGATGTATGTCTCCAGCATATTATATACATATAGTTAATTTAACTGGCTAATACAATATCAGTGTGAATGATTTAATATCTTTCAAGAAAGAGATGGTAAGTATCGTCGAGGGAGATTTACTCTACGAATACCTTAAACTAACATGACTTTATTTATAGAAAGCGGGAAGCGTTTTGAGCTCTGTTGCTATACTCTTCGAACAAGTTGATAGCCTTGACGCGGCGGTGCAAATGTCGGTTGCTCACCTCAAAATTCTAGTCGGCGAATTTGACCGCACGGCCAACGTGCTACTGTCCAAGTTTCCCCTGAGTCCTGAAGAGATTGAGTCTGTCTCGAAAGTCATCGATACTCTCAGGATGGTCAACACTGGGAATCTAGAGTGGAGGTTTGTTGTCCCTTTGAATAAACAACATTGTTTATAGAGTTATACTTGCTAACATCTTGTTCAGTCTGCAGGCGAAGCGCTATGGAGTCTGCGACTCTATAACACAGACAGGACAGATTGAAGTGGTGCTGTGATTGCTGAATAGACTAGAATGTCGATAGTTCTTGAGAAAATAATAATTAAACCTAGTATAAGAAAGAACACGAATCTTATAAGGAGTAAGTTATAGATGAACATTCGGGTTGAAATACGTGGGTCAACAGATACGGGGCACTCGTTTGACCCTATTCAAGTCTCAATCATTAGACATTGATATAGATTCCAAGAATTTATAAAAACTCCTTAACTTTCATACTACAAAACGTATATTTACCTGTCTAGTTTCGTTACTAATCCGTGATGAAGTTAATAATGTGCGATGCTTTATCTTTCTGAGATTCAAATCTTTCCGTGTAGGACTTAGCCCCTAATTCAAACCCCTCGTCGATTTTATATATACGTTAAGCTCCTAAGGTAGGTACATAAACCAAGGAAAGGTCTATCATATACTAGATTACCCCAGAAAAACTATTCTCCTGTCCCGAATATAAAAACATACCAAGAAATCTACCTTCAATATCATCGTCAATGTTGCCGGCATTGAAATCTTGGCGTATCTTGGCGGGCCCATATCCCAAAGCCCGCGTTCCATCCGCTTCCCGAAAGGAAATCCAAAGTCACAAACTTAATATACGACAACCTGAAATGTTACAACGACATGCCGATCTTACGTTGCCGAGCCGTGGTCGGCTGCGTGCTGCTAGACACTCGTGTCATATACGACTCCTTGCTAGAAGCTCGTAATACTGAAAGCTTAAGAGGTTAAAGTTGAGTCATGTACCCGCTTCTGTTACCCGGATATGACGATAGATACATATACATAACTGTTCTATATTATGTACTCATATATATATATAGGTACCTATATATAGTAAACAGACATTTATTTGTTTTATTCCCCTTATCACCTTGCCTTTCACGGATGGTACTAAGTAAAAAACAATATTACCTACTACCGTAAATATCTATAAAGCCGAACGTCAAATTCACAATGAGATTCCTCGGCGCACTCCTATCAGCTCCTCTTGCTGTCCTCGCAGCCCCCATCCTCGAGGCCGACGGTGAAGCGATCCCGGGTAAATGGATTGCCGTCCTCAAGCCGGATAATACGACGGACAAAGTCTTCAGCACAATTGCGAATATTCTAGGTGGGATAGCTCCCGAGCACACCTACGACATAGGGAGTTTTCAGGGGTATTCGCTCTCGGCTTCCGATACTGTGATCAACTCGCTTGCAGATGTAGATGAGGTTAGCTCGCTGCTTTCTTTAATATTGAAGCTAGCTTTCTCCTATAGAATAAAATTACCTACGACTAACAACCTCCAGATCGCATACATCACGCCCGATATAAAAGTCAGCATTGCGTCCCTGACGTCGCAAACTTCGGCACCGTGGGGTCTCGCCAGGATCTCTAGCCGGACACCAGACGCCTCCAAGTACACGTACGACGAGTCTGCCGGAGAGGGCACGTATGCGTACATTCTGGACACAGGCATATTCGTCGACCACCCCGAGTTCGGCGGGCGTGCTTCGTTTGGCGCCAATTTTGTGCAGGGTAACAATAACAACACCGACGAGAATGGACACGGCACACACGTTGCCGGCATCACGGGCTCCGCAACGTCAGTTACTACTTCATATATATATATTTTCCATACTCAAACCTTGCACTGCTTATACAAGATCTAGCAGAAAGAGCTAATTCAATGATAGCTACGGTGTGGCCAAGAAGACAAACCTGATTGCTGTAAAAGTCCTTGGTCCGACCGGCTCTGGTGATGTCAGTCAAGTAATCGCTGGCCTCCAGTGGGCCGTGAAAGATGCCATCTCGAAAGGAAGTAAGTTCCTCTTCCTTACCAATTAATTACTTGCTAGGTATAGCTAGAATAATTAATAATATCAACTAACGAGAGATGATAGCAATCAAAAAGGCAGTTGTCAATATCTCGCTCGGAGCTCCAAACATAAACCCCGAAGCTCCTCTTAACGCGGCGGCATCAGCGGCAGTTAAGCAGGGCCTATTTATGGCCGTCGCAGCCGGCAACAGCGACGAGGATGCCGCGGGCTTCACTCCCGCCGACGAGCCTAGTGTGTGCACCGTTGGCGCTACCCAACGTGACGATAGCCGGGCGTCTTTCTCTAACTACGGCGATCCGATCGACGTATTTGCCCCGGGAGAAGATATCATTAGCACGTACAATAATGGCAGCACGGGGGTCCTATCCGGCACTTCCCAGGCCTCGCCACATGTCGCCGGGCTCGCCGCCTACCTGTTAGCCCTAGAGGGCCCGCGTGATCCCCTTGCTCTATGTAGTCGCATCCAGGAGCTCTCTACCAAAAACGTAGTGACGAATTCCAGGTCTAAAAACAACAACGTAGCAAACAATGGGGTCGAGCAAAGCGGGTAGGGTTCTGTGTTAGGATTTAGCAGCGTCATGTTGCGGACACGAGGTCCTGGGGTATATCTGAGTTTTGGATATGCATTAACTACTGTACATATCTTGCATTAGTTGGAATATACTTCACAACTTAGTCGCGTCATGTTCTCCCTCAGGAACGACCAGGCCATGGATCCCCTTGTACGGTGCGGGTTCTGCAGGCTTCCACCCGCCTCTCTGCAGTAGAACTGGATCCTCGAGAGTATAGACTTGGATCTTTAGTGGCCTGCAGCACTTGATCATCTCCTTCTCGCTGTCGGCACCGAAGCCCCATAGCGATAGGTCGCCGCCAGGACATGTACCTGTAATTTGTTAATAATAAAAATACTAAATGATGACAGGGAGAGTGCGGCGTACTTAGAGCCATCAATATATCCTGCTCGGCTAAGAACTCAATGTAATCTCCCTTCTGTGCAGGACATGGATTCATAAAGTAGCGGCCTTGCTCATCTAGGCCTGTGACTTGAAATATGTTGATAACATCGTGCACGTCACCCTCATTTAGTCCATAGGGAAGAACGGCTCGTGTAAGATTGGAACGGCAGTGAAAATCGTATCCCTTATCCGAAAGCACGCTCGAGATATATCCATCGCACCCCGTACCCAGTAAGTCGTGTACGCGGCCGCCATGCTCATCGACACCGTACCATGAGAGGCTGTCGCCTATAATTGTCACGAGAGGGCGCATATAAGGTAGACACGACCATAGCCTGTCGTACGTCGAGACATGAGAAGCGTAGAGTTGCTTCGTGCGCGCCGCCCAGAATTTCTCCCGGGGATTATGAGCATTCCAGATATTTAAGTCCCCTTTAAACCATTCCATTGATCAGCCTACCTTTCTCACGATAAATCAGGGATTCTACTCCCTATGTCAGACAGATAGGTATACATACCGACCTGCGGACCCTCGGGGGTGCTGATTCGCACAATGGACCCGGCGGGTGCTTTCCAAGCCCTACCTGATCTGATAGGAAGTATAAACTCTTGGAGTAAGACACGCGGGGCGGTGGCGATTGTACTGTATAGGTCTTTATTAACTGTTAGTGGTGACCCGGTTACGGGTAGATACGCAGGTTTCGGCTTTGGGATCGGCTTCCGGGCCTTAAGACGGGCCTCAGCATCTTCCTTGCTTATAGACATAACTAATGAAAATAGAGAAGCTATGGAAAATAGTGAATATTATATTTTCTTATATAGAGATTAAGTGAGTCTTTTTTGAAACAGGATTGTAAAATATGTTGCTTCCAAAGACCTCCGGTAACGCTATCGGCGAGATGAATGGCATCTTATAGAAGCGGTGCGGAGTAGTAAATCCTAGGCGCAAACTAGTTAATAAGTGACGATAGCGGCCTATATGTATTAATACTATCAAATATTTCTCACTCTGATTCAGATTCTTATCAGATATATATTTCATAGTATTATGATATATTACAAATCGAAGAGCTATTTCGTAATAGTTATATATGATCTAGCATGGCGGTTGCTTTCCTTATAAGGTATCCCGTATGAAGTTTGCGAATCTATTTGCTAATAGATATAGTAGGTCACTCATGGTCTTATTAAGCGCGTCGCAGAAGATTGTCGTTCAAAAAGTGATAATGTTATATAATAGGTGAAGACATTGGTGTTACTCCTGCAATATTATTTATTATTAAGGTAGGTAGACTTAAATTTTAGGTCAAGATACTGTAGTATTACAAGTACGTAATTGTATGGTGAGCTGCGACTGGATAAAAAGGGGGTTAAAGGAGAGAAGTTCGGGTGAGATGAGATAAGATAAGCTACCTAAATTACATGCTGTATAATTGTTTGCTTTAGAGCACTAACACCTCTAAATACAGGGGGGCCTAGGAAAGGTTAGGTACCTGTGGATCATACCTGCCGAACCTCCTCGGGGTACCTGACTTATAGGTACAATCTAAGTTATTACAAGAAGCTTCAACTGCGACTACAACTTCACCTGCGACATTGTCTACTACAACTAATATTTATAATTTACATAAACGCAAAAAAAGGAAGAAAAAAAGAAACACAAACCAGGGAGTTCACCAAAAGTCCTAAATACGATCAAGAAAACCGACCAATTCTAGTTAGCAATGGATAAGCTTCCGCTAGAGATCCTCCTCCATATCCTCGAATTTACCGTCGTAGCCCTCTATGGCAACAAGAACAATCTTCTTAGGCTGCGCGCCACTTGCAAGCTATTTAATGAAGTACTGAAGCCATTTGCTTTCCGGACGCTTCAATTGGAGTTCACGCGCCTCGATCGAACCGAAAGAAGACTAAAACCGCCCGACTACAATGCATTGCGCCGGATAGGACCTCTCTGCCAGGCACTGTACCTGGATATGATGGTTGTAAGAGACGACAGTATGAGCTCCTATAAGTCCCCCCACTGCTTAATTGCACTGACTAACTCACCTGGCTGGTGTAGGTGAAGTAGGGTTCTTAGGCAGTATGTTTGCCCAGATCCCCGCGATGGATTCTTTCGTGTCTCGTCTACGGAATACCTACTGCATGAATGACTACTCCTTCACCGAGATCGACTACCGCCACCAACTAGGTCGTCTTCTTGAACAAGCCCCGAACGTCACAGCAGTAAAGTTAAACCTACCCTTCCAATTGGTGTCCCCGGGACCGTATAGCGCAACGACTATGATCCTAGGAAATACCTTCGAAGCGTTGGCGCAGCGCCCAGAAGAATCCGAAACTCTCAGGACATTAGTATTAGAGAACCTAACCGATAGGTCTATAGCGAGTCTCTGGCGAAACCCTCAGGACGTGAAGAACATAATCGGCGCGTTCAGGGACCTCCGACATCTATTTTTGTCGGTCCGGCGAAATGAGGAGGAACGAGATCGCACTATCAACTTCCGCAATCGCTTATGGGAGATGATTGGGAAGGCAGAGAAGCTCGAAAGTCTATGTCTGGCCGACCTAGACGTAAACGAAAAGCACTATTGGGACATCAAGACTTCGTCGCAGCGGGACTCGACGCTCGAGGAGTGGCAGTTCAAGTCCATACCCACGATCCACAAGCCGCCTAAATCAGTCTTGCCTAATCTCACCCACCTAGAATTATGGCAGGTCGAAGTGATGGGATGTGGTCTTTTGTCTGTACTTCAGTGCTTTGGCGACTCTCTAAAGGAGCTCTTCCTGGACGGCGTGTACCTCAAGACCGTATATAGTGCCGAGTCCCCTCAGGACGTAAACAGCACGCTCTGGATCGGCTTGCCTAATGTACGACCGCCGCCTAACCACCGGTGGGTAGCAACGTACCTGCGCCAAATCCAAGCCCAACTTCGCGTCTGCCGCGTCGCCAACCTAGGATACGACCAATACGTCATGAGCGAGAATCCCTTTAACAGCGTAGAATACGACACCGTGGATCCCTGCGGACTGGGGCGTTGCATAGAGGAGCGATTTGTAGAAGTAGCAACGGGAGTAAAGCAACCAGCCGCTCCCGACGGGTCTCCGGTGGCCTACTTCCCGGAAGAAGGGTCGCAGGAGCCCTGGGCTCTAGCTAACCGGGAACGGCCCGCCGGTGGGCTTCGCATCGAGGACTGGAACGTAAAGCACTACATGGCAACGCGATACAGTCCGACCTCAAGTTGGCAGCGGTCCATCGACGGCTTGTTTCCCAACTGCAACCAGTTCACACTGAACGCACTTAACAGCTTTGCTGACAGCGCCTGCACTGGCATGACGCTGCTGAAGCAGCTGCAAGATCACGAGAACGAATCGTCTACACCCATATAACATAGCTTGGCGGAGATGCGCGCACGCGTCGCGTGTGTAGTTTTCCTTTAAACCTCTTTCCTCGAATACCAAAGCAAAATACCCCCCCTTTTATACGGCGCTCCTTTGTTTTCATTTCACGATTCATGCTTAGTGTTCCTTCGGCTTATATGGCAAAAAGAGCCGTTATAATAGTAATACAGGACGAGTCTGTCCGTGACGCTGGTTAGGCGTCTGGTTTAGCAGGGAAACTGGACTGCTAGGTCCTCTTTGTACACAATATTAGATACCATAAATCCAGAGGATATTAGCAACGGAGCAAAGGAGCTATTAATAGGCTGACGAGAGAGCATCTAGAGTTAAATAAATATTCACTCTTACTTAGGTTAGACTACTTGGCCATTCACAACCGTGTACCCTAACGTACTGCATCTTGGGAATCATGAATCTCATTCATTAACTTACTCGACATTGCGCAATTTGTGCAGCGTTGTTGCATTTGTACTGAGGGCTAGGCAACTCGGGGGGGAAAATATAAGAAGAAAACGGGGTACTCTTTTGTCCATCTACTACCTACTGGACATCCTTGACCTTGCGAGGCCACCCTCTTCCAAGAAATACCAGGATATCCACACATCATCATCCCCTGTTCTATTCGCGACTCCAATAAAAACAGAAGCCTTTTGCCAACTCGAAAGTCGAAGAAATAGGATTAAGGACACGAGTATTCGACAACAGGAACTGATGGAAAGCGAACCTAGGGGTATTATACGCTCAATGCAGAAATCTTAGTACTCGGCCTCGGTCTCATCCGGCTCGAAGCTATCAGCCGCAACCTCCTCGTAATCCTTCTCCAGAGCTGCCAAATCCTCACGAGCCTCGGAGAACTCGCCTTCCTCCATACCCTCACCCACATACCAGTGCACAAAGGCACGCTTGCTGTACATAAGGTCGAACTTGTAGTCCAGACGGGACCAGGCCTCGGCAATAGCAGTCGTGTTGGACAACATAGAAACGGAGCGGTCGACGGACGCGAGACCACCGTCAGATGGCGAGGCGGTAGGAACAGCCATGGGCTTCTGGTAGTTGATACCCAGCTTGAAACCAGTGGGGCACCATTCGACGAGGTTAAAGGAAGACTTCGCTTTTAAGGCTGCAATAGCAGCGTTGCAGTCACGGGGAACAACATCGCCACGGTACAGGAGGGCGACAGCCATGTACTTGCCGTTTCGAGGGTCGCAGACAACCATCTGGTTGTTTGGCTCGAAACCTAATAAGCAGATTAGTCGTCTGAATGTGATAATGATAGCCATAGCAACGTACATTGGAAGGTAAGATCATGGACCTTGAAGCTCTCGTGGGCACTCTTGGCAGCTGAGATGACAGGCGCGTAGCTGATTAGAGGGTAGTGGATACGAGGGTACGGGACCAAGTTGGTCTGGAACTCGTTCAGATCAACGTTCAGAGCACCATCGAATCGTAGGGACGAAGTAATGGAGCTGACAACCTGAGCAATAAGGCGGTTCAAGTGCTCAGAGTTGGGACGAGGGATGTCGAGGTTACGTCTGCAAATATCGTAGACGGCTTCGTTATCAACCAGGAATGTACAGTCGGAGTTCTCGATAGTACTGTGGGTAGATAGAACAGCATTGTAAGGCTCGACAACGGCGGTAGACACACGAGGGGCCGGGTAAACAGCGAACTCGAGCTTGCACTTCTTGCCATACTCGGTGGAAAGACGCTCGAGAAGAAGGGCACCAAAACCGGAACCAGTACCACCACCGAACGAATGGAAGATTAAGAAACCTTGAAGCGAGTTGCAGTTGTCTACCAAAGTTGTTAGCGGGGTTAAACAAAATATCCTTAAGCTACCAGAAAGAATATTTCTCACCTGTCACACGACGAATTCGGTCAAGGCAGTTATCTATCATCTCCTTGCCGATTGTGTAGTGACCTCGGGCGTAGTTATTGGCAGCATCTTCTTTTCCGCTAATCAGAAGCTCAGGGTGGAAGAGCTGACGATAGTTGCCGGTACGGATCTCGTCAATAGGCGAGGGGTCCAAATCGACGAAGATGGAACGGGGTACATATTTGCCACCGCTGGTCTCGGTAAAGAATGTCTCGTATGAACCGCCATCCATAACATCCTTTGAAGCATTAGGGTCCGGGCGACCATCAGGTCCGAGGCCATGCTCAAGGAGATACCTGCGTGCGGTTGTGAGCTATAGAAACTACGCCTCGGAGCTTGACAGGCGAAGCGGTGTGGTACTTACAGCTCCCAAGCGCTGTTACCGAGCTGGGTACCAGCCTGGCCCAAGTGAAGGTGGAGGATCTGAGTACAGCAATGGTGTTAGTCAGAATGCTAGGGGTTAAGGTAGACGCGTGTCTACAACATTTCGTTTGGGAGTAGAGTAATTGGGATATGAAAGTAAACCTCAGCTTATAGTATAGCAGGGAATAGCAGGGACAGTTATTGGGCTTAAGACTTAAGGCGGTGACTAGAAATTGGAACCAGCAGCTCTTAGGTTTTTAGCTCTTAGAACTTTTAAATAACTTACTTCGCCCTTCATGATGAGATCGTAGTATTATAATCGGGTGATTGGAATACCGCGACTGAGACTTTAGTCTGAACTGGAGGAAGAAAGTAGGTAGGCCAGATGCGCACAGCGCTGGTAGGTAATTGAAAGAGGATGAAAAAGGAGGTGTGGGTTAAAAGATGGTTGTAGGTTTTTGTGTGGAGAACGAACAGGACGAATTATTCAATTGCTCTCCACAAGCTGCAACAAGTCAATTGAAGATGAGGGGCAGGTTTCAGGGGTAACCCAATAAGCTATCGTTTATGGGGGGGTTGCAACTGGAACCGTTACTGGACCGTTGTCTACGCGACAACACCGAAGCTAAGCTATATTAGGTACAATTAGGTACTTTAAGTAGCTACAACACGTAGATCTGTACAACTATATACGTGTGTAACGATATCTCGCTGGCAACCTTGAATAAATACATGTACGTACCTTAGGTAAGTAGGTACCTAAGTAATGCATATAGAAAATATTAAGCAGGTGCAGTTTTAGAACTTATACAGGTAATACGTGCTTCATGCTGATAAGTCTGATCAATATCTCAACGCCTCCAGATAGTATTACTTATAATATACACTCAAGCTCAAGTACATACCCATATCATAGGTGCAAAATGCGAATTTATCAAGCTTCACCGCTTCGGTAGAAAACAAAACAGTTATTTATAACAAGGACCTACCTGTTCACAAGTGCAGCTAAGCCATACCTAACGTAAAATAGTAAAGCCAAACGTGCATTAGCGTGAGTTAGTTTAAATTATTACCTAGGTAGATATTAGACGATTGGATTTTTCTTCATTAGATTAGAAGGCATCTACAAATACATAATACCTTAGGTACCTACCTGGATAGGTGTATTCCGTACTACGAGCAGCTCGGTCACTATAGTTCGGTAATAATATGAATGATTTTACTACCTAGCTAATTCTGGGTATCAAGGCAATACATTAATTATAGAGCATCAATGTTAATAATTGGTAGATAGTACTCTACTTTGTCCCCTTCTTCCTCCATTCCGCCGCTCTCTTAGCTCCTCGACCCTTCGTCTTCGCCTTGACTACGCCTTTCTTCCCTTTAGTCTTGCCGAATTTCAGATCTGCGGGCCTACCATCTTTTTCGCTAGCTCTGCGACCTTCAAAGATGATTTGCTCGGGGGATTTGAAGGTCTCGGCGGCAGCTGGTTCCATTATCTCTTTGCGTGGTTTTCCTTCGCCTTTGACTCCGTGACGCTGTCTTGCCGCTGCGGCTCTTCCTAAGAGCTTCCCTGCCCTGCCTGCTAGAGACTGCTGCTCAGGGGTTATCTTTGGCTTATGTTTAGTACTCTTCGACTTCTTATCTTGGCTATGTAAACCCTCGAGTCTGGCCTTCTGTGTCCGCTCCATAGCAAGGGCCGTCTTTCGAGGATCCTTAGCGCGAGATACGCGTAACACCCGTGGCAACATCGGAGGAAACTTCTTGCCTTCTAGTAATAGAGCTGATTCAACGTCGTTGATATCGTAGAATTGCACATATGCAAAGCCTTTGCCCACCCGTGTCTTGGGATCCCTAGGAATACGGACGCTCTCTACTTTACCAGCATGCTGACCAAAAATTCGCCATAATCCTTCTTCAAAATCCGCCGGAATCTTTGTGCGCTTCTTCGTTGTAGTTTCCCCCTCAGCAGTGGTGTTAATGACGGTTTCGTCATCTACGAAACCAAGATTTCCCACAAAAACACATCTTCGATTATCTACCGCGTTGGGATGCGCTACGCTATCCACCCGAATATGACGTTCGAGAATGACAGAACCATTTAGCTCTTTGAGCGCAGTACGTGCAGCAAGAGGGGTTGAGTAGACGACGTATGCGTTGGTAGATTTCGTCGTCGCGGACATGACGGATTTGGTAATGAACGCAGCACGCTTTGGCATCGCGCCAGTGGAATATGCAGTTGAACGGAAACGTAGAGACTCAACTTTATGCGGCCCACTGGCTGAGTCTAGTGCTGATAGTGGTGATGAAAGATGAGATATCAGAAGCTTTTTTGCTTTGGATGAAGAAATGGCTTCAGCTGAAACATTTCCGAGGAATAGAGTTCGGTTTGCCTTATCCAATTCGACATCCGTATGATCATCCGTCTTCGCAAGAAGGGATTCGTGAACTAACGGGGTTTCACCCTCATCTGAGTCTTCCGCTACTTCGGTTGTTGTGTCGTTTATTGCTTGACCGGCTTCGCCCTTGCGGCGTTTTTCAGATTGCGCATCCTTTTCCGCGTCGTCGGCCACTTTCCGCATATATTTATCCTCTAGGTCGTCGTATTCATCTTTGCGCTTCCTCTTACGATCCTTCTTTTGCGGCGCTGGCGACTCTTCTGCAGACTCGGAATTGTCTGACGCTACTTCATCATCTGAAGAGATACCTCCCTCGGCATCTTCATCTAAGTCGCTTAGGATCTCATCGTCAACCTCTTCACCATCGGCAGTCAATTCATCCTCTGAACCTGATCCTTCATCATTTGACGTTTGTGAAGGTTTCCTTTCTTTATGTGGAAGTAAATTTGAGTACCGTGTCTTTGAGGGTGCTTGTACAGGCCCGGCCTATTATCAATCAGCTTGCGAGACTCTACCAGTCGCAGTATATGATGTAAGTAGACGACTTACACTGCTTGCGAATAGAGCATCGAGGGTGGGGTCGATAACTTTCGTCGATGCGGTTAAACTAGGCTTTCTGACCGCCGTTAATATATGACATGTTCAACAGCATAAAAATGAGTATGATAAACTTACGATTTGGCCATTTTCACGTTGTTACATGAGTTGATAAATAGTGAAGTTTATTTATTGCATTGCGAGTTGCGAGTTGCGACCAGTAGAGAAAAAAAAAAGTATCTTTCTTATCTTATCGAGCCCGAGCAGCCAAGGTTTGAGTGGTGGATCAATTGACTGAATGGGATTGGAAATTCGATACATATCGGATAAAAATACGCAGATACCTCTTAGAGATAGTCACGGACCGCTACAGTACGCGTGTGTGTTATCGATAAGCGGTTTTGTTCGGGGTTGCCAGATGCCGTAGGTAAAGATTGGGGTTATTTTGGGGGTAATAGTTAAGGTGTCAGTGCTGCCAGTGCTGCCAGCGGCCGGTGCTTGCGCGCAAAGAGAACCCTCCCCCATTTGATCACCACCTTTACCACCTTTACATCACTTTTTTTTTTCTCGATAACTAGCACCCAAATCTATAGACACTCGTTTCGTAATACATGTCCCTTTAATCGCCTGACCGCGGCGTCGTGCTAAAAGCTTTACCTTTTACTCAATATTTCATCACCCATCCGATTATTTACTTTCCTTCCATTACCTCTGCCTCTATTCTTTCCAAGCTCTAAAAACTCATCCGACAATTCTACCGCCACAACTGCGCTCTCTCTTTCTCCCCAAGTCAACCTTTAATCTTCCATACCAGTGGAAGTTATACTTGGCTAAAGAACAGAGGATATTAATTATTACAATAAGATGGCAACTGGAGACACGGCGCCCGCGCCGCTTACCATTCCACCCCCGCCGATCGAACCGCTCTCCGATGACGATGGCTCAAGTCCGCTGAGTGACGTCGAAGATAAGGATGGCGATCCAGGGGACTTACATAGTCTAAATGATGCTACCCCCGACAATCGCAACGAAGACGCAAGCTCGGTAGACGATCTTTCCGACGCAAACGATACCGAAGCTGAGACTGAACGCCTCTACGACACGCCCCGAAATCCTACCCGTCATAAGGACGTAGTCCTAAAAAGGTCAGCAGATGAGCAAGTCTATGAGCGTACCCCGAGTAAACTGCGACGGCACAATACAAGAACTGGGCAGAATAGAGAGGAAGACGACAGGCCATTCTTTGAGGAAATGTCAATAGCTTCCAGCCCCCCAGCGCAAGAGACAAAGACACTGAAAAGGCGCCAATCACCGACCCTAGATATATTAGTCGAAGCTGCCACACAAGAAGTCGAGAGCAGAAAGCGAAAACGAGCCTCCATGCCTATTGAAAATTCTGAACCTTCACAGCTACTGCAAAAGCGTATTGGTTCAGTACCTACACCCAATCGGCAGGACATAGATGGCGACACTCCGATGGCTGATGAAGACGACCCTTCGATACATACGAATAGCGGCGAACCCTCGGCAGACGAAGCCATTACCGCCCTAGCTGGTATAGATCGTATTACGAACAACACCCAAGGAGCCCAGTCAGACCAAGAGGTCGTACCCAAGAAGCAGACGCGCAGTGGTTCAAAGAAGCTCAAAGCCACAGAGCAGACAATTGAGGCCGATGAACCGCCGGAAGAAGCCGTTGGTGATCCGGTGGCCGAAGACGACGGTGCTCACGCTGGCGAGGACGAGCCACTTGAAGCTGATGTAGACGAAGAAGCAGAAGCAGCTCATAGAAATGAAGAAGAACGTATGGAATTATTGTTTCGGCCATGTCTAAGAGCCCATGCTAACCTACACTTACCAGTCGAAAGAAAGAAGACGGCCTATGATCAGTTGACAGCAATCGAAAAACGATTCGCAACTTTCAGAGATAGGTTCGTTTTGTTTATTCTTAATAACGACGATGCCAATCTATTAATACCGCTTTAGGTTATACGAAGAACGACTCGAGCAGTTGAACCAAGAAGAAGTAATGCTACGATCCGAGACCATAACGCACCCCGAGTACCTTGCTATGATGCAATGCATAGACGCACGAAGAGACGAAAGACTTCGTGTGGCAAACCGAGAACTAGAACTTAAGGTGGAATCTCTAGAGAGATGGGCGGTTTCTAGGCGATCACAAATCCATTCTCAGTTCTTCCAGTCTGTTAGAGAGTCGAGAGAAACGATCTTGGCAGAGCTCGGTCAGCAGTGGTATGACATCCAGCACGAGCGCCGCAAGCAAGCCAATAATGTACCTGAATTCGGCCTCCGATTCCCTCCTGATCCTATACAGCGCACCAGAAACGCACTTGCGTACAATAGAGAGGTAGCTATTTTGTCAGGCATAGCCAAGTACGAAGGTATGCCTGCCGCGCCGGAGATGAGGGGCGCAACTATACAAGATCTAGAGGATGATTTCGAAGCAATAAATGTAAGCTGTCGCAAACCAACAGCTTCTAGTGTATGATGTTACTGACCGTATGCAATCAGAGAAATCGACAACCATCGCTTCGACACCAAGTACATAGGCCTGCTTATGCGGATTACGGTGGGCTGCCGTTCGGCCAAAGTCTTGGTCCTGCAGGAGAACAGTTTATCGAACAAACCCCATGGGCAAACCCCAATCATCCATCAAATGCTCACCTTCTCCAACGACAGCCCTCGGCCCAACACGAAGCTCATGCGCATGGTAGTATATCAGGCGTATCATCAGGGAGACACCATCAATCACATCCGTTTACCAATGGTTCGACAACTCAGTCCTCTAATGGGCCTTCTAGGACCCAAAGAAATGTACCGAGACAGCTTTCTACCTCACCTGAAGTCACACGAGCCGCTAGCTTGTTAGAGCAGACTAAAGCGCGCAGCATGAGGGCAGCAGAAGCAGCTACGAGACATGAAAACAGTCAACCAGTAGGTAGCTTATGATACGCATTTATCGAGGAATCATTCATTTTCACGGGTGGGCAGAGCATGGCGCACATTCGGGACTAATTAGTCGGGTAGCCAGCAATGCTGTGTATCGTTGGGTTAAATAATCTTGCGAGATAGGAAATAGGGACGTTATACCCTGTGCATATGTTTTGCATTTGGCGTTACGGCTTACAATAGAGGCTTCCAACTGGTGTACGGAAGTGATCGTATCATGTTTGCAGTATGTTGCGTTGTTAGCGGGTGGCGTCTTCAAAAGGACTGTAGAGAATGAGGAGATCTCTATGATACATGTTGTTCGGATTGTCTCTATAGACACATATTCTGGCGTTTTAGGAGGCTCGTCGTTCGTTGATAGGCTCGACATAGGCCGCGATACCACATAGTGTATATTCATTTACAACCTTTTTCTTGAAACGAAAAACGTAGTCCCGACTTTATAGACATTATCTCCGATGCCAACGACTAACAGTATATTTCGTGAACTGATATTATGCCTTCCTATTTTCTTGATAACATTATTTCTAATGATATAACACTTGTACTTATTTGTTCTCAGTTTGACTCGGGGCGCTAGGGACCTTTACATCTTCGAACTCGTCCTGTCCGATGACGCTGATGGTGTATGCATCTATAAGTAACCAGGTCAGCAAATCGGTACCGTCTTCCTTAAGGAAATAGCTACTATGAATAATTACTCACAAACGCCAATTGCAAACGCCGCTACAGCAGAACCAACAACGGCATTCTTGAAGAGGTAAGGTCGTCGTGCTCGAATGAGAGCAGGGGATTGTCTGAACCGTCTATCGTAGTATGAGGAGCTTCCGAATCTACGGGTTTATCAGATATAAAATGCCATAATCTTGTTCTACTAATAAACATACCCAGCAGCCATTTTATGATTTATTTGCCCAGTCGGGCGTGTTTCCTCTTATGTGCGATACGGTATTAGAGAAAAAGGTTGAGGCTGAGAAGTTAGGCGCATTGCAGGTAGAATGCTTTATGTAAATGCTGTACATGTATTAGCAAATCTTGATCTGACGATGCGGCGGCTTAAGTGCTGCAACTACCTAATGTACGAGGTACCGCATAGGTTGAGGTACATAAGGTACATGTAGGTGTGCCTCCCATGCGTTCAGTGGTGGAAGCCGCTACTCTAAAATAGTACTAACTAACACGTACCTACATACACGGAAAGTACGAAGTACATATATACGTACACTACCTAGGTACATACCCGTCGGGGTATTCACGGTAACTAAGGTTAGAAGCTTTCTTTCAAGTCTCCAATCTGAATTACATACATGCGGAAGGCGCCCTGAAGCTTTCTCTTCAGTCGCGACCAGTTAATAGATGCTCAATTTCGTTCTCCACGTCCTTTCCTAATTTCTCTTTACACCATTAAAGATATCCCACGTTCCTAATTTTTATTTTTCGAATCATTAAAACCGCAACCTATCAAAAATCATCTCCAGCTATGAGCATGGTTCTCAATTGTTGATACTGGCATATCATGAAAGATGATGCAGGCTACTTACCCGGCGATCTTCTAATTGACATCACCGGGCAGACACGAATACACAGACACGAGCACTCTCGACGCGCCACAATACAACTTGTAACATCGACACCCTCATACACTCCCACCCTCCCACATTCTCGATACTCAAACCTTAAGTCTTTGTTCTTTTAACTTGGATCATATCAATTACTAGCGATATCGGGTTAGCTATTCATGCTCTGTCAAGGCACCGTATCTCGACATTTTCGACTTGTATAAAAGCTTAGGCCTGGTTAGGTCTACCTGAATAAATCGCAATGGCGGCAGCTCAGCTTTCCGTTCAAGACCAGATCCGCCAGCTTGAAGGTGCCCGGAAGCTTGTTTTAGGTAATGCGAACTATTACACCCAAGTCATTCAAGCTACGCTCCCCATCATAGGACCTTCAGCGCAAGTGGAATTCCGACGATGGGGCGCTGAATTCCTTGCCGAAGCATTTGCGACACCCGCTATCGCACCTGGCCAGAAAGAGACTCTATCTCTAGTAGTATTGGAAACACTTAAGTTACTAGTGGAAGACGTCAACCAGGATGTCATAGTTCTGAGAGGCGTCATTCAGGCGGCGGCCAGTATATACCCGTTGGCCTTACGATGGATGTAGGTTTATCCCGATTGGTCACTGTAAACTCGTAGACTTCGGCGGGCTATGCCTACCGAGATCGTGCCTATGCGCCCTCTTTCTAGAACCACATTCATCAAATGACGTGCTCTAGAGTCCACAGCGCTGACTTTTTGATCGTCCTAGTATTAACAACTCCTACGACACGCACACATGGGAACGAATGACTGCTATCAAGAGCAGGATTCTGCGAATATGGGACACTGCTCCGTTAACCATCCGAATTTGCTGTATCAAGTTCGCTCAACGGGTCGTACTTGCGCAAACGCAGAGCATAAACCCAGAACCAAGAGTAGGGATATATCTTATTTATTTTATTCAACCAATACTAACATTATATATAGCGTGGTGATCTCCTTGATATATCGCTTGTCATGATTCCTCCAAGCCACCCCATTCTTGATCCTCCCACACTCGAAGCCGAAGCATCAGGCCTCCTAGACAGAATGCTTGGGATTTTGCAAGACAATAGCAGGTAAGATACGATGATCAAGTATTACGCTGATATTTAACAACTGACAAATTATTTTTAGCGACGCATTGATTGTAGATGCGACTTTGAACACCTTATCTATTCTCGTCCGAAACAGACCAGCTACGTCAAATAGGATCGTGAACACTGTTCTTAACTTCAATCCGCTCAAGCTTGCGAACTCGCCTTTAACTCCTAAGACAAAAGTTCTTATAAAATCAATGGAGAAGACAACGCGCATGTTGCTCATGCACCTATCCAGACGGTAAGAGTTTAACATGGCTAATACCTATCTACGTCACTAACATCATTCTAGGAACCCGCAGAATCCGCTAGTCGGTCGTATGCAACAATATATCGAACGTCTTATGCGTTCAAGAGCCGAAATATTTGATGAAGGTGGCCGTAAAAGAGCATTGGCAGAGCAAACCAATGGTGTAGAGGCCAAGCGCCAACGGACAGGAACTGCACCACCCAATCCGCAACTCGAAATCACCCCGCTGAAGCCAGGCCCTCATACCCTTGCAGAAGTCTTCACATTCACTAGTAACGATGGTCTGAAGCACTTCGACGTCAGTAACAATGTTCCAGCACCTATTGCCGCTAGAATCAGTGTTACTACCATCGCCCGTATAGACCCGCAGCTCCTAGATCGTGCTATTCAGGTATGTTAAAGCAATACACGCCCTTATGACTATGGCTTACCAAGATACAGGGTGTACGAGATCGCTTGACAACGCTGTACGAAGTCCAACCACAGCCAGTCAACCCCGAGACATCACCACTTGATGTTGAGGAAGACGAGGACGACTATGAGCCCGATTTTTATACGGCGGAGGACACTGAACAGATTCTAAACAAACTTGATTCTTCGCCTGCGGATGAACGCCATGAGCTAGAGAAGCCGGCATTGGGTGGTCTTGCGTTACCTACTTTCCGGCTACCGCCGGCGCCAACATTAAATCCTGAGCACGCTACCAAAGTAGGGCAAGGTTCGGTCACAAGAGTGTTTGGTACGATGAGAACTCTCGAGGATCCCGCCATCAAGAAGGCCAAGGCTGGCATCAATAGACTTGCAGCCAGCTCATACGACCGAGACTCCTGGATCACAGTAATAACCCGCTTGGCAACGAGGGCCAATGCAGGACTTGATATCCCGGAGGAAGATGAAGATACTAAAGGAGTTCTCTCAACCACCCGTCTGAGCGATGCTATTCGGGAGCAACTCTTCAGTTATGTTCTCGAGGACTTCCGAAAGCGTATCGAGGTAGCCGTGTCCTGGTTAAGCGAGGAGTGGTATAACGATAATATCCAAGAGCGAACCACATCATCTTCGCCTGTCCCTAGTGATATCCCGATTCACTATGAGAAATGGACACTGCGTCTTCTAGACGGATTCATTCCTTATCTCCATTCCCAAGACAAGGTGCTCACACGGTTCCTAAGCGAGTTGCCCGAACTCAACCTAGCCATCTTTTCACGAGTTAGAACCTTATGTCGAGATCCAAGCTTGGTAAATCTTACTCTCACAACCCTATACTACCTAGTAATGATGCGCCCGCCCGTAAAGGATCTCGCACTGGACGCTATTCAGGACATCTGGACAGACTATGAAGACGCAAGACCTATAGCTGCCAAGTACTTGCAAAGATGGCGGCCTAGCTTCGTAGAAACAGCACAACAAACTATACCCGGGAGTGAAGGAGTTGTTGGTACCAGCGTCACTACAGTTGTTACGTGATACCCACTTAATTACGATTGCGTTGAGCCTTGGGAGGTTAATTATAAAGGAGGCTATCTCTTAGCTCATACCTAGTAGATGTGGCGGTTCTCGGAGGCATAAAGGCCTGAATGATATACCACGATATTGGCGGATGGAGGAACAGGCAGGGTGCCTGGAAAATGTAAATCATTATTAGGGATTAAACAGAACAGCGACGGCCACATGTACAGAGAGATAAAGGAATCGTTATGGAACTCGATTCCTAGAGATGGTGAATGAATGATAAAATACAGGAATACATCAAACATAAGTATATTGATGTATTGAGGTACCTACATGTGCCTACTAATTTACTATGTAGATGTCTTCTAGTCTGCAAGTCCAATAAATTCAGTATAGACGCATATATCCCATACGTCTAATAGTAAGACAGTATTATTAAGTGCAAAGGCTATGCTTATTTACTGTACAGCTGAGCCACAGCTGACGCGCGACCTCTTGTTAAGGAGGAATTAAAGTAGGTCCACTTAATGCTTTAGGATAACGGTTAGTTGCATATGCTTAACTTACAGGCATTGAGACCCGGCAACGAATAATTCCAAGTTACCTCATACAGAGCTACTTCACCTCATACAAACATCTAATACCTATAGCTTTAATTCTAGCTAGTCAACCAGCGAAACAATCTTTCTCTTTTTTTCGAACTCGCCTATCGATGGAATAGCTTAGAAAGAATATACGAATATCTACACAACGAGTAACATCCTTACTCTGTAGTGCCTCACAATGGCACCTCGCATCGAGGCTCAGGAGATCGAAACGTATTGGAACATATTCACAACCAGGACCAATGGCGGCAAATACTTAACGGGCGAGCAAGCGGCGCCGCTACTGAAGAACAGTGGGTTACGGGACGACCAGCTTGAGCGTGTATGGGATGTAGCCGATGTAGACAACGATGGTAATCTCGACTTTGAGGAGTTCTGTGTGGCTATGCGCATCATCTTTGACATAGTGAATGGTGTAAGTTGTCCACCTGCAGGTCGGACTATACCGAAGCGAGCGGCTAACATAGGCTGGAAATCAACAGGAATATGCCGATGTGCCAGCGACGCTACCAGACTGGCTCGTCCCCGAATCTAAAGCCCATCTCGTCCAGGCCAACCGCGCCCTCACAGGCAAGCAGGCGCAGTTCGAACAAGTTGACGACGACTCGGATACCCCGGGGCTCAAGGATGGCTTCGATTGGTATATGAACCCTCAGGATAAAGCCAAGTATGAATCGATATACCAGGAGAGTCGAGACATGCGAGGAGAAGTGGCCTGTAAGTCCTATTTTTTTCTTCCCGCACCCCCTTTTATTATTCTGCCCTGACAAGAGGTAAGAAGACGTGAAGCAGCGAAGACTAATAAGGATGAGGAACAATAGTTAACTCCCTCGAGGACTTGTACGAATCCCTCGACGTGCCCGACACCGATATCCGATCAGCGTGGAACTTAATCAACCCCTCGGCCTCGTCCACCGTCAACAAGGATGCCTGTCTTGCCTTCCTCCACATCCTCAATAATCGACACGAAGGCTACCGGATCCCGCGCACGGTGCCCGCGTCCCTACGCTCCTCCTTTGAGCGCAACCAAATCGACTACCAGGTCGATAGCGCTCGCAACAACCCCGCCGCCTCGCGCTGGGCCGCTCGCGCCGACGAAAACACGTCGACCGGCCGCAAGGCCAAGTTCGGCGATCAATACCTAACGCGCCTCGGCCGCGGCGGCTTCAAGGCCGCGGGCACGGACTTCAGCTCCGCCCAGAGCGACGAGCAGTGGGAGGAAGTACGGCTAAAGAAGCAACTACAGGAGATCGAGGACCGCATGGCGAAGGTAGAAGCCGATGCGAATGCTCGTCGGGGTGGCGGAAAGCGGGATACCAAACCTGCTCTCGTCAAGCGCGAGCTCGAGCAACTGCTCGACTACAAGCGTCGCGAATTGAGAGATATAGAAGAGGGCAAGGGGAAGGCGAAGACGGGGAGCAATCTTCGTGTTGTTGAGGACGATTTGCAGACGGTGCGGGCGCAGATCGAGGGCTTGGAGACGCATCTCTCGAGCCGGATGCAGGTTTTGGACCAGTTGAGGAGGGAGATTGAGGATGAGAAGGCGGGGAGGTAGGGGGTTACATATTTACCTCCTAGATCGAGCAATATCGTTGATGGGGAGAGGACAAGAAGATGAAGATGAAGAGAATGAGAAGGGTTTCCTCTCGTCTGAGACGAGAAATCGCTTGAGGGATGATAGAATCCCCTATGTGCGCAAGGCGGATAGCGAACTACAATACCTAGTCTGTAATTCAAATGTACTGTATAAATTTCCAAGTTCCGGTTCTATTGCGAGTTGTTGAACTCGAGTCAGGTTGGCTATAATAAATAACAATTACAATAATAATCACAAATCTAACATTTAGGTCATTAACTATCAGATTTGAAGTTTTTGGGATATTAGTAGCTACGGACGTGGCAAGATAGTTCTTAGCGATGTGTATATCACAGAAGAAGAAAAAGGAAGAAAAAAAGGAGTTAGGAATATCGTCTATTATCTCTATTATAAGACTATTGTCGAGAACCGATTCATCATTAAAAGAAGGAAGGGGGGCAGGGGTATCTTAGGGTGCACATTACGGGTTCTCTCCTCGGCCCCTATTCATCACAAGCGAACTATCCGACAATATCCTTAAAGCAGTATCCCTCTAAACCAAATTATCTCGAGGTAGGCCGGGCTCGACGAAAATATGCGGGTATTCGTAGTCTAGAAGGCGCTACCGTCGACGTAAGCAGGTAGCGACTGGATACCGAGGGTTTTGCCCTTGATTATGTAGACCATGATGGAGAAGACTTTAACGGGGCCCAGACGACCAGCTCCGCGACTTCGGCCAGTGGCTACCATGAGAACGTCCATCGGAAGCGTCTTGACGGGAGTAGGCGCCTTGCCCTTGAGGACGAGATCGATGTTCTTGGCGACACCAGCAGCCTTTAGGTAGTAGTTAGTTAGTAAAAGTTATCTGTTTATTTATATGTCCCGTCGTTTTCAATCCCTGATATTGATTCAGAGGTGGTGTAGGAGTAAATAAACTTACCTGTTTATCCGAAAGCACGAAGCTACCACGAGGCTTCCACACGATGTCACCTGCTGCCCAGACGTCCTTGGTGCCCTTGGCGCGGTAGAATTCGTCAATGTCGACGAATTTCTTGTCCGTCAGCAAGTCTACGGGCAGGTACTCGGTATTAGGCCGCATGCCCATGGTAGGCAAGTACAAGTCCGTTAGAATCTTCTCGCCGCTCTGCAGCACAACTTCGGTCTTGCCCTCGGGCGTGGAGTGAGCCGCATCGACACGGGCTGATTTCCGTACTTGCACGCCCAGCTTCTTCAGCTCGCTGGATACGTTGGACGCCAGGCTGTCGCCACCCAGGATCTCTTCGTCACCGGAGAGCAGAATGACTTCCTTCTCCTTTCCGTATTCAAAAGCAATCTCGGCGGCCACCTCGACTCCCGTGCTGCCTGCACCTGCAACTACAATATGCTTCGCAGTCTTAACCTTGTCTTGGATTTGTGTTACGAGTCCGGTAACCTGTTCGTGCGTGCCATTACTCTTCCAAGGCACGGTGCCGTCGACGGCGCGCGTGCCTGTTGCTAGAACTAGGTGGTCGTAGTTTAGCACGCGCTCGCCACCATCCCGTGTTGACACTTTGACGGTCTTGCCAGTGATATCAACGCCCTCAGCGCTGCCGACCACGAACTCAAAAGAGTCTGCTGGGTACTTGGCGAATCCTTTCTCGATGGGCTGGCTGTATTGCTCCTCCTTCAAGGCGCCCGGAACAATAGCACGCACGGATGCCAGGTTCCAGTAGAAATGGCTGTTCTGCGACGAGGAGTTAGCAAAATCCCCATTATTCCTATACAATTCGAATTCCAGGTTGAAACCAAGTGGATTTGTTGAAATTCAATGCGTTGCATATCCTATACATAGGTGGTATTCAATCACGTGAATCCTCTTATACGAAGCTCAGCGTCGTATTGTTGTTTTCCAGCTTCGCCTTACTCCGGGGGTCTGGTTATAGAGCGTAGAAACCAACAACAACATTATCATCAACAAGTCCGCTTACTTTGGAAACAAGGATAACTTTTAAATCCTTAACATGAGGTTTCGTATATTTCAGCAGTCTATGGGCAACACCCACACCGGCGTAGGCGCCGCCCAATACTACGATCGTCTTAGTCATGTTTGTTGGCGAAGTCCGGTTGCTGGTAGGAAGGGGTTATGTTTTGGTGATGGTTCGGAGAGTTTGAGAACAAGATGAAGAACTTGGACAATGTATGAGAATAAATAGTTTTAAGGAAGGAAAACAAAATATGCCAAAGAAACGGCGAAGGAAGTAGCTCTCCCTCTCTCTAACTTTCGGACGTGTCGAGATCCGGCAGGCAGCTGTGACTTATATACCTTGAGCTGTCGGTTTCACAGCAGGGAGGAACGGACCCTTATCATTCGATAGACTTTCACGCCTCAAACAACGGAGACCCCACTCAAGCCGAAAGGCCTAAAAGACCCAAGTTATTCATTTTTCACATAACTATCACATATTTTACATACCATTTGCATAGTTACCATCTACATAATACTACAATGTTTTGGTGGCTGCACAAAGAAGCCACTATTGGTCATAAGAATTGGCTCGGAAAACTTGAGATGAATAATATTCGTCCCATTGCTGACACAATCCAGTTTACTAGTATCATATTTAATTTGTCAATATGCGTTAGATTCATAGTCTTTTACAAGTAAAGGGGCGCTAAGGTTCAACGGTTATTCTTAAGGCTTCGGGGAGTTTAGGTAGTCTATTCCCCTTGATATGTTTATCTACCTCTGTCCGGCGGCCGTCCGAACGGCCATTCCCCAAACTAGGCTTCAAAGAGTTAAGTGAAATATCACGACTAAGGTGCAATACCCCTTGATTAGTCTAATGATGAATAATCTGACCAATAGAATGACTAATGCCATAATTTCTACTAGAGAAATATCGAGTCTCGACTTTGTATTTTGTCTTTTGTTTTTTGTCTTTTTCTACATTGTTTATCAACGAGCCCGACGTACATGATACCTCTGTCCTTCTCGTCCGACGGCCGGACAAGTCTTATTGGAGTTATCATTACACTTAGCCATCAATACTACTTCACCTAGGAAAGTGGAGGACTTTCTCGGTCCCGAAAGACTATTAGGACGAGGCTCTAAAAGTTTATGGGGAACAGATATCGGGCGCGATCTATTGGAGTCGAGACAGACAAGGGGGTTTCGTTCTCGTTGGTTTATTGGATAGCCTTATGAAATCCGAATAAATGCTCCCCCATCTAGGAACTTTACCGAAATGGGATTGCACGTTGCAGGGTCCTTTCGCATCAATGCGCGGGTTTTCATATTGAATGGCGTAATGCATGGTTTTCCATAGGAATGTGACAATATATTGGCCATAATTCAAATGAGCTGAGCTCTATACTGATAAGGCTAGCTAGAAAGAATGCATCTGCACGATGGTGTGTTAATTAACTAATTTAACACCAGGTAACAACAGATCGTATATCATCATTCTCCCTATGTTAAAGGAGTGTGATATAACTATTAATACACTTAATAAATTTCTTCACCGAATCCAACGGCGCAACCGAATTTGTCTTTTTTATATAAGTCTAGTAGATACCAACCACTTAGGCACGGTAATCATATATCGGAACGGGTAGAGATCCATTGCCCGTAAATCTAAGTGGTTCGGAGACGGTACATATTTACACCGATGCACGAAGCCGGGCCCCGGGCCTTGATCTCGAGGATCTCCATCTTCTGAAAGATTGCGGGTCCCTGAAAGCAATGCCACCAATTAGAAGCGGGTAACACTCGCATCACCCCGCGCAGCAAACGCATGACGAAAGTCGTCATGGCTGAAGCAACATTGAAATTTGAAAGTATTGAAGCAATCAACCCCGCCAAAACCTATTTGACCTACCTACTTACTTACACCTTAAGTTTCTAACATCATAAATTAATAAAAATCACAATCAGGTACCCATAGCTCTCTCATATATATTTAGCTAATCCCGTCTTTATATCTACTAGTTATATAAGGAAGTCGTTAGTAGAGTCTACAGCTAACACGGGATCGAATATTTTAGCCCTCAAATACTCCCTAAACCTCTTAAACTCGTCAAAATGGTCGACATCAGCCCTGCTTTTGCTAAGGCCCAGGAGGACTCCAGGAAGCTCACCTCCAAGCCTGGCAACGATGAACTCCTCGAGCTCTACGGTACTTAATCCCCTTTCTCTTTCCTATTATATATATGCAAACCACCTATATCTAGCTACCGTCTCCTATGTCTCCTATAGCCCAATAACGGAGAATGTATACAATAAAAGTAAAGAAGCTGACAACAGTCTCCTTATATAGGTCTCTTCAAGGTCGGCAACGGCGAAGACTTCAGCAAGGCCGAAAAGCCCGGCGTGTTCGACCTAAAGGTACGCGAACTCTCTCTCTCTCTCTCGTTTCTCCCTCGCAGCCAATCCCAACAAGCGGGATTCGCGTAGGACAACGGTAGCACACGCATAAACTAACCCGACCACGTAGAACAAGTACAAGTACCAGGCGTGGCAGAAGCTCGTCGACGAGGGTATCAGCCCCGCGGACGCCCAGGACCGCTACGTCAAGCTCGTCGAGACCCTGAAGGAGAAGTACGGCTACGACGCGAACAAGGAGCCCGAGGCCGTCAAGAGCTCTTAGAATTCGTATAGAGCTCTAAGCTCCTCCGTCGTTGCAGATTTATCTATCGCGTTCTCTTCGTATTACCTAGACTCGTTAAGTCGATTAGCCAGCCCCCCGTGTTCATACATAGCGATGTTAGGTGCGCTCCAGTTTCGAAAGGAGCCCTGGGATTCTTCGCGGTTAGACTACGTGGGCAGCGATGCGCTGCAGACGTTATAGATATATAGATTAATCTATACCATCATGTGAACGTGCGAACGCGACTTCAAGATAATCGAGGGAAGTGATTTACGAATAGATCTGTTTCATACTCGAGTTGCTCGTTCAACTTAATAGCTCTGCTACACATCGTCCTACATTTATATCTCCTGCGTCTAATCCTTCCAAAAATGACCCATACAGTCGGGTTCCGTATAGCTTGCCGTAGCTACCCATGGAACTTCATTGTCTCCGTATCTCTGTAGAGGCAGGCTATACGGTATCCTTAGACCAACTATGGGCTCGTCCCCGTCTAGATCGTCTTTTGCAGGCGTATCCGTCTTAAAGATACCAACCATCTTAGCCCCGTCCGCAAATAATTCAGGCCACACGAGGACGCCAATCTCCCATGAGGCAATTCGTATCTGCCCGGTGTTTGCGGCTTCACCCCAGGCCTGCTTTGATATGTTGGCGGATGTGAGCAAGGCCCAATCGATGGTCTTGTTCTCGTTGTACCGTATGTAAGTCTTTATATGTGGCGCGGCACGTTTGCGTCCTGCATCCTGGATGCTACCCTCTTCGACTAAGGTATGGTTAGCTTAACAGTCTTTTAATGTACATTATGGACGAGTGAAGTTAAAGACATACTTAGCCCCTTCTCGCAATCGTTAGCCCAGTGGTGGAATATAGGTTTCATGTATTGAAGTTGCTTGGCTTGAGCTGCTGATTGTATCTTCATGTGTATAGAAGCGCCAGAAGCGTAGCCATCTAAGGAACGTCTTATCTCATCTGGAGTAGGAAATATTATCTTGAATTTAGGCTTCGAGGAACTCGTTCTCATAGATGATAATGGGTCAAATAAGGTGTGCTTTAGCCAGGTGTCTGTTGCACCCAGAGTTGCAATAGACGATATTTGCACCACGATCTCCGATTTCCCCGGCTGGATAGGGACAGGACTGAGGGCGTGTTTAACACCTGCCCATCCCCAGCGAGTCTTGCTAGGGTCGTCTCCGTTTATATCATGTCTTCCGGGTACGCTGGCAACTAGCGCCCCTCGTACGGCACTGAAGTCATATTTCTCCAGTTCATCAACCATGGACTTGCATATCTGTCTTTTAGTATTGTACGCTCGTAAGTAATTTAGCAAGTCGATTTTAAATCTTGGCCCGTAGCCAATGCGCATATCTGTTTCAGAAGACTTATGCGATTCCGTTAGGCGAGGGAGTCGTGGAGTTTGCCAAACGCCGTTGGTCAAATTCGTCCAGTCTTTTGAAATCATGTTGGCTGTACAAATAATAACTTGTGCTGTGTCGTCATGCCTAAATAATACAAGCATCTTCGAATGGTGAGTGCCGAATATCTCTGGCATGTATGCTGTATGAAGAGTGACATTTTTGTACTGAGAAGACTGTTTCTATATTGGGTGTTAGCATCAATACCTCATTCGAGTATGACTTATAAGTATTCTAGATTATTCAAACGGGGTTGGCATATGGCTATTAAAACTAGTTATACAACACATCACAATGCTTCTACGGTAGTTGGATTCAAGTTGAAAGTTAAGGGGGAGTATTCGTAAGTTTTTATAGTATGCTTTCTTTCAATATGTTAATATAATACCAACTCTTTTCATCGTATCATCACTCGCAACATCATGACTTATAGGTGACCAGCTCATCCGTACATATTAGGTAGTCTCACAAGGTACTGTGTAACCTGTACTTTAAACGTAGTGCGCACAGCATTACAGAAGATGGGAGTAAGCTTACCTCAAGCGACAACCTATTAGTATCCTCTCTCTTCCAGAACCCGTGTACGATATGAACTTTAACGAGCGACCTTGTATCCTCATCAAAATGGCTCATAAGAAAGTCCACATCGTGTAAGTAGTTGAACTCCCAGCACTCAGCTATTAGTGGATCGCCGAGAAGATCATGGAGGGAGACGGCTCCGATATTTGACTCTTCCGAAAGGTCCCTAATAGTGGTAAGCTTAAATGGAGACTCAACGAGTTTACACTCGTGAGTTCTCCTTTTCCTTGGTGGACTAATTGGGTGTGAAAGTGATGCTGGTATCTCATTGGACCTTTTCGTAGTGTTATCCCCTTCTGTATTACTTAAACGACGGCGCTTTGCTGAAGGCTCCGGCATGTCGAAAAACGGGGGTAGATGGGGACTACGTTGTATCAGTGAAGTGCAACGCGATTATCAAGATCCCTTCTAAAGGACGGGCTAAATGGTATATAAACATCAGCTGTAGCGGAGGCTATACCTACGAAAATGCCAAGGCTAGAGAGTTCAATGTTCGAAAAATATGCAGAAAGCCGATGTTAATATTAATCAAGTTTCAAGCGTAAAACAATCTCACAGGGCTGACGCGGACGGGCTGATTTGTGTTTAATGCTTCATGGCTAATGTCGCGATGGCGTAGCTTGGCAACCGATTGATCGTCGTAAATGTCCACTACTTTGAATTATGTGCATAGCACAACATATTACTAAATACGAGACTTTATTTAGCATCTGTTAAGCCATGTGAGATCTGGATGGTGAAGAGAGAATTTCAATATGTTACGCTATATTGAATAGAACCAAGTTATTTTTTAATTTATGAAGTTAAAATGGTATACATATCTGTCTATAAATATTATGTACCTATGAATAGAACATAGTAGGTAGGTACATTCCTGAGTTAAGACCGGATATGCCACCTTGCATCAGCCACATGGTATACATAGGTAATAGATACCTATATCATCTCATCGTGGCTAAGCACACTTTTGTTAGTGGTGTCCTTTTCAAGTATCGCTATTGCTGTAAGGGGTCGTGTGGAGACTCTTGATAAGGTTAAGACACACTGTATAACTAATTAGGAAAAGTACTAGCAAGGTAGCTCTTGTTTGCCTCTGACCATGAGTTGGCCTAGTACGGCTGTTTAGGTACTACGTGATACTCACTTTAAACTCTCCACACAGTCAATAACACCAAGAGACAGCAGAAGGCGGTGCACTGTTTTCTGGCCTTATGGAAAAGGTAAAGTGATAGTCTTGTTTCAACAATCCAATTTTCGCATCCTTCCCAACTTACGTACTTTTTTATCATCTTAACCATAGAAGTGATACAGACGACTATTAGTGACCTCGAGCCTCTTGAATGAATCTCTTTTATATTTTTGCTCCGGGTTGGCTTTTAATTCTGCAGAAATAATCATCTGCTTTCTTTTTTCCTATTCTCTTTTCATTCCTTGTTAATTTTCTTCCCACTGGACATATTCCGATGTACTGGAGCCGGTAACGCGCGACTCTCTCTTCGTTGCCCCTTTCTCCAAACACTAGACCGGAAAAAGCTCCTTGCCAACAACTTCAGTCCCTTCTCAACCTTTTGTGCTGAGTCGCGCGCTTGGCTATCTTAATCAATATTCGATTGACGCGACGACTTTTCTCTCCTACGTCGACGCTTTCTCTGCTATCATTGGTTGTTTAATCATTAATACGCTCGTTATTCGCGACAACAAATCGCACCCTATTAGCCATGAGGCTCGCCTCTCTCGCGCTGTTCCTCAGCGCTGCCGTCCTCGGCACTGCGCAAGCAATTGGTTCAGAGACAAGTGATAGTCCCGACCGAGAGAATACATATTTTAATGGCAAGAGAGTACCTCCATTGCTCGAATTAACCCCCGATACCATCGATAAGGAGCTGAAACTTTCAAAATTCTTGGTTGTCAAATATTACAGGTAAGACATTTTTATTACTAGGCTTTGGCTTTGGCTTCGGCTTCGGGATTCCATACATTATTTTCCGATAATGATATGTCCCTTCAGTGTTACTCTGTAGTATATCTTAGCCATTTACTTACCATTTAATAGTCCGTTTTGTATTCACTGTATAGATTATGCGCCGACCTATCAGACTTTGTACGAATACTACTACACTTCCAAAGCCCCGAGCGACCCGGAATCAGGATCCGCTGCAACTTCCTTCGAGAAGTTTTACGATATCCGATTTGCTGAGCTAAACTGTGTGGCTTATGGCGATCTATGTTCAAAGCATGAGATCACTACATGGCCCGAGACCCGAATTTTCAAAGATGGCGAGGTCGCTGACCGTGTCAATGGTGGTAAAGATATAACTGTCATCTCGAAAATGATTGAGGGCGCGCTCGAGAAGGAAAAGCCTGGTACTCGCCCTAAGGAGCTTTCGCTGCCTAAACCCGGTGCAAAATCGTTTCCCGAAGGATCATCCGAGACTGAAGGAACTGCTGAGAAGGTTGAGAAGTCTACGAAGGGCGAATCCGACGATGCTACTCCTGCGACTAAGTCTACGCCGGTGAAAGTGGACAGCGTGAAACCATCCAAGCCGACCAAGACTCCCAATCAGCAAGGGATTTCCGTATCCCTGACGGCCGAAAGCTTTCAGACTCTTGTAACAATGACCCAAGAGCCGTGGTTTATCAAATTCTATGCTCCTTGGTGTCACCATTGCCAAGCTATGGCTGCAAATTGGCAGCAGCTAGCTAAGGAGATGCAGGGTAAACTTAATATCGGTGAGGTCAACTGCGATGTGGAATCTAGGCTATGCAAGGACGTTCATCTTCGAGGTTACCCTAGTATTCTATTCTTTAGAGGGGGCGAGCGTGTTGAATACAATGGCTTGCGTGGTCTTGGCGATTTCCTTCAGTATGCCGAAAAGGCTTTGGATATTTGCACTGGCGTTCAGGATGTTGATGCCTCGTCTTTCAAGGCCCTCGAAGAGAAAGAGGATGTTATCTTCGTCTATTTCTACGATCACGCCACTACAGCCGAAGACTTCATGGCCCTTGAGAGATTGCCCCTCAGTCTGATCGGTCACGCTAAGCTGGTTAAAACAAAAGACCCCGTACTCTACGATAGATACAAAATTACGACCTGGCCTAGATTGCTTGTCTCGCGAGAAGGGCGACCTACGTATTACACACCCTTGACGCCTAGAGAAATGCGCGATACTCATCTGGTTCTTACTTGGATGAAGTCTGTCTGGCTGCCTATCGTCCCAGAGCTTACCGCCTCGAATGCCCGTGAAATCATGGATGGAAAGATCGTTGTCCTAGGAATCCTAAATAGGGAAGACCAGGAGACCTTCTTAAGCGCCAAGCGCGAAATGAAGCGTGCCGCAAACGAGTGGATGGACAAGCAAATACAGTTATTCCAGCTAGAGCGACAGAACCTTCGTGACGCTAAGCAGCTCCGCCTCGAGGAGGCGGAAGACCGCAATGACCAAAGGGCTCTGCGAGCCGCTAAAAGTATCCGCATCAGTATGGACATGTCTGACCGTAAAGAGGTTACATTTGCCTGGGTAGATGGTGTCTTTTGGCAACGGTGGATTCGAACCACTTATGGTATCGATATTAAGGATGGTGAGCGGGTGATCATAAACGATGAGGACGTAAGTTTAGACCTGAATGATCGTTTCGTTATATTGTATTAACTTAATTATAGAACCGACGATATTGGGATATGACCATCACGGGCAGCCCCATCGTCCCCTCGCGTGTATCGATCCTAGAGACCATCTCGAAGGTCACTGCGTCTCCCCCGCTAATTAAACCCAAGCTCACGATTTCGAGTTTCGAAAAGATCTTCTTCGACATACGAGTCACCTTTACCGAGCATCCGTATCTCTCCTTCGGCTGCATAGCAGGAATTGGTCTTGGATGTGCCTCATGGTTCCGGGGACGAATCCGGAGGAACCGTGGCCACTTCCGCCTAGAAGACAACCTTCCTATCAAAGAAATAAAGGAGGGTCTCCTTGGTAACACAGCTAATGGGAAGAAGGACTGAATAAGCATTTTTCAGGCGGGGAAATAAAGATTTGAAGCATTGGCATTTGGGAAGACATGGGTTACTGGAGTTGATATTCACCCAGCGGGAGTTTCTGTATACTACTCTCTTGTGTCCTCGCGCTTGAACAGGCGACCCATACAATTGCCCATCGTCATTTTTTCTACATATGGTGTCTTGGTTATGGATACGTTCTACATTAGTATAGAAAGCTACGGCACGTCACGTCACGAAGCTTTGGGACTACGGAAACGAAATGGAGGGGTGGCGGGGCGGAGCAGCTGAGGGTGAAAAGACGAGAGTGGTCAGGATAGACCGAACTCTCTTGTGTTTCTATCATGACAGCAGAGACAAATGCATCCTCATAATAATATCCCTTTACTATTTTGATATTAATCTGCTACGTCTTGGTTTTAGATGATCGGGTTATCTCTATGTTTAATGCTTATGTAGGATTTTATGAATAACAATGCCAATTATAATCATTAAGAAGTCTAGCATGATGATGATATCGTAACTCAACGCAGGTTATTATTTTCAGAGTTGCCTACCTAGGTATCTAGGTAGATGAAAAAGCAGGCAGACAGCAAGATGAGCTCGTCTTTCTATAGCTAAACCCCCTATTCAGGGCGCAATCTATATAATTGTCCGATCGGGTACATCTTAAGTGTAGATCTGATCTGTGAAAGCATTTAGACTAAGTCCGTTCTTCGCGAGGTCCTCGACTTCGATCAAAAACTCAAGAGGCATCTCAACCAAGGTGCCGCGGACACGGCTTAGCCAATCCTTGACCTCGGAAACGCCACCGGGGAACTCCTCGCGCACGACGTGTCCGTACTCGGCCTTGCTCTGCCCCTCCTCCTCCTCCTCGCGCCTGTGCCTGCGCTCGTTCTCTTCCTCGCCGCCGGGGATCGTAAAGTGGCGGCTGAAGAAGTCGTCGTATTGCTCCCAGGTACGCACTTGGTCGTTCGGCACGGGGTGAAACACCTTGCTGAAGACCTCGGTGTTGGTGCGCGCCGTCTCCGTCCACAGCCGCCAGAAGTCCTCGCTCATCGGGTCTTCGACTAGCCTGTCCGACGGCGACCCCCAGTCGTACTGCTGCGGGTCCCGGTCCACGGGCGTCCAGTTGGCGTTGGGCTCGTCCCAGCGCTGGTCGGGTAGGAGGCCGAGGTGCTTGCGGTAGAGCTGGCGGCGCAGCGACGTCGCGAAGCGGGACGCGCTGAACGGGCGCCCGTTCATGCTGCTTTCGACAGGCTCCTGGTCTTCGATTACGACGGCGATTTCGGAGTCGTGCGTCCCGAGTTGGCTGCGGTCGTTGAGGTTGGCTGAGCCGCAGATCACGAGGCGGTCGTCGGCGATGAGGACCTTGCTGTGGATGTATAGCTCCTCGGACACGAACGCGTTTATCTCGTCCTCTTCGCTGCCGTTCCACGGGACGTCGCGGATGTCGGTACCGCCTTCCATGTAGCAGCTGGACACGGTGTCCCAGGTGCTGTCGTCGACTTTGGAGGCGGCGGATTGGTAACGGTCGTAGCTGCCATCGTCGCCTCTCCTATTTTCATCGCCGTAGCGGTAGCCCTGCTCCCTGTCGTCGTGTTCGCGACGGGCGTCTTCGTAGGACACACCGCTGTCTTGTTCGGCTTGTCTTAGAGTAGAAGATAGGTTGATACGGTCGTAATTACGTAGGTTGTAGAAGCCGATGTAACGGCGCCAATCATCCACGCCCTGTTGTTGTAGGGACTCGATGATGCTGTGGCCACCGCGGTTGATACTGTTGTATTGCTGTAATGTTGAGTTAGCGGTTGCTTTTCTTAAATAGTTTCAGGGCGTTACAGATGTCCCGGGGTATAATAGCCAACCACTCAATCTAGTCGACTATGGGGTTCGGACTCTTGAGACAGGATAGAAGGATTCAGTGTTACGTACGAATTCCATAATAGCACGGGTTCCGAGGGCACCGTCGGCCTTCAAGTCACCGGCAAACGCAGGCACGGCTGGCATCAGCACAATGACGCGGAAGTCCTCCCTGTTGTTATGGGCGCGGACAATGCGTGATACAATCGTGGCACCTATCTTGTTCTCAACCGGACGCTGTTCATCAGATGTAGCTGTGATGAAGAACTGACTCGTGTTAGATAACTAATAAAAAGCACTGCTCGATTCAAGAGCTTACCTGGTTCTCAATATAGACAAAGTGCTCGGCATTTTCAATAGCGTTAATGTACGCATTGGCAATGGAGTGTTCCGTTGGGTGGCCGGCGGACCAATCGCAGCAACTTTAAGATAGTCAATATTGCATGACCCAACTATAACCATTCATAGGAGAGAGCATAGTCTTACCTTCTGCAAAGCTGGATCTTAATACCACCAGAATTGTCATAGTTGTCACCACCTCGGCTGCGGTGCTCTTCTTCGCCTCCTTCGCCCACAAGCCGTCTTATACCGCGATTAAAGTGGCCCTGGAAGTCATCGAACATACCATGGTGTTGTTCTCCACGGGACCTTTCGGCAGAGCCGCCAACCACGATCCTCTGATACTTGCCCGTATCTTTCTTGGTATATTTCTCACTGTATATGAAGTTCCTAAGACCACGTTAGTTATGTTTTATAAATTTTTCATAGGCGCTTACCATCGGTCTGTAAAGTGGTCGATGAGACTGTGCACGATAGGGCCTTTGAGGGAAATGGCAATATCAGACCAACCCATCCTTGAGTTCTTCGTTCGGTCGACTGTTTCGGTTAGAATATTTGACCGAATTGATTAGTATATAATGAACTCACGTTGGTTGTGATCCCAGTTGTCTACACCTTCAAAGTCGTAGACACGAGCATTGTTAAAATCTTGACCGGGGAAGACAATTGCGTCTAAATTACCGGGGTGAGCATCGGCAATAGGGTGACCTATTCGTTTTCAGCAAGCCGAGGCATCAATATAAGTACCATAGGATAAACTCACTGTTTGTATCGTATCTTCCAAAGCCTGGAGATATGTTAGCACTAATTTAGGGGCTTGGATGTTCCACGTACACATATCGAGACCACCCATGAAGGCGATGCGTCGATCGACGAGACATAACTTCTCGTGATGGGCCCAGTACAGGACAGTGTCACCAAATGAACCGTAAAGTTCCTTCAGTGCATCTCCGGAGACCTTGGACAAGCGAAAATCATTTAACTTGAGGTTTTCCAAAGACAAATCGGCAAAGGCTGTCTCAAGCTTCGACCGGTCTGTCGGCAGATGATCGGGGTGTCTAAACACTTTAATATTGGGATGTAGGGCCTCCAGGGCATGTTTGGTATGCTAACGAGAATAATCAGTAAGTTACATAAGTCTTAGATATAATATAGATACTCACCGCAGAGTCCACTAGTGGTGGTCCAATAGGTTAGCCGATCTCGTAGTTAGTGATAAAAGCTTAGTCAAGGGAGAACATACGGGTTAGGGCCTGAGTGACCTCCTTGTATACGATAATGCGTATTTCAACGCCTCTCTCAGCAGCTGCCCGCAGCATGTTATCGAGGCGGTACTGCTGATTACGCGAAGGAGGTCGACGAAGGTAGAGCTCCGGGCTCAGCCACCAGTCTAGAATATACACGCTTTCTCTAGCCTCTATGTTTTAAATTAACTGAGCTGTTCACGGTAGTATACTAGGCTTTAATTTAATATCACATACCTTCAAGAGCTAAAGATACGGCGTAGAAGTATGATGCTCCATCGACATACCACTTGACAGAGCCAGTAGTCTGAGGTGCAAAAGACTGGAAACGATAGTTGCTGGGCGCTTGTTGCTCAACGGCGCCTCCATCATCCTGCTGGGAATGTTCTTCACTGTTTCCCTTTAAGGCTTCCTTCACATCTTTAAAAGCATCTTCTGCCTTTTGCAGAAATTGCTCCATGTTGGATATGTTGGATATGATTGGGTTGTAAGTAATATGTAGGTCAAATGATGACTTGGCAAAAAGGTGGTGAGGAATCTAGATATCTAGGTAGACTTCATAGAAAAGGAAATAGACAATGGCTTAGAAGATTTAAATCAGCTGGGTTAGGTAGGTACTTAAGATAAATAGGCTACACTAATCCAAGATTTAGCTACGGTTTGTATACAAATCTGTATCCAAGAACAACCGTTGCGGTCAAGTTTGAATCACAGCTCTTATGTCGTGGAGGGGTGACGAAAGTCCTTGGTGGGACCCGGGAAACGGCCTTCAAGCTGAAGTCTTGGCTTGCATCAGCCCCCCTAATGATCATAACGAGCAAATCAAGACTAAAAGCAGCTTTCTCAATACGATTTATGAATGGTCACACCTGGTAACGAAGACCTTCTAAGCTGATGTGGTGATAGGATACTAACAGGCCTATCAGATGCAACGGTGCCCCTCCCCCACTAGGTTACAAGTTATAATTTACAACAGATAATTATGCACTGTATAGAATACGGTATTGAGTATCCTGTTTGTGGATAAGGAGGAGACGTTGGTGAGTGACGGAGGGGCATCAAAGATGTTTCAAGGAGAATAAAAGTTACCCGCACCCGCACTTATAACAGTTAGTTACATAATACGTGTAGTTATGTCCATATAACCTAAAGTAATGCATATATATACCCATGTCGTGTGGTCGTGTAACATTGTGCAACTATTTATGCAATTACCTAACTCTAATCTATAACGTGGGCGGTAAGAATGGAACTCATCATTCACCGCCTTCCATAACAAGAGAAAAAGACCGGACGAATTCTAGACCCACTAAAATTTTCAATTGTCCCACTATTTGCGACAACTTGCAACTTTACATGCGCAAACCTATAATCAGTTAATTGAAAAGATATAGTAGTGCTCATACTAAGGGCCAATCGATTCAATATGCCTAAAAAACAGTCTAAGAAGCAAGATGCCCCATCTGCTACGGGTGACTCTCGATTCGCCAACTTCGAATCCGACCCTCGTTTCCGCCTACCCTCGAAGAGTCGAACCAAGACTACTATAGACAAACGCTTCTCACGTATGCTAAAGGATGATGATTTCGTTGCGAGTGCCAAAGTCGATAAATACGGCCGCAATTTGAAGTCGGATAATAAAAAGAAAGCCCTGCAAAACATATACGAGGCCGAGGATGACGAGGGTGCAGAAGTGGATGAAGATCGTGTTGTCGAGCGCGAACTTGAAAAGGCCAATACCAAATATGACGCGGCTCGTGGTGGTGGATTCTCCTCTTCTGAATCCGGCTCGGATGACGAAGAAGACAAAAACGAAGAGGATGAGGAGGCCGAAGTAACTACATCCGGAAGTATGCAAAGGTTGCGCGACGCTCAAGCAGACGTCGAAACTGGAGAGGTCACGAAACGGATAGCGATCGTTAATCTAGATTGGGATTATATAAAGTCTGCCGATTTACTAGCTCTCTTCTCTAGTTTTGTACCCAAAGGCGGACGGATCGAGCGAGTTTCTATCTACCCGAGCGAGTTTGGCAAGGAGAGGATGCAACGGGAAGAGTTGGAAGGGCCTCCCAGGGAGATCTTCAAGAAAGCTTCCGAGTCCCAGGACGAAGAATCTGAGTCTGACTCCGAAGATAGTGGCGACGACGAGGAAGATGACGAAAAGATAAAAAACGACATCCTTCAGGAAGGCGATGATCAAGATTTTGACAGTGATGCACTTCGAGCGTACCAACTGGACCGGTTGCGCTACTATTATGCCGTCATGGTATGCTCTGATACGGCGACAGCAGAGAAGATCTACGCTGCAACAGATGGCACAGAATACCAGTCATCTTCGAATTTTATGGACTTGCGATTTATACCTGACGATGTCACATTTGATGATGAGCCGAGGGATCAGTGCGATTCCATATCGCCTGATTATAAACCAACCGAGTTCACAACTGATGCCTTACAACATTCTAAAGTTAAACTCACTTGGGATATACACCCCGAGGAGACGACTAGGAGAGAGGATATCAAGCGGGCATTCAGTGGTAGTCGCGCAGAAATCGAAGAGAATGATCTGCGCGCTTATCTCGCAAGCGATAATAGTGACGACGAGGATGCTCAGAGTGAAGGAGAGGAGGACCAGGCCGAAGTAGCTGATGATCAACCGAAATTGACGAAAAGGGAGTTGAAAGCAAAGAAGCTACGTGAAGCTCTCGGTCTAGGCTCCGAGCCGTTAACACGGCCTTCTAAATCTGGACCGGTTGGAGATATGCAAGTCACATTCTCTGCTGCGTTGATGGATGATGGTAAAAAGAAGAAAGAGCCGGATACCGAAGAGACTACGATCGAAAAGTACATGCGCAAAGAGCGAGAAAGGAAAGCTCGGAAGAAGGAGAAGGTTGTAACGAAGCGTGATGAAGGTTCTGACCAAACAGATGATGATGATGAGGCCGAGAAACCTCAAAATGACCTCGGTTTTGATGATCCCTTTTTTACAACCGATGAACCCGTTAAAAAGTCAAAGCATACCGAAAAGAAGGAGGAACGCCGCAAGAGGCGAGAAGCAAAAGAAGCTCAAGCAGCCGAGAATGCTGCTCAGAAGGCCCAATTGGAGCGACTCATGGCGGAGGATTCCAAGGATGCTGCTGAGCATCTCGATCATTTCGACATGAATGAAATTTCTCGCGCGGAAAAGCAGAAATCTAAGAAGCACAAGAAAAGAAAGAAGGAAGTGGAAGACCATGGTGGTCTCCAAGAAGGATTCGAGATGGACGTTGAAGACGATCGATTTAAGGCTGTCTTTGATAGCCATGAATTCGCTATTGATCCTTCGAACCCGCGATACAAGGCTACGCCGGGAATGAAACAGCTGCTTGAGGAGAGGCGCAAAAAGCGGAAAACAGACACCGATGCGACTGATAGACAGCAGCGACAGAGCAGTAAAGCTAAGAAACAAAGGAGGTAGATGCAGGCAAACTGGAGTAAAATTCAATACCTTAGGTACATATCGCCTCTGATATACTCATGTTAGTTCATAGGTTAAACCCGCTTTATAGCTTTGAGTGATATATTCCTACGAAATCTAGTCTTCGGTATTATTCGTAATACGAATGTTGGCACGTAAATGCCCACGGTATCATTCTAATAAAATTTCTAACTTTGAACTTCACTTACCTGCCACTCGGAGACTAAATGCATACGTTTGAGTTATGTAGTATCAGGTGGTGAACGTGCTTTCTTGACTATCTACAACATAGTTTGGCCTAGTGATGGCTCGCTAGGTGCTCTCTCCTAGGGTTTCTCCTTTATCCATAGTCTGAGTATTCACCAATCATAGGTCGATCATGCGTATTCCCAAGCATCCGGTCCAGAGGACGTATAAGTCCTTACCCCAGTATTTAAGCAGCCCTCGGGTCCGTGACCAACGTACATCTGATACGTTCTCTCTCTTGGCTCGCCCTCGCTAACCGGGCACATCAGCCAGAACTGTCCGGCGTTTCCTAACACTACAGGGGCTCCAAACGACTCGCTGCGCTGTCTCTCGAAGCCGGTAGAAACGGATCCCTCGGGCAGCGCCCCGGAATGCGGTATAGTGTATGACAGCGAGCCATCTTCTGCGATATAGACTACGGGGTGTGGTTTAGCTTTCTCAAACGTTGAAGCGTGGATACTAAATATATAGGTAGGTAGGTAGGTAGGTAAGTATATATATATAAATGTCTCTCTTACCTTGCTGTCCGCCCGGAACTCCAACGTTTAGGAATAAAGTGTTGTTGCCGCCTGTGAATACGGTCTTGGACCCGGGGTAAAGAGAGCAGTCGAGGTTTTGTACGTCCCCGGGACAATAGGCGGACGTGTTCTTGTTGACGTAGAACTTTCCGCCGCTGGCGTTGATGGCGTCGCCGTTGAAAAATGTGTTGTCTTCGGTGGGCATTCTCCAGACGCCGGCAGTCCACTTGTGAGAATTAGTACCGAGACAGACAGACAGACATCTAACTAGCTAGCTGTAGGTAATGTATTGGATTTTACGTACGGGACCCTCTGGGACGGACCCAGCGCGCGGTATGATGGCTGCTGCGAGAGTGACGGCCGGGCCGACGAGTAATGCTGTGAAGGCTCGCATAGCCGTGGCGTAGTTATATAAGTTAATATACTGGTGAGGTGAAAGGACTGATTTGATTCGAAAGTATTAAGTACGCAGTACAGTTATCGATCACGGTTATTCCAAAGATACGGAAGAGTAAGTAAATACCTTAAGTTATGAATAAACGTGAAGGTGCGAGCGCATTTATATGAAAAAAGGTTAACTCTATAAAAGCTCTATATTCGTATCGATAAAACCACATGGGACACGAAGCTACATGTATGTCATGGCACGTTACCTAGGAGGGATAAAGCGTTCAACTAGGTATAAATAATGTCGTAAGGTCGGGAAATGCGACGTCGCAGTCGGGCGTTTACGTACGTAGGTAGGTTAGCTAGGTACTGGGTAAGTTAAGAATCTAGCCTTACCGGATAATATGTAGGTACCTAGGTAGGTATCCATGCGTCGAGAAGCGCAAGTATTTTATATTAATACGAGGACAGACGTAAGAGAGAGCGTCCCGTTTATGCACGGCTCCATTCGCTGGCAATTGCCTAATTATAGCTCGACACGTTTGGTTGCATTGGATTTCGTGCTAGTGCCATATATTCATTCTATTGCCATATATTCGTAGCTTTCGGTATAGCGCTGGGTATGAGCTGTGTTGAGTTTTATATATTATAAAGATTATAGTGAAACCGAGCTCCTTTACTTCAGGAAAATCTATAGTATGGGTTCTAATTACTAGAATGGCTAATGTTTTGGTTGTGATTATAATCTTGGCTAGTTCTCCTATTATTCTTAGTATACCGGCTTTATGGGAACCTGTTAGTTAGAAATCAAGTCAAGTTACCGAAACTGCCCTTACAAGTATTATACCAGTCTATCTAATATGATGTCTATCAAGAGGCTCTACTTCGTCGTAAACTCTTACCTAAGGGCCTTTCACACTGTCCTGTAGCGACAATTCGATATCTCTAGTAACAAAAATATCACCTAAGAGTTATTCATAGAAGATTATATCATGGTTCTGCGATGTTATGTTACTACTTTCTACTCGCAAAAATAACCCAATTCTCAGATGGGAAATAAGATAACTAATGGGTATGATCCTTCTCTTGCCTATGATAGCCGCTCTATCGTTATGTGGTGCTATCGGCTAGGCGAGTGTATATGCTCTGTACATTGCAACATGCTTTAAGGCCATCGACTGCCATAGAAATTCCGAGTCCGCTCTGCTTGTGACTTGAAAATGGGGTAGTAGTTTGGATCTCAGCGTGTGTGTTAATCCAAATATTACCAGCCTGAAGCTGCTTCCCCAAACGCTCAGCTTGGTCCATATCTCGACTCCACACCGATGCACCAAGGCCCATGTTGGTGTTGTTAGCCCTGGAAATGACATCGGCTTCATCTGACCATTTCATCAGGGGAAGAACAGGCGCTATTATACATGGGAATCAGATTAGTACTAGTATTTAGGTCATTTATCTGCGATGTAACTCACCAAACTGCTCTTCTATAACAACCCGTGCGTCCTCTGGTGGGTTATCCATGATTGTTGGGATAATGTAGTAACCGTTCATATCGGATAGGGGCTTCGTGCTCCCCGTTTCGACCGTAAGCTTTGAGCTTTCGACATTCGCGAGTAAGTCCTTGACATACTCAAAGTGATCTATATTGGATATTGGCCCTGTATAAGCGTCCTCGCCGGAGCCCAACTTCAAGGTTTTCACAAACTCGACCATCGCAGCTAGAACCGCGTCATAAACTGCTTCGTGGACGTAAATTCGTTTCGTCGCTACGCATAGCTGGCCCGAGTGCGAGAAAGCGACAGAGGCGATTTTTATCGCCACAGAGGTAGGATCGACGTTGGCACAAACGATAGCTGGATCATTACCGCCTAATTCCAGTACCACTCGCTTCACTGTCTTGCTACAGGATTCCATCACCTTTTTTTCCACCAAAGTACTACCGGTAAAGCTCACCATTTGAATATTCGGATGTTCGGTTAGTAACTGCGGTGCTCGAAGTCAATGCATGCTTTCTGGAGCTCGAAACAGATTCTCCAGAGGATAATCTATGGTATAGGGGGGGAATAATTATCAGGTGTTAAATGCCACTTACAGGTCCCAAATCGCCATCCCCACTCAAGGCTTGGAGCACACCAGGAGGAAAAAAGCGTTGACCCAATTCGGCAAACTTAAGGCTGCAATAAGGCGTATAGGGAGATGGTTTCCATATATAGGCGTTACCGGTCAGTATAGCAGGCGTCATCTTCATACATGAGACTTGAACAGGAAAATTCCAAGGGATAATCCCGACCACAACACCAACAGGTGTGTATCGAGTAACAACTTTGCGTCCTTCGGAGTCTTCGATGACTTCGCTAGGAAGGGATAGCTGGCAGAATCCCCTGAGAGTTTGAACACATGTACTAATTTCGCGTCGAGCCAAATTGATCTATCAATACAAAATAAGCTCGTATACGTATACGGTAGGCAAGGGGCTCGCTCGGATCTTGCACTGGAAATATACTTACGGGCTTGCCAGTCTCCTTCATTAGGATCCGGACAAAGTCTTCGGCTTGATCTTCGATGGCACTGGCATATTCTCTGATTGCGCTCACACGTTTGTCCCAGGGGACCTCGGCCCACGATTTCGCTGCTCTCCCGGCTGCTTCAACAGCTCGGTTGACATCGTATAACGAACTTATTGGAACCGACGGGTTTTTCTCCAAAGTAATAGGATTTATGCCGTAACGGACATTACTCTGGGTTAATGAAAGTTCCCCGTCGATTACATTGTAGAATATATCAAAGTCAAGAGGATGATGGTATCCTATCTTAACAAGAGTCATTCTGTCTATACTTTACCAAAGGCTTCTAGACTTGTATATTAGAAGTGCTGAACTAAGTAAAAGGCAGAGGGTGAGGATGAATGACATTTATAATGAGATAAGCTAAAGATTAATAGTTATTGTCAAGTTGCATTGTCATGCCATTTCTTGTGTGCTGGCATTCATTCCGATACCAGCACAAGCCAAGGGCTTATACATGCATTTGCCTGCCGCTTTTACGAGAAGGATCTGTGTATCTTAATATTATAAGTAGGTAGCTAATCTAAAGCCGCGACTCCAATTAGCATGCAATGTGCAAAACCGATAGGTTATAGATAAGGTAGCCGCTCATCTAAATTGTAGTATATAAGATATCTATTCCCATTGGAGTTGTAACTATATGATCTCGATCGTTTATTCTCGGGTGGCGGACGGCAGAAAGACGGCAGGCGATAAACAGAAAACCGCCAAAACGTCAAAATGCTAAAAAAACATATAGTATATTGCATACGCTTTGGTGGCTTTTGGTTCCTTGCGAATCATATGGCGTAATATTGGTGACACAAATTCTATGGGCGCCGTTCATATGATGATTCGTACATAACGCTGTAAAAAGAGTAGTTCTCATGATATGGTCAGCAGACGAAACTGGCATCACTAATAAAACATGTCCACGAATTAAGCGATCTCGAACCCTTCTACGCCTTCACTTGCCATCTCAGCCCATACACGACCGTCCATTACTTTGAAATCGTCAACCATAGCAAACCCCACCAGTCTATATTGACTCTCGTCTTGTTTCCGTAGAACGGCAGGAAAGTCGACTCCCTCGAGGATAACGAGAATATCCCCGACCTGGGTAGTCTGCGGGCAATGCCCGTAAAGGTTTGTCTCCCGGGACGGCACAACAGAAGAGCTCCTAAACAATGACCTCCGAGTGACAGCAAGCTCATGGCATAGTTTCCAAAAATAGAAAAGTTGTACAGAACCCTCCTTTTTTAATGCCGATAGAATCACGTTTGAAGGGAGACTACTCATTGTTTGTATTGTCCAAAATATCGACGAGTTACTTCCGTCAAAGGCTCTGAAAAGTGTCCCGGGTGGGACTGATAATGACTGGCTTGGGCACGTATAGAAGTCTCGGAAAATAGAAATATTCCGCAAGTGAGTGTCGTCTGCTATGGTAGTATATTCATTGGCGGTTTCTTTAAAACCGTCACTCGCCCAAAGGATTGTCCCAATCACAATCCCCTGAATATATAAGACCATGAGATCCTCGTTGATATGACATAAACCAGAAGTTTTGGTACCGGCATATCCTCGTTGACCCAGAAGACTCATATCGAACAGCTCGGAGGGGAGTTGCATTACATCAGTATAATCACTTCCAATCTCGGCGTATTTCGAGTTGAACCATTGCCGCTTTCTTCCAAAGTTCCAGTCTGGGACCCAAGAGGGTTGATCAGCTAACTTAGGCCCTGATGCACACAATAATATCTTCGAGTCCTTTGTCCATCGTAGAAGTGCTATAAAAAGTTCTCTATAGAGGTCGTGGCAGTGCGTTCCTGGAGTCGGATCGGCGACTTTGACGCCAAGCTTACGGAGTACCGAATGCACTCCGTGGGATTTGTCCCTGGGATCAGTCGCCGCACGTTGCCATATTTCCCGTACTAAATCGGCGCCTAGAGTAGTACTAGCATCTGGTAATTGTTCAGTAGGGAGAGAATGCCTCTCTGAGTATGTTAGCAGCTGGGATGACAAGGTTGAGAATACGTAGTAGCGAGTGTGAACCCAAGCTTCTCGATATTTGCGAATGCTAGCTTTTGCGTTAACTACGAGCCAGAGGATGGTGAACAAAAAGTGTACAATCTTGTAAATGCAATAAATGAGCAATAAGGGAAGGAATATAACCCATAAGATGGACCCGAGAACGACCTGGTAGATTAGAATGATCTTTGCTATGGTAATCCGGTAATCCGCCATCATCCTCGAGTCCGCGTAGCTAGTGGTTATTGAGTGATCACTGATATCACCGGCTAGGGAGGGAGATTCATGGATTTTCATCCATAATTCGGCGAGTCCCTGCCATCTTTCGAAACCGGTTGTGTCCACAACACCATCCCAGGGTAAACCCAGATTATGCCAACCTCTTGTCCTGCATGCTTCGAGAACGTAGGAAAACCAGGTCAAGGCGTACAGCATATGACTCCAATCTAAGGACTTAGTACCACATCTAATTCTTATCCTAGATGCAAGAAGAGTTTCTTGCAAAGTCCAAATGCGACTGACCCAAGGTCTGCCAAATATCTCATCCATAAAATCACGCGAAGGTAGATACCGGTCTCCAACTATAAGGAAATTCAAGAGACGATCTACCCAAACAAGTCAAATCCTCTCTCACAAATATAATCTTTGGCCCAGGTTCGTGAGACTTACCTGGCTTATTACGGGGGTGGAGGAAACCTTGAATATTGCAGTTGTAGAATATTTTAAAAGCTAGTTGCCAATATGTCAATGGTGATATTCCCTGCCGAAGGGCTCTATCATCTCCAACAATATAGTTCTGAAAACCAGCTACCTCCAAGTAGTCCATGACTTTGTCAGATTGTAGTGTTCCAGGACCGAGCCAGACGCAAACGGAGGCAGCCTGCGAGTATATATCACCCATCAACCGAATCTGGTGGAGCTTCTCTTCTTCATCGGCTTGGTTAATGCAAATTGCATCAACCCACAGAGTTATAGACCCATCAATATTCCGATCAGGGTCAGGAGAATCGCGCAGTTGACTCAATGCTTCCCAGCAATTGTCTGTTATAATTTTCGAGTGCCTACCGCACCTTATCGTCCGCGGCTCCTTAGATGACACCTGACCCCAGACATATGATAGGGCAATAAATTTCGGGCGTGGATTCTCGTCAAGATCGACGACTCGTAACTGGCAGCGTAACTCATATGGATGATTCTGGCTAGCATCGGAGCTGCCGGATTGGTGTAGTTGCGAGCTCCCACCAAAATCCAAGACTCGGATATATTTTTTGTCTTTACAAAGACGAAGTGATGTATACAAGGCTGAAAAGGGTTCTGAAACTGTGTCATTCATGATATATTTCTCATCGAAAATCTACCCCAACGTCGTAGTATATTAACACGTTCAACTTTTATTTACCGTGGAAAAATCGAGGTGCTGAGCTGAAATACCCCGGTCTGGGTAATGGGACCTGCCAACACAGCAATTGGGAGGCCAATCGGATTATTCTGGGGATAGGCGCCCTACTCTGACCAGTTGAACTCATACGAGATATTTTTGAAAGACTTGATAGTTGAAAACTAAATTATATATATCAGATAATGCTTTCAAACCCTTATCCCTCTGAAGCCCCTGACGAGATTCGTGATACGATCAGCAGTGTGGCAAAGCTTCGTGAGTATGTCATAGAAAGCGATACTATTATATTAAGCAATATTTTATTAGCTAGGAATTGCTAAGAGTCCTTACTTCGTCAACATGTTAGAAGTGGTTTAGGAAATATATTCTCGTTTAATTGTAACTGCGGCTAGGAGCTTTTGCACCTCTTCCACCAGATCATCTCTAGAGACAAGTTGACCCCGATCCTTCTCACCCTTTTCCTCCTCCTCATATGTTCCCTGGTGGTTGGCTTGCTGTACAGCCTTCAATCTGACTTGACCCGCTATCAGTTCGTCCTGACCAAGAATGATAGTGAGTAGTCAATCTTGGGAACCAACTATATAGTACGTCCTCCTCGGGCCACGCTCTATCCTCATATCCTAACAAGGGATAAGTTCACCCGAATGTAGTCATACATCCTCATGTCGGGAGAACGCTCTAAACATGATCAACACTAAAGCCGGCATATTCTCCTTCGGTGCCGTCTTGGGCGATGCTTACGCGTGGGTAAAAGGGGGCCCCAGGGAGAGAAAGCCAAGTACAACGAACAACGGAGAAGCTATCACCAGACTATTAAGGCATCCCGCGGAAGTGATTATGAGGCTTGTTTCTACGATGGTGTAGGCTGTGTTTACATGTAGTTGACGAAATGCATACAAGCATTCGCAATCATTATCAATCCGTTGGAGATAGTATCACGCCCCGTGCCATCGACATGATTGAGAAGCACATGCTGCTACTCAACGCCAATAACCACTACAATGCTAAGCAACTGAAAACTCTGTTAAATGAGATTTTTGACCTCCCAAACGATCAAAATCATCGCCTGCCGCTTGATACACTACCTTCGGATATATTGCCGATGGAGCCCGAGCGAGGCCTGTGTCTCACAGCGTTAGGAGAGCACATCGCGAAATTACAATCTACCTCTGGCTTTAGTGCAAGAAGACCTCGGGACGCTATCGATATAGAAATTAACGAGCTCGTGGATGGCCTCAAGAGTAATGTACCCGGCCGGCATCACATCTTCTTCTTCAATGATTCCACGACCATGGAGAAGTACGCGCAGTCGATCGAGAGGACATCCCTCGCGCTTCTTCGTCTAATTAGGGAGTTAGAAGAACACAATATAGAATTCTCCTTCGCATCCAACCCAACATGCCTACATCGCAGGCGGTGAACCAAAAAATCGGCCGACATAGTGGCGTATCACAGCTACCGCCGCGAGCTCGGACTGATCGAGCCCGGTTTCGGGCAGCTCGTTGACAGTGTGCTCATCCCTTACTTACCAATCCGGAAATCAGGCGTGAATTTCAACCTCTTCGCGAATAAGCCGACGAGCATATACGTTTTTACGGATGGTGACTGGGGCGATGACCAAGAGGTCGCCTACCGCGTCGAACGGCCGATAGAGCGGCTAAACAAGGGACTCCAGGAGCAGAAGTTGGATAAAAATCACATCTCATTCCACTTTGTGCGGTTTGGCGATAGTGCGAATGGCAAAGCGTATCTGAATCATTTGGACAGTTTCGGTAGGGACGATAACTGGTAAGACATACCTCTTCAACTGTGTACCTACTAAGAAACCGTTTAATAGGAGGAATAAAGGCTGGCTATGAAATCATTATAGGGATAATTCCGATATTAAGACTGTCTTCAGTCCTGTAAAGTATATTATCATTGGTCCGCTTGTCTAACGATAAGTCCAACGATACCCGGAAAAGGGGGAGTGGGTATAAGGTATGGCACCACTGGTTGTGACGTCGAAACCACATGTTTTAGTACTCTGTATAATAGGTCTGGTCGTTATATTATTGGCAGTATATGATTTACGCGACTTTTTCATACAGGTTATTTTCTACTTGATCTAGCTGATGAGTCGCATCTGTATGAATCCTGATGTAAAGAATAGGGGTTATACTTCATTACCCATTTGACCCGGGCATTATGTATACGCTACTTATATAGCTTCACTCATGAAATTATATTATCATACACACAAAGAATATATAATACGAAAGGGGAAGCTCATCACTTTACCGCTAATACGTTGGCCGCCGAAATAAAAGGGGTAGCTAACAGGAAGCGGTGCACGGGCCTAAAACTCATTTATGTATCAATATGATCTCGTAACTATATGAACTTATACTCAAATAAGTAGGCTACTCTATACCTTGAGCTTCTCACTATCACATCTAACTATTTACTCGCTACTCAACTTAATAAGGTCCACACCATTACCTCTCATCAGCGTGACATAGCAACTTCACATCCAATTTATACCAGTCAAATATATTGCAAGGATGTTCTGCCGAGTAAACTCCAAAGAATCAGTCAGTGATCGACGAAGCGGTCCCCTCAGACAGGCCGACCTCGCAAGCGCCATCCTTTCCCCGCACAAGCAACCAGCGGCGGAACAAAAGAAAACACACACGCGCGCGCGCATATATGTTAGGTACCTAACATACCCTCCTGACCGAGCTACCTACCTTCTTCAAGCTGGGTGCGATCAGCAATCTTCTCCAACGACTGGATCTACCTATTAGAGAGGTAGTAGTAGTAGAAGTAGTAGAAGAAGAAGAAAATCCTCTCGGAGATTTTAGACTAGAGCTGAGCCGAGTCTTGGTGTCTCATTGGATATCATCGATCGTGGCTAGCAGTTAGCAGTTAGCAGCAAGCAACCAAGCAGCACGCAAGCAAGCAAAGCAAAGAGTCTAGATTGGACTAGTTAGACCGAACAAATCATGACTTCGGATAGGGTGCAGGATTCATCTTCACATGCCTTTCCTACCAAGCAGCTCACGATCCTTGGTGCGTAACCCAACCTACCTATACCTACCTATACCTACCTTACCTACCTTACCTACCTTACCTACCTATCTACCTACCAAACAATTCCTCCGACATTTTATCCTGACCAGTCGCAACCCCCAAAAACAGCAATATGTCGGTTCTCGGAGCCAATCGCCTTCAACTCCATCCTCGCGTACACGTACGTGATGGTGCAGGACCTGCACGGCGGCGACGACACCGACGCCTCCTTCTACGCCGGCCTCCTGGTCTCGGCGTACGCCGTCGCCGAGGCCCTGACCGCCATCGGCTGGGGCGCGCTCTCGGACAGGTACGGTAGGAAGCCGGTCGTGCTCTTCGGGCTCGGCGGCGTCGCCATTTCCAGTCTCATCTTCGGCCTGGCGACTAAGTACTGGGTAGCGCTATTGGCTAGATTTATCGGCGGCGCCTTGAATGGGAATGTTGCCGTAAGTGAAGCCTTTTTACAGGTAGTTAGTTATTCGTTGAAATTTGGGTATTTTCTTCCTCCTTTTTCGTCTTATTTAATTACCTGGTCTATATCGGCATTTTTACATTTCATATCATGGCTTGAATAATTAGGTTAGGTACCTAACTTACACCGACTGCAGGTAATGCAAACGATGGTTGCGGAAATGGTCAAGATGCCGGAGCACGAGCCCAAAGCCTACGCCACCCAGCCCTTCGTCTGGACTCTAGGCGGGATTATCGGATCCGCCATGGGAGGATTTCTAGCCCAGCCGGCGGTATTCTATCCCTCGCTATTTCCCGCCGATGGCATCTTCGGACGATACCCTTATCTACTGCCGAATCTCGTGTCGGTCATCGTCATCGTGTTGGCTATTATACAGGGGATACTTTTCCTCGAGGAAACTAATCCGCGACACGGAAAGACTACCTATCTTGAAACCGTCTTCGAAGACGATGACGATGTCGTCGATGAGCGTACTCCGCTCCACCGCCGTCCCAAGGATCGAAGATCATCCGCTCGGAGCCACTCGTGCGCCGCAAGCGATAGACCGGTATTTATCGAGGAAAGTCTTCCGGTGCCAGTCGAGCAGAACTTCGATCTGAGGAGGTCGTCTTTTGGGACCGTGCGTTCGATCAAGCTTCTTCCTAGCTCCCCGAAGCAGAACGAGGGGTTTAATGGCCGGGCCTTCAATTTCACCATCATAATGGTAACCATCGCACTCGTCCTAGTTTCATACCATCAGATGGCGTTCAATACCCTTCTACCTACGCATCTCTTAGATAGGCCAGCGGCGGCTCCAGGCCAACTTGATTTGATCGGTGGCTTGGGGTACACTGTCCACGACGTAGGAATCTACTTGTCTGTTAATGGGATCCTCGGTCTGCTCATTCAGGGGTTCATATTCCCGATTTTCGTAGACAAGATCGGAGTATGGAAGTCGTTTCTCATCAACATCGTTTTCTATCCTCTAGCATACGTGGTCATGCCTTTCTTATCTGCTTTGCCCCCTTCACTTGTATCCCCCGGAATTTATTTCTCCATGATCCTACAGAGCCTCTTCGGTATCATTGTTATTCCCTGCGCTCTCATTCTGTTGAAAGATGCCACGCCGTCTCCACTCGTGCTTGGGAAGGTCAACGGATTAGCTATGTCTGCTTGCTGTTTAGCTCGAACCGTATCCCCGCCACTAGTAGGTATCATCTACAGTGCTGGTGGTTCCGCGGCTGCTTGGTTTAGCTGCTCTGGCGTCGCAGTAATCGGGATTATACAACTCCTCTGGGTACCAAGGAAGCATGTACGTACCGTTATGGTCAAGAACAGTACGATGGTGAGTAAAAGCCGGCCGGATTTGCGAAGTGAGGAAACAGAAATCTGTCCTGCTATATCGGAGTAATGCATTTCGAACATTATCATTTCCACGAAGGAGTCAGAAGCGCATATGATCTCTTGTTCTTTATTAATTTTTACTTGCATAGAGATTAGGTTATTAGGGCATTGGGTATATAGATTGGCATATTTTCTTTTAGTATTTATCATATCAAGGTCAAGTTGGGATAGAAAGGGGAACAGGACTACTACACACGAGGTAATGATGTTACGATCTTATGCGTCGATAGATTGGATATTCGACGACCGCATTTATCGAATTTGGAGCAGCAAGGTATATGATCTAGCGATAATTACGTAGGTAGATAATAATTCATGCATTTTTCTCTCTTCTATAATGTTAGGGGCTGTTCTTGGTTGACTAGAACGAGGCATTGTTGTTGTATAGCAACAGAGAAAAAAAATTTTTTATCAATTGCGATACAGCAATTTGAGTTATCATTCGACAGTAACTTGGCCATTAGATGAAAGAGGGAAAAAAGAACAAGGCAAAGATTAGAAAATTTTCACGCGAGAAAAGAATTGCCAACACCACCACCTCGTGTGGGTGCTAATAAAAATGAAGAAAAATATAAGGTACAAGAGGAATCTAACCTCTAAAGATGGACTCGCGGGGAATCGAACCCCGGACCACTCCCATGCTAAGGGAGTATTATACCACTAAACCACAAGCCCGTACTATGATGGAGCCGTGTGAGAGATGAATCTCGGCTGTTGAAATTTTTGCGTTGTTGTATTTAATTATACGACTAAGAATTTGTAAGATGGGGCGACGATGGGGCTACGAATGGGGGCAGCCCTAATCAAACGCGATTGCAGACAAACCAAACCCACTTGCGTATGAGTTTGCGTTCTAGCCTTCTAGGTGGATGCGATAAATTAGGTAGCGTTAGGCGAATTGTAAGTGATATATTAGGTACCTATAATGGTAGAAATTTTATATAGGTAATCCGAACGGATATGATCTTGAATAATACTGTTTGTTATCCGTATTAAGTTCTAAAGTCCCCCTTTAAAGTATCGCGGTTAGTATATAAAAAAAGACTAGAATTTATAACTCGCTCCGAATGCCGCCCATTAGAAGCGCATCGACCTTCGACCCTTTCTTGAGAGGCTCCTTGCCGCTTGGCATGCACAATAAGCAATTGGCGCCTCTAAGACTACCAACCTTAGAACTTCGTTGACCTCCCGTGCTGGCAGCAAGCAGATTTCCGTCTTTACCCACAGAGACGATTGCGCGATGATACTCGGGCCGCGTCTTGTCTAAAACAAAGTCGTGTACGAGTCTTACGGGGACCCTTGTCAGGCCGGCCGGTGAGATACCCGACATCTGGTGGAGAGAAGGTAGGACGAAGAGATGGAATGTGACGATGGCAGAGGCTGGGTTGCCAGGTAAAGAAAATATGACTTTTGTGACTCGTTCGCCAGAGTTGTCCTTTACGGGAACGGTAGCAAACGTCGTTGGTTTGCCTGGTTTCATTGCGACGCGGCCAAAATGGATTGTCCCACCTAGTGACCTTTCGATTGTTGGCTTCAACAAGTCGAGCTCGCCCATTGAGACTCCTCCTGTAGTAATGATGAAATCAACGCGCCGTAATGCGTCTCTTAATGTCTCTTCCAGGGTACCGGGTTTATCTGCAGTAATCCCTAGATCAACAACCTCATAACCACACTCCTTCGCAGCGGTCATCAAAGTGATCCTGTTGGTATCGCGTACTTCTCCCAGTCGTAAATCTCCAGGCCGATCGTGCTGAACGATTTCGTCCCCAGTAGATAAGACTCCTATGACTGGCTTACGGTAGGCCTTCACTTCGGCAACGCCGACAGCAGCAAGGAGACCTATTTCGCCACCAACTGCCGAGATCTGCTCGCCCTTACTGAGAATAACTGTCCCTGTCTTGATATCGCTACCAACCTCTCGAATATTCTCTCCTTCTTTTACTTTGTCAGCTAGGATCTCTACCTCCTTCTCTTCCTTGCCATCATCAGTCATAGTCTTCAAGATTGTATCCTCTACCATAATAACGGAAGTAGCCCCCGGAGGGAGTGGTGCTCCGGTAGTGATCCTAGCAATTTCCCCTTCCTTCAATGGCTGAACTTCTCCCGGCGAGGCATGAGACACGGAGACGACGGGGAAAACGCCTTTCAAGTTCCCATCGCTAGGTACAACCACTGCATAACCGTCGACAATACTCGCTCTGAAAGCAGGGACGTTTTCCCTCGCTTGCACATTTTCGGCTAATACATGGCCGGGCAGCGATCTGTCGACTTTCAACGTAACGGCTTCTGGCAATGGTGTGTGGTCCTTAATCTTGCTGAGGGCATCGTCAACCGAGAGCATCGGATAGGGGGATTCTCTGTTCCTACGGCTAGGGCCTAAGCTGGGATCGTTGGACAGTGGATTCGTGCTAGGTGCCGTATGTCTAACCAAATGACCATGACCGTGGCTATGACCATGTCCATGTCCATGATTATGGCTAGGTGGATGGTTATTCCCGTGGGCGTGATGATGATCGTGAGAATGTGAATGGCCTCCACTAGATTTTATGCCAGCTTCTGCCTCAAGCTTCTTGATTCCACCTACATGTAATGATCTAGAATCCATACCCGCAGCCTGGAGACATGCGTGTGGTAGTGTTTTTAAAACTGCCTGTAGATTTTCTCGGGCACCTTTTGGAGATCCCGGAAGGGTTATGATAATTGATCGGTTCCTGATACCTGCAACTGGACGAGACATCATGGCGACTTATATGGTTAGCTAATAATCTTATAATATGTTCCAGGGGTTGTATACTAACATGGGGTGACGTTTAAAGAAGCTGTCAACATGCCATGCACAAGTCCAGGCGCGGGTTTATGAATCAGAGCCGAAACAGCCTGAATTCAGTCAGCAAAACTGCTACATTTCTTGACTATATAATACACTCGACTTATATCATTTACCTCTGGTGTATTGTCTGCCACCGCAAAGCCCGTCCCCCCAGTTGTAAGTATGAGGTTAAAAGTCTCAGCAACTACGTCCGTCCATAACATAACCTGTTGTTGAATTTGAGGGACAACATCAGGAACAATTTTAGTATCAACGAGCTCCCAACGCCCATCCCCTTCCTCTTTAAGGACGCTTCTTAGGGCTGCCTGAGAAGCATCGGTTGATGGATCCCTAGCTGCTGTCGTAGAGACGATCAGTAATGCGACCCGTAAGGTAGCATTAGACATGGCTCCCGTAGACTGATTCAGTAATTGTGAAATTGGATTAAGATTTGAATCCAATTATAACTTGGGGAAATCTTCGAGTGTATGCTAATGGATGTTGAATTGAACTAAATAAAATGAAGATTCTTGGTGTAAGTGAATCTTGGACCTGTATTGTGTATGAGAGAAGCATCATTAGTACAGTGCAAATGCGGGGCTAGAATATGTCAGCTTTCACTCAGTCAAACAGCTCATCTTTCACTGAAAGAAGGGGAAGCTTATAATGATTTTAAAGATTTATAAAATATAATTCAATTATAGATGTTTATAAGCTGCTTCCTAAATAAAATCTTAACATATACATATAAGTACCTAAATTAGTAACAGGTACCTCATATGAGTCTGTAACTTCCACAGGTAATACATCAATATAATACATCAATAGCAGGCTTTATTTCACGGATTATGTCATACAATCTCCACTGTAAAGTGTTCCCGTTGCACTGTACCATGGCATCAAGCTTTAGGGTGTGCTTCGTAGCTTGAAAATCCCCACACAATTCCGATAAGATAAAGCTTCTCCCAACAACGGAAATTTTACCTATTTCGTAGGTAGCTAATGTTCTTGACCCAAGTCTTCACTTATCTTTTCCGCGCAACGCGATTATCACGTGTTAGAGCGTATCCTGACTGCACTCATGCTCCTATAACACTGGGAAATTCTGAGAACCCCGAAAGTGGATGGCTTCTTAAGAAACAATGGTCCGAATCAAGGAGCGTTACCTCCTCGTGAAGATCCTCTACCCGAATGAACTTGGCAGTCGCTCTGATCTCCCCGATGTTGTAGTTATCAACCAGCCTACGGTCGGCCAGCTCAACCCCGCAGGTCTCCTCAGGGGCATACGTGCCGAGGTTGCAAGTTTGTTTGGAGACTACGGCTCGGGGCTTATCGAAGGCGGAAACTTAGGAGGTGAGTCAGCAGTGTGAACTCGTCGCGACTTATACACAGCTCACGTTGGCGTTACTAGTTAAATACTTCTCTCACGCCACCTCTACCTTTATTTTGCGTATTTCGCGATCATCATATCGCCTCGTATGGGCCGCTCTCACCTTCATGAACAGTGTTCCAGTTAGGAATGGGAAACCATGCGTCTTCCGTGTTGTTCACGTAAGCGGTACTATGCGTAAAGTGGAGGAAGAAGCTATCCGTCGCGCTCGAAATCTCATTTTTGCGGCAGAAAACGACCACAAAGAAAAGGCTAGGGACTCCTTTAGCAATATGTTCGGGGAATTCGAACTACCGCAACGTGAAGTTGCCATGACAGACTTACTGGACGTTGGAGACGATGGTAACGACGTAGAGATGAGGGAACTAAGTGACGGCTGAGAAGACATCACTGCTTTTTGCGAACTACCTTAATCCCGCTATCGCCTGTTGGTGGCGGCATTCCGTCGAATTCGTCATCGTCATCATCTGGGATTAGGTCTGGTGTGGTAGTTCCCGTATCGCCCTCCATTCCTCTGCGCTGCTCTTCCCACTCCTTATCCTCTGCTGCATCATATACATCTTTCGCGTCAATCCATCTCTCTTGGATGTCTTGGACTTCCATCATCGATCCTTCGTTGCGCATTGCAACCTGCCAGACCGAGTCATTTGCGCCTTCCGCACCGCCGAAAACATAACCACCCGCCCTATCGATAACTCGCAAGAGATGCGTCATGCTCTTCTTATTTTCAACGGCGAGAACTTCGAAACGAACTAGAGCAAAGCTCTCTACTAGGTTGGCGACAGCTTCGTTTAGTCTACGGAACTTATCACTGCGCATTGCAGGCGATTCCTCTTCAAGGATCGTCATAAGGTACGAGAGATCTTGTACTTCGGTGTAGTAATCGAGGTTGAAGGGCAGCGGGTCGTAGAATGAGACTTTATCGATCTTGGTAAGAACGTTTATATGAGGAAGGTCCATCTGGAGCATGGCGCGAAGGGTTAGTAGTAGGTTGGATATGTAAAGGGAAGGTTGAGTAAGGCAAAAGCTATCGGAAAGATGAACGGCGACAAGCTACAGTTCGTTAGTTTCTTGGGTCTAGGAAAACATGTTTACTTCAAGTACATACTCGGTAGCCCAATTTTTGGAGCTTGAAGAAAATATTCCGGAGTGAGTTATGATGCGTATATAACTCAACTTGACCAGGACAGTCAAAAAGAATATATGATTCTCCCAGCCCCTTTAGTCCATTCTCAAGCCATTCCATGTTGTTCTCAAGCTCTTCAAACGCGTATAGTATACCACCGTTTGGTCCAAGCTGGTCATCATTCATGATCTCTTCGAGGGTAATTAAGTCGCGAATATCTAAGGCACAGGGGTAGCTCGTATGGTCGTTGGCAGGATCTAAGTTCACAACAGAACATTCACGTCCTATCGCGCTCATGAACTGGTGCACTGTAAGCAGTTAGAGAACCTGGCTACTCAATAAGGAAATCATAAAAGAGCTACATGTAGTTGGGGGTAGCTTACTGCCATCACAATAAGTGCTCTTTCCTGAGCCTGGACTTCCCAAGACAAGTTGTGCGAATGGCATATTGTACTTTTGTGTAAAAGTATAGAAACCTATAGTATTACGTAGCTAAGAAGTATAGGAAAGTGTATAGGAGAGAGTGAAGAAATGGACAACGGGAATGCAGGCTGAAGATGGTAAAAGGGAAGCTACAATTGCCCCTCCATCCCACTTCAACGAGCTTTGGGGAAAATTAAAGTGGATAAAGGTAAAGTGGAACCAAGCTTGTCTTATCACTGGGGTAATTTGTACCCCTGTAAAGTCTTAACTTATTGATATTTACTTCGCCGACTCTTGATTGGTATTTTATCATCTATTCAGTAGAGAGCTTCATTCTCCATATATTACCGCGTAAACGTTCCAAAAGCATCATGGCACCACCAGGTACGTTACCTAATTGTCTCCTACTATTCAAATTGGACCGATTCCCAACTCATTCGGCCGGCAATTATACTAACAAACGCGAAAACAGCAACGCAGTTCGAGCTCGCGCAACCGCCCAACGATGCCATCTCAGCACTCGCCTTCTCGCCAGACTCGCCGTCGCGCTTGCTAGCTTCCTCCTGGGACAAGAACATCTACCTATACGACACGCTCCAGAGCGGCGACGACGGAAGTCACGGGATCCTGCTACAAACGTTTGAGAACCGTGCGCCGGTGTTGGACGTGTGTTTTGGGAGAGATGGCAACGAGGCTTTCAGCGCCGGCATGGATTGGCAGGTCCGGCGCATCGATCTCGATAGCGGCGAGCAGACTACGTTAAGCAAGCATGCTGCGCCTGTGCGGAGGGTCGTATATAACAAAGAACACTGTAAGCTCCTCGAGTTGCTTGAAAAGGGAAATCAGTAAAAGGTGTCGTTAGACTAACTCGTTGTAGCTCTACTCTTATCCGCCTCCTGGGACAGTACCTTACACGTCCACGACCCATCGAACCCCTCCCTCTCCCCCTTAATCGTCCCTCTCCCCGGCAAGCCGCACGCCATGGCTGCCAGCCCGTCTAAGGTGATCGTAGCCATGACATCGCGACTAGTGCACATCTACGACCTATCCGCCCTTTCCAGCGCGCTGGCCTCGCAATCCGGAGAACCGCCGCAGCCGTGGCAACAGCGCGAGTCGTCCCTAAAATTTCTGACGCGCGCCGTAGCTGCCATGCCGTCAGACGCCGGGTACGCGACGTCGTCGATCGAGGGGCGCGTGGCGGTAGAATGGTTCGACGCGAGCGCCGAGTCGCAAGCCCGCAAGTACGCCTTCAAATGCCACCGCACAGCACACCCGCAAGCCGACGGCAGCAGCACCGACGTCGTTTACCCCGTCAATTCGCTCGCCTTCCACCCTGTCCACGGCAGTACTTTTGCCAGCGGCGGCGGCGATGCCACCGTTGCCCTGTGGGATGCCGAGGCCAAGCGCCGCATGAAAGTGTACCAGAAGTTTGCAGACAGCGTCGCGGCCCTTGCATTCAGTTCCGATGGGCGGTATCTCGCCGTCGGCGTGTGTCCCGGTTTCGAGACGGGTATGGAGGACTACAGCGGCGAGGGTCGTACCAAGATCTTTGTAAGAGAGCTCGGCGAGAACGAAGCCTTACCTAAGGGTAAGGGTAAGTAGGCAAGTAATAACAGGCCAACCGAAAAATTGGAAGTGTTGCAACAACGTATAGCTGTATCATTTATCTACCAAGAACTTTCTAGGGACCCGGAGCTGACTGGCGTTAAGAGCGGAAGGGAACTTGGAATTCTATAAAATGCAATTTTCTATATTTTCAACATCATATAAGTTCTCGAGTGGTCACGACTATCTTGTGGCCTTGGCTAGCATTCGTTCGCTTTAAGAATAACATCGCCAGGCTACCTATAGTCCTTTACCGTGACATTGCTTCTGATCATTTTGAGAATAGGTTCCAATATGTCACGAATTCCTCAATTTGATAATATAGTAATTGATCCGTCGTACATTAGGAATCTAGGTAGGTAGGTAGGTACAAATATAAAAGCTAATATAAAGCTAATCCACCTATCATTGCCATAGGCATAGCTAGTGGTTTCAAATCTAGATCCCTTCGAATCAAGTAAAATCGGAGTGCTTACAGGGTATAACATGGCTAGGTGTAGATCCCATCTATTAACCCGATCTGCTGTTCCCAAGGTCCGGAGATCCCGGCCCGGTCTCGTTCTCTATGCCACCAAGAACAAAAATGGCCGAATCCCTAGCGCTAGACTCTCGGCTCCGAGAGCCATTAGGTGTACCTTCATAACTATCTTTTTCAAGCACTTCGTCCTCATCGATCTCGCTTTCATCATACGTTAAAGGTATAGTCATATCTTCTTGATCTGCTTCATATCCTTCTTCATGCTCGTACGCTTCATCACTCGGCATCAACTGCTTGATATGATGCATCTCTGAGCTCCGGTACCCTACGTTAGCAATAAAATGCGGCCCGCTATTTTCCTTCAAATGTCGTCCGAAATTCTCGAAATCCGAATGCTTTCTTTTCCGTAGCGTCAAGGGCATATACGGGGACGCGTCTTGATTTTGAGGAGTTAAAAAGGTAGGTTGGATCAGCATGCTAGAAGAGATAACTCCCTGGTTTTCTAGAGTGGTGGATCTTCGGTGTCGCGGTCCCAACTCCTCTACAAAGTTTTCCTTGGTAGGCCAGACATCTTTTGCTACGCCACGCCGGTTTCTTATCTCACGTTGAGTGGGTGTTGAACGTTGGACCTTCGAGCCACTGAGCCTTAATCTACGCGCGTCGTCTTTATTGGCAACTTCGCTTTCTAGTTGGAGTTTGCTCATACCCGGAAGTAAATCGGGTCTTCTTTGCTTGTGCGTACCGGCCATGAAGAACAAGAAGCTCGGCCTGGCTTCATCCCCTGAGAATCCATCGCCTGCCCACCAGGATGGTTCTGGTTGACCACGAGGTTTGATGAAGCGAAATTTATTATTTCCTTTATCCGTCCTCAGTCGAAATGCACCCTTTCGCTCATATGTCACTTGCCCGCCGCTCTCATTGCATTCTGCTTGCCCAGTCAGCGGCAGCTGCGGTATAGTCACTCCCTGTGACTTCTTAGTGCTCCCAGTCCTTTTAATTGTCGGCTTGGTAAATAGCGTATTATCATCGTCTACCCTCTGCTTCTTTCGCGACTCAGCACCGTCAAGATAAGATGTTCTTCGCTTTCTAGGCCGATGATTTGCACTGTTTGTCTGCTTTGGGGTTTGAGTTCCCTTAGGAGGCATTCTTAATACTTCATCGTTACGAGGGTGGTATAAATAATCTCTATGACTTAGCGTGGTCGGGCTATTCCTCCTATTATCGTACAGGTTAGACTTCCTCAAAAGGCATTTTTTTATACTTATTATGATTTGGAAGAAATAGGCTTTAAGTAAAAGTGGTTAAGACGTCGTGCTATACCTTGATAATCGACGCTCTAGGATATCTCCAGGGGCAGATACGACGGATCTTCTCCGTTTCACATTTGCGCGGATGGGAGAGGCCGGTATAACCCTCATCGTGTTATTATCTAAGCCCAGAGCCTCATATGGGCCAGAAGGGTGGTTGTCGTCAATATTTAGGGATCGAGTACTCTCTGAGAGGGTTGTGGTCACTTCAGCACTAATCAGGGGTTGATGAACCATCGAACTGGTTAATATGGGATCAATAGACGACGGAATCGTAGGCAATTCGTCAAGTCGCATTGGCACTTGTTCTGGAGCCATGATACCAGTGAGGGTAATTCAATTATATGAGTTTCGCAAGATCTTATATGAAGTAGCCCAGTTCAGAAAACTTCATATACACTACCCATATTATTATTTAGGGTAAAAGAGAGATAGAAAGCTCTTATATGTGTTGCAAAATATACGTGGGAGTCGTCTAAGAATTTCTTGTGTATTTTGTAAACGATGAGGCATTGGAAGGAGGAATAGAGAAATTGTGATAGCTTAATTATCTAGGAGGTACCTAATGAACTTTAACTTGTAAAGGTAGGGGCAGTATAGGTGCTACTTCCTCCTTAAGGCCTTAGGGCAAAGTCTTGCCAGGTAGCTTCCAGATTGGAAGATTCAAACCATCTTAGGTAATTCTTTATGTAATTCCTCATACTTATACCTAATTGAATTAGTCTTTAGTCTAGTAAGGTTCATCTCATCAAATTAGAGGACTTGCCCATTTCTTCCGTTGCCGTGCCTAAATGATATCAGTACCTAAAGGTCTTGATCAGGTACACTTCGATTAGTACACTTCGATTAAAAAGGGGGAAACTCTCCGTCTTTTACATAAAACTTCTCAATATAGAGGACTCTTCAGACGCCTCAAAATACGACTACAGCTGCAAATAATATTTGAGCAATACCACGAGCTGACCAATTGCAAATATATCCAGGCCACGTAAGCTAAGGAAGACTAGGAGATAAAAAGAGAAAACAAGAGGTAAATGAGTACCAAGTGTTTAGCGAAGTAACAGCAAGCCACGATGGCCCAGTACCTACCATATTTTAAACCCAGGAAAGTATTTATTTAATATATACAATGGGAGTAACTATACGTATTCTCTTTCTAAAAGAATCACCACTTAAACTCACCAAGTCTAAGGAAAGCCTACCATATAATAGGCCACGAGCGAGGCTGGTAATATACCAATAAAATAGCCAAAGCATTTATAGATCAAATAAGAGAGTGTGCTGATATTGCAAAAAGTTTAAACTATAGGCTTTTAAGACTTTTTTAAATAGTTAATTATTTAACAGGTATCTATATTTGGCCCGTTAACCGAATGAAGTGAAAAAAAAACCCCCCACAATCCTGTTCTTGTATGTATATTACATCTCTTCATAGCTAAGTTTCGTGATTGTTATCATATTGATTTTATTGCTTCTTATACCCCCCGGTGAAGTCGGTTATGAGTTCGGTCTTAATTTTTGAGGATATTAAGCCTCAATACTAATTACGAATTAAGATTCCTTTCACGGGTAGCTATTGTCGAGTATACATGCTTGTTTGTTACACTATCCTCATTTTTCTCCTCATGGAATAGCTAAGTCCAGAATTAACTACATATTCCAGTTGCTACTTCAGTAGTAGGTAATAGTTCATACGACCTTAGTTACAAGCCCCTTAAGTCATGTCTAGAAGCCTCTTTCGTTTGAACATTAAGACTTAGTCCCCAACAATCATGTCTGTTAGCAATAAATGATGTAACCAAGGTCGTTAGTATCTGCGGCGTATATGTTGTACTACCTTCTATGTAACGATCGTACTACTTAATTGGCTGCTCCCAGTCCTCACTAAGGTCTCTATATCTTGCCCCAAGTGTTATGCAAACCCTATTGGTTATCTAATAAATGCCGTCGACGCTATCATCCGGCAGTTGAGACACGGGATGAAGCCGGGTGATATCAACACTATTCTAAGAATTATGTTGTAGCTATGTAAAATATCGTTGGGAGGACCAATATATAAGCATTGTGTTATTAAGTTCAGCAACTCAGTGCTTCTCGATGTACAACAACACTCTGGTTTTACTAAGAGTATATTGCGCGTCGGTATTTACCTCCTTTGCTCACTAAGTATCGCTCTGTCATGTTCTATATCGTTCAAAGCCAACATATTCTTCAAAGTTAAACGCAAAGACTCAAAAAACTTCTATCTTCACTGATCAATCTTCTCTACCATGTCGCCGTGCCGTGTGACAGTCCTTAACAACACTTCTAAGACCCTCTTCTACAAGAACGTAGGCGATAAAGAAGAGTTCAATATTAGCCTTAAAGATCCCCGGTCGACGGAGCCTAACAACTACATTCCGTATAAGAACCCCATACATCAAGTAATACCCGACGAGGGAGACTATATTGAAGTGACATTCGGCGGTCTCGTAAAGAGATCCTATCATAACCAGGGGAAGCTTTGGACGAGCTTTCTTGCGGATAGCAAACCTGCCCCACCATGGGTATCGAACTGTGTGTGCTTCTTAAACAGTGGTGAATACTATGAGTTTGTCTTCTCTGAACAAGATAACAAAGTCACCCTGGAAGTGAAGAATTTAAGCGCGAAGAGCGAGAACATTGGTGGTAAGGTTATGAATGTGGCACTGCAAGTCCTTGGTACTGTTTCAACCCTAATCCTCGGCATCATTCTTTGATGGAGGGTAAGTACCTAAGAAACAAGACCAGAAATCAATTTTTAATGCTAATTTCCGCTTAAGCTAGTACATCAACGCACGCAATGCTTCGGAATCTACATTGAGGTCGATGTTCAACACTACAACCTGGGGTTTTCTGATTGATGGGAGGTTGTTATACGAGCAACATGATTAAGATTTGCTGATTAAAAATATAATATAGTTACAATCTACTTAAACAATTAATATAATTAGTAAAAAAAGGGGGGGTATTAAAGACTTAGAACATATATTCAAGATTATTGTTAATTTTTTAGGGGTTTGAGGTCCTTCTAGATTTTATTACAGAAGTACCTTACATTAGTTGGTTTGTACACATTATGAGTAACAAATAGTCCTTTTCACTATCCCTTTATTGACGAGTTCTCATCTTTAAAAACATCTTACCAAAGCCAAGGATTGGGTCATTTGAAGAACCTTTCCCATTTTTAGTTTTAGAAACATACCAGCACATTCGACAGTTTCATTTCGATTACAACCTTTAGTTATTATCCCTCTATGTTCGTCATGTTCTAGCTACCAAAAATGGAACACCACTTCAGCCAAATTTGGATTCCATAACAGCGTGTTCTCTCCTTACTCTGTAAGTTGAAATCTTACTATTCCTTCCAGAAAAGAGTGAAAACATACTCTCCATATCTCCATAGCCCATCGCCCATCGCCCAGAGCTATGCTAAGTTCTGATACGGAACAATGCCTTTCAACAAGAAGATACATCCCAACAATTCCCCACATGTTCCTATCAGCTAAAGAACCAAGTAGTCATGATTCAATAATACCTATAGGTGAGCCACTTCCAGACATCCGAGAACGCACGAGTACTCTACTCTCCGGCTTTCTTCGGTGTTATGGGCTTCGGCTCGCTGACGTAGTCAGTTGTACCTCCCATGTTCAACACCCACACCTTGCCCGGGTGGTCGGGCAGCTGGGGGCCATATAAGAACGAGCTGGGGAAACCGAGTTCGAAGGGAACAGCGCTTTCGATCTCCCTGATATCTTCATCATCAAGAATCAATGTGAGAGCCTCGATGTTGGCCTTGAGATGCTCCTTGGTCCTTGTGCCGATGATCGGGAAGACGTACGGCGCTTTATGCATGACGTACGCTTGAGCCACACTAGTAATGATGGTGTTCCTGCGTATAGCTACTGATTCGAGGGCCTTGCTAACCCTGATTTCCGTCTCAGTAACATCACCAGCGCGCCCAATAGTCTTCCTCTGGCGCTGCTCTTCCGTTTTGAACTTGCCTCCGCCAAGCGCACCCCACGGAGCAAGGCTCATCCCCTCGGCCTTGGTCATGGCGATGATTTCTCGCTCGAAGTCACGCGAGGCAGCCGACCATCGACCTTGATAAACGCTGAATTGGCGCAATCCATGATTGCGAGCGTACTCGTTGGCTTTGCTCACAACCCAGGCCGGTGTATCGCTAATTCCGAGATAGAGGACCTTTCCTGCTAGCACGAGACGGTTAAGCGACTGCATAAGCTCGGGGATTGATGTGCTGCCGTCCCACCAATGAACATATAGCTGTATCTCGATATTAGTATGCCTTGTATAGTATTAATATAAGAGATAGATATAATACCAAGTCAATATAGTCCGTCTGCAGCTTTTTCAAACTCTCATTAACAGACACGTGTAAGCTCTTGGACCCATTGCCTTGACTGTTGATGATGATCTCCCCATAGTCCGTTTTGTAGCTGGTGCTATATTTGGTAGCGATCACTACAACCAACATCTATCAGTCTACCCCCTTTTACTTGGCATGTTTGTGTACTGAATTAGTCGAAATAAGAGACGAAGCAATTAACATACCCATCTGGTCACGGACACCACGCTTCTTCATCCATTCTCCAATCCACTTTTCAGATTGCTCGGCTTGGTAATTGTTAGCAGTATCTATAAAATTGCCTCCCTGGTCGTAGAAGAAGTCAAGGATTTCTTCTGTGGTCTTTTGGTCGCAAGCACCCATCTGATCGGCCCAGGCCACACCGAAATTCATAGCCCCCAGGCACAGGGGGCTAACTCGGACATTGGCCGTCGGGGATAGGATGCGGTAACGAGCCAAAGGGCTTTTTGGTGGCGGCGCCATTACCATTGCCGACATATTGATAAAAGGTTTTATAGAAAAAATGTTATATATAAAAGGTTTAGGGAAACAGAAATGAGGACGGTGATGACTTCCCGCTGAGAGATTATATTTAAGTAGGTAAACTTTAAGATGAGGCACCTGACCAGTCAAGCGAAGTAATATGTTCAAGTTGTAACTGCTCAAGATCTAATCAGATGATATCTTAGGTAGTTCTGTACCTTCAACATGTAAAAAGAGCAGGAACTAAGCAGCCCTTTTATAAAAGAGGTTGATTACATGAGGAAGCCCTTACCACCTTCATTGTTACACTTATGACTTAGCCCAATCTGCATATTCTGTATACCGCATAGTTTCTTACTTAATTGTAGCTATGTTCGATATAGATAATCGTACTACTCCAAGTTATCAACTAGCATACCTATACGATTTCCGATTGCTAAGGAATTACGAATTCATAACCCACTCCTTTTATTTCCGCGTGGATTTATTCTCCATATAAAGGTATATTGCATGTACCTCACGAATATAAACACAAGGTAAGTATAAGCGTTATGCTGCTACTACCTACATATAAAATACTTATCTGTCGCTGGATTTTGGTGTTTGATATGTCCGCAACGTCCGAGCAAGACATGTCTTAAAGGAGAAGATTTCTAAGTCCGGCCGGTAGCGTGCACTTTTATTGGCTGGTTTTAAGCCTCGACTTTAGCGTGCCAAGACTTGCAATGCCCTAATCAGGTAATGCTCAACTTATATGAGGTCCAGATGTCGCTGTAAACACCAGCAACCCATATTTACAGCTATAATGAAGAAAAAAAAGACTGGCCCCATCTCGTTGAATCTTGATAACGGAGTCCTTTAATACTCCGGCGAAAAGTCAATCGGGTTCCTCGAGGATACCGAGGGTAAACCAGACTTGTAATGGCCTCGCATACAAATAGGTTACATCTCCTGTTGTGGTCAAAGCAGCAAAGCCTCTTATATTATAATAAGAAACACTACTACGTATGTCTATCTGTCTCAATATAAGTTCCAAATGCAAGGTATACATTAGTCACTGCGTTTGCTTATGCCGAGAAGCTCGAATGTCACAAATCGTGTATAAGTAAGACGATCTGGAGAACCCGGTAGAAGAACATGCAGTCGTACAATAAGGCTGTCTTACCATCCAAGTTCAACGAATGCTTCAAAGCCTACTTAGCTGATAGAGGTATCGGAGACGAAGTAAGAAAAAGGATTAAGGCCCTATAGTAAATATAGTTCTGGGTCTTTAACTATACTATATCCAACTACTAAAAGTTGGGCAAGAAAACATAAACATGCATATCATTCAGATAATCGACTTAGTGGTTTACGCAGTGACCTTGGCTATTCGTAAAAACTCTGACATATATACATATGCATGAAGCACACTTGGTACAAGAGGCTAGCACGCCCAAGCACCCACGTGCCCGTCGCGACGCCCCTCGACCAGGTAGCCATCCTTGATGCGAACGTGCTCCACAATAGCCGGTGCCCTTCTTCCGTCCGCTTCCGTGATACCCGCGCCGCAGTCCCACTGCCGCGACTCCATCTTATCGTAAACCTTGACAACGTCTTCGCCTGCCGCACTTACGATGCGCCGGTTGTCGAACATCATACTTGTGACTGGGTTGTCGTACGCATAGGCATCAAATATAGAGCCTGTACGTAGGTCCCATATCTATAAAGCGGCATGTTAGTATGACATAAAGATTAAAAGAGGAAGCTCTTTAAAAAGAAAAAAGACTTACCCGGATACTTCGGTCCAGACTACCCGTCACAAGATGTACATCGTCGAACTGCAAGCATGTCACCGGTCCAGTGTGTCCAACGAGGCTGCGGTGAACCTGTCCACTTCTCAAATCCCATAGTCTAACCATGCCGTCGGCGGTACCACAGGCTAGAGCGGACTCGAAGACTTGCAAGGCACCCACAAAATCAGCTGACGCTGTTGGTGGCCGGCCGGTTTGTCTCCAGGTCCCTTCACCCGTGCCGATAGAAACGGAAGCCTGAGCTGCTGCCCACATCACATCAAGGGTTTGTACGCATCGTCCTTTCACTAGATCCCATTGGCGGAGCGTCTTATCCGACGATCCGGAGACGAGGGTATTGCCCCGGAAGTGAAGAGTAGTAATCTCATCTACATGGGATTCCAGAGTAAAGAGTGGACAATCTGCCATACTGCCCTCAGGAGGGTCTACTGGTTGATCATCGGGGTTCTCAAAAGCCATGCCGTCGTCATCTTCGTCGTCCCTGCCAAATTGACTGCCTTGTGGGTCGTAATGTGACTTACTCAAGTCCCATAATCGGATAGTGGCATCCATAGAACCCGTAGCGAGGATATTGTCTTCTACTTGGAGTGCCCGTACCGGTGCGGTATGGCCTTCAAGTAATCCAATACAGCGTCCAGCATTCAGATCCCATACCCTAACCGAGTCATCCATAGAGGCCGTAACCAGAGTGCCAAAAGGTACATCGAAGTCCAACGTCGTGATGTTATCAGCGTGAGCCTTAATTTCCCGTATCATAAAACCTGGTTCGAAATGCTCATGCAATATAGGCATAGACTTTCGCTTCATGGTCTTGTGTTTCTTCTTGGATGGAGTAGAAGGAAGCTTCTCGTATATAGATTTTGACATAAATTCATCTGTATCTTGATCCGTTACCAAGTCGTCATCATCAGATCTGTTTGGTGTGTCGACAGCAGCAGCTATCGACTCGGCTTCATCAAAGAGGGTCTGAGCGTCTTCTATCCGACCCTCCATATCCACAACTATGTTCTGCGTCAGCACGGGCTCAAAAGCACGTTGGTGGGGATCACCTACTATCATGGTCCAAAAGTGCTTCTTCTTGTTCTAAGCCTGCTAATCTCTCAAGAATGATGCGCCTCATTCCAGCTAAATTGGCGATCTTGTTATCAATCTCGCGGATCTCACAACTTGCCATATTCTTCCGAATGCTAAGCATCTCAAGCTCATGCATAAGCGACGACCTTTCTTTCTTTAGCTTATGAAGGTGGTTTGGGTTATCAGACGTTGTCGGGCTCTCTTCGAGCATTTTTCTCCCTCTCGAGACTTTTCTCCTGTGTTTTTTGCCCTCGTGTGTCAACTCGGGAAAAGTCGCTTGGAAGCCTTGAAATAAGGAATAGGCGTTTTCATTTTCGGGTAAATTTTTAAGCATGTCGTCGGGCAGGTGTGCTAAGGCGCGGGATTGGATTTCGGCGGTAGAGAACTTAGAGCGAACCAAGTCAGTTGGCGTCGTCCGAGCCATGGTGAACATGCCTCGTTGGATGCCAGGCTTCCTCAGTTGCTTATGAACTTGAGCCATGGCGTTGTGATAGTGGTTCCCAGCCTGATCGGACCCGGGACCTACTAAATGGCTCGCCGTTGTCGTTACCTTTCTTGTGAAGGCCTCGAGTCCTCGCGACTATGTGCGAAGTTAGTCCTCACGTGCGCATTACAAAGATAAGCGGTCAGTAGGGTACCGAGAGTATCGAATCTTCACCCGGCGGGGCGTCATCACGAATGGCATTGTTCGGGTCTGAATCGGCCATGCGCGGAGTCTATGGAATTTGTACTGAAGCCGGAGAAGTCGTGTGCGGTCGCACGGTGCAAATGCCACACATTTAAGGTAGCATACAGGAGGGTTTTTTTTTTTTCTTCCCGACAAGTATTAAATGGATCTTTCACAGAGCTACTTAGTAGTCCGACATGAGGAGTAGGGCAGTTTATCTAAGATAGGTTGGTAGGTACGGAAAATATTCGATGGCCCAAATTAAAAGCAAGGCATTGACAAGGCTAACGAAGACGGACGAATGTATCTTTTCCCGCAGTGGACATTCTAAAAATTTTAGCTTGAGCCCTCGGCATGAGCTGTGCTTGCGCGACCCACATCGCCGGATAAGATTTGTTGCAGACGCCGCATCTACGGATAGAGCAGGTCCATAAAGGTAAGTGTCTTTCGCCTTGCACCTCATTTGTCTGCACGTATGTAGACCTGACTCAGCTTACGTACAAGGTACAAGGTAGGGCATCTGGTAGGAGGTAGATTTGTATCTCTGGAATCTAAGGTTAGGTAGGTAGCGTTATCAAGCCCGCGCCGTACCGGGCTAAACCATATATGGTTACACTAAGAAGGAATAAGGTTTGCGCACCGCAACCATCACTTTACTCTTTCTTAGCTCACAATGCCGGGTGCGACACTACCCAGCTACCCTGTAAATTATAGGGCAGTACCTAGGGACGGCACCTACCTCATAAGTAAGCTGACTTGCATTCCGGAGGTCACAAAAAAAAAGGTACCAATTTGATACTGGCCGACTATCGGCCGTAGCTACTTACTTGTACGTAGCAAACGAGACCCTTGAGAGAAAGAAACTGCAGCCTCGTGAATTGATAATATCTCTTACTCCTTACATCTTGAACTGATTGTGAAACGTTGCCCACTACTTGCGCCTCACCCCGCTCGTAAGTGAGGAGGGTCTTTGTACTCCAATACAAAAATCTGCTCGACTATATCTTCTAAGTGCGCAACGATTTCTTCTTCTTCTTCTTTTGACTGTTATACCCAAGTCAACACTACCCGTTGAACCAAAATAGTGACCATGGATACCATAATTGACATCAAGGACGCCTCTAAGGCGCTTGATCTATCCAACATTCGCTTTCAGTTGATGTGCGCGCAACTCTTCCTTACCTCTATCTTCATAGTAAGATAGGCGCATTGCTAACAATTCATTAGTCGATTAGAAGATACGATCACTTTCCACCTAATCGAACGAGTTCAGTTTCCGCTCAACAAGACCATCTATATCCCTGGAGCAATAGAGATTGGTCAGGATAGCAAGCTCAGCTTCATGGATTGGTACTTGAAAGAGCAAGAGAAACTACAGTCCCTGATCCGACGCTACGAGGCACCCGACGAATATCCTTTCTTCCCCGATGCGCTACAGAAGCCCATATTAAAACCTCTCAACTACCCTAAGATTCTGCACCCGAATACGGTCAACGTCAACGAGAAGATCAAGGAGTTCTACACTGAACAGTTCTTGCCGGCCGTGTGCCCAGACTTCGGGCGCCCAGATCGCGGCGCGTCGGAAGAAAATTACGGCTCATCTGCTACGTGCGACATTGCCTGTCTCCAGGCCCTCTCGCGAAGAATACACTTCGGTATGTTCGTAGCGGAATCGAAGTTCCAGTCCGACCCCGAGACATACACTCGATTGATCAAGGCGGGTGACCGTGACGGAATCGGCGAGTCTATCACAAATGCAGCGGTCGAGAAGCAAGTTCTAGCGCGATTAGGACTAAAGGCGCGCACCTACGGCACGGATCCCTCTACGAATGGTTCGGAGGATGACCGCAAGATTAATGTTGAAGCAGTGGTTTCCATGTACAGGGACTTTGTCATCCCGTTAACGAAAGAGGTCGAGGTGGAATATCTAATGCAGCGACTAGACTAGGCGAATCACGGAGCTAGACATGGAAGGCTAGATAAAAAATCGTGGGTGGGCTATGTCTTATTGCGTTGATTTTCTTTTTACTTCAAGACGGAGGACTTATATACTCCCCTATAGCCTTCGCGGCATCTGCGAATTTACTAGCTTCGATTAATATCATGAAGCCACGAGGCATGACACCCATCTCCTGGAAGGCTCGCTTGCTATCTGCGATAGCCTCACCGATCTTAGTATAATCGTAGCTGCCACTAGCTACCGCGTGCTTTTGCAATACCTCATCCTCCGGATGGAAGTAAAACATTGTCGCATCTTGCTTTCCTTTCTTTCGTTTCCTCTCCTCGACGTCGAGTGTCGACTCGATCTCATGGTATGTCTTGGAAATAATGAGATAGTGCGAGAATTCGTATGGTTCTTTGTCCTCTACTGCCGCCTCGACCTCGTCAATGAGCATGTTGTACATGGGCGGCGAAATCTCGGAGGGCATATTGATCAAGCGCTCCGAGAGCACAAGCCCTACATGCTTTCCAGAGGATATTAAATCTGGGATTCCCGCCAGAGCTTCATTCGTCTTGGCCTTTTCGCAGATATACCTGGTAAGATCGGCGATCTGCTTCTTTTCGCGATGTTCGTGTAGATTAAGCGCAGTGAGGAAAGCATACGCATCCGTCTCCTTGCCGTCGACCTTGACTGTCGATCCAATTGTTGGTTGCGACAAGATTAGATCGGCAAGCCCCGAGATGTCGAAGAGAGTCGCGTCTACATCAAAGAGTTGTCGCAAAAGGGATTTCGTGCCGTGAAAATCAATTTCGGGGTCGAAGTTGAACCATTCGAAGTCAACATTGACCATATCGAAATCCTAAAGTTGAACTTGTCAGTCAACTTCCAAAACACCACAAGCCGCACTAATAAAATGCTAAGAGTCTTCTAGGAGTACTCACGTCATCGTCAGAGCTGTCGCTATCTTCGACCATCTTGTCGGGAACCTCGGCGGCACCGTCGGCTTCTCTCGATCGCTTCTTTGCCATTTTTCTCTTGCTCAATTGCGTAAATGAATGCTGCAACAGATCTGAATAATAGGCGTAACCCAATGCGCCTCTAGTTTCGCAATTTGATAACGAGTACCAGCTTGAAGGCGGTGTATAAAATTATTCTGCCACCGTCCTGCCCCTCACTAATCTTCTTTTGGTCTGATAAGATAAAAGCTTATTTTCGATAAGGATCCTTGCTACCTACCTAGGTACTAGCCTAGCTGCCTAATAAGCAGTAAGAACCTTGGAACTTACCTAGGTCATGAAGAACTGAAGCTCTCGTTTACATACCTTCATCAAATCAGACACCTGAATATCTCTAGCCTATCGGAATTACCCAGACAAAACTTGGATATGTCTAAATTATTACGTGCCGTCATCTTCTGATGATGTTATACATACGATATATATGAGCTGAGGAGTGTTCACACTTGAGCATAACGTCTGAAGCTTCTTTAAACGTTGAGCTTATTGCAGAAGTTTATATACCTGATATATCACTGTTAAAGTACTGTAGTTCTAGTAAGGTTGCTTACATGGATTGTGAACTAAGTGATATATGTATGCTCTACATGTAGGTAGTCAACGAATGAGTTTCGGGCGCAGAGTAGAAGCAAAGTATCACCTTATTACGTACCTAATGCAACTGCATGTGAAAGCGTTGATATACGGATATCGGAAGCATATGTACTGGCAGTTTTTAAGATACGCCATCGTCATTTATTCACATGTTTAGAAATAGCTACGGAATGGCGTTACATCATTGCTAATATAAACTTGGATAAATCATCATAAGCTACCTCTCTATAAAATAAGAGAAATTTAACTTATAATATTGAGAAGACATGTCAATTAGATACAAATAAGCCAAGACAGTACAAGGTGAGAAGAGAAAGCTTGTTGCTAATTCAGAATCACAACTGCCGCCCGTTTTGGCGTAAAGAATCAGATTTAAACATCTTCATCCACCCTCTAGAGAAGATATTCTATAATATGCAAAAATCACTAACTAAGCGCTACTTTTAAATTTCCTTTTCCCTTAGGCAGACCAAGGTTCATTAACAATATGCATATATATATGTGTGTATATTTAGCCATTTCTATTAGTAAAAGTCATACGTCTACGTCGCTCCATCTCAAGTCTCGACGGATCGATTAGCTCGATCGAAATGCAAACATGGCGTATTCGATCTCGCAGTTTTGCGTGATCGTCGTGAAAGCAGCATACGCTATGTAGGTACCTAATGTATCGCTGTCCCGATTGGTGCTTTCAAAACGTTCGTACGTGGTTTGCTGGCGACTACTGCAGGGAAACTGGCCAACCAGCTGTGGCGTTTTCAACCAGTTAGCCCTCCATTGGGTTGGGTGAAATATCGATATATCCAGCGGATCGATGCCCCCTGGATAACGTGCAACCCATCTCTTCGCCTTTCTCCTGCCTATTATAGACTCCTTGTGACTATCCCATTGGCTAGAAAATTTCCCGAAGCCTACTCGTCCATGTGGCATGCATGTCTATATAAAAACCCGGGGTAAAAGAGCATGGTAGAAAGCCTTCTCAGCTCTAACGGTGGACATCGGTCCGCTCAGCCTGGCGCTATATAAATAAGCCCATGATGAAAATTTTGTCGTATGAGTAGTAGTCTCCTTACTAGAGTGGAAATGCAAGACGCAATTGTAATCGGGCCAGGCGTTGAGGCCATCAAGGCCATGGTGAACGGATGAAAGACTAATATATTACTAGTGGGTATAATTTTGTAGGACGCGTGTCCCCAATATGTGACCATTCCAAGCCAATGCAAGACCTATACTCCCGACCCAGTACCCAGGCCCCCCTAAAACTCCGTGACGCACAACTCCCTTGGCCCGGATGGGTCGACCCGATGGATGGAAAAAAAGCAAGATTATCGAGAAGCGCAATTTTGGTGAGGCGAATGAAACCCTGGCCGCAGTTCCAACATAAATCCAACCAAGCCTATGCAGCCAATATGCTATGCAGATTAACGAAGATGGTAATAATTTTGAGCGTGCAAAAATCGGAATCGCGCTTTGACATCTGATTCATTGAGTTAATGCCGTCGAGGGGAGATGTAAATAGTCCCCCGGCAAGGTCGTACGGTTATTAAAGGCCTCTCGAGTTTCTGGCGCAACATCATGAATGTGACCGAATGGAGTGGAAAATTCTGACTTGGGGGTCTCGACAGGTGTCAGTTGTATACCCAAGCCGAGTACAGCATGTCCCGAACTCATTGACTTCCCATGCTTAGCCAATTTGCTCTCATCCCCCATTTCAATATCCTCGTTGATCAGCTCTCGCCGAGCCATTTCGATATCGTGTCTCGCTTGCTTGATAGACTTAGCTTCCCATAGGGGAAGGATGCGGTAGCCCAAGTTTTCCATAATACACCTTTCGGTGAAATTGATCTGCTCACACGTCCAGATATTCTGGCCCCATGCGGAGCCATAATATTGAGTAGATTCCTGTAAATCCTCCACAAATTTGTCTGCAATCACCAATGCTGCCAAAATTATAACCTCGGGGAGAACATTATCGATATGGACAGCTTGAACGGCACCAGATGGTAGGGTGTGGCGTTTGGGTCCGAGTTCGTTTGGTCTGTTTAAGGGGAAGGATACCCGCCAACTTCGAGAGAATCGAGAATTTAACGAGTCTAGGATGCAGACCGCCAATGCAATAATATCCATCGGTAAATTAGCACGTGCCAGTAGACCTTGCACTATCGGAATAGACGGTGTCATAAACGAAGCTCCAGGAGGTAACATTCTTGCTAGATGAGCGGCGGGCCCTACCGAGAGAAATTAGTTGAAGCATGTTTTTGTTGGGGGCCGCTACTAACCTAATAATTCTGGACTAACGCTCTCTTCATCCTCAGAAGTGATACGAGGGCTTTGCGCGGCAGATGAATTTTTGGAAGATGGAGGAGGCGTAGGAAGGTTGGACAAAGGTTTGTAAAATTGCCTGAAATACGCATCGTCGAACTCGAAGTCGTCGTCGTAGGTAGAAAAACACCGAGAGTGACCCATCTTGGATATGATTTTAGGGCGAAGATATTTAAGGTCTTAGATAACTAATAAACGGCGCCAAGGAACAAGGTCTGCTCATATTCGAACAAAACCTCAAGTATCTACTCCTTAGTACTAGAAGAATCACGCGCTCAAGCTATTTAGATAACGTGCTAAGTCTATTACCGTCAAACAGCGGAATCCAGGTCAGGTCAGATAGTTGAGGAAGGTGTCTTATATACGCGAGCAACACCGCTAACGAGTACAAGCACTTCGGATATTCGGCCAGATCCAGAGGAAAGGAACAGTAAAGGTCAATTCCCGGAGATGCAGACAAATATAAAGACTTATAAGACTTATATAGAATAAATAAATAAATAAATATTCAAAGAAGTAGGCGGATGAGGCGAGGGGGATGGAGCTTATTATGCAAAGGCAGCACGGGTCAGAAGCGAAGCCGAGCACTTGCAGGAAACCCGGTGCCTGTCCATCCATGTTAGTACGAGGTTAGGTACTCTACCCTAATGCATGCATAGCCATTATTGGTATTGCACTTATGATTTAAACCCGGCATGGTACCTTCAACGCGCATTCATGTGAGAACTGCATGTTGTAGATACCCGAAGTAAAAAGAACCCCGACGTCAGGGTTAAAAAGCTGGGGAGACTAATAATGGCTTGAAGCTGAATCGTAAGTGCGGTTAGCTAAAGTAAGCCGTTTCTTCTTAGAGAAAAGTTAATTAAGAAGTGCACAATACACGACAAGCTCTAGCTCGGTAGATTATTCAGTTTGCCCTAGGTACGTGGTAGAGTACGTGGTAAGAGTACGAGGTTTGACAAAGTTGTCGGGTACGTATGTAGGGAGGAAGGGAGGGGAGATCACGCAAGCGTCCTTGCAACTTGAAGATCTCCAATGCCGCTTTCCATTTTGACATGGGGTATTGGGGGCGTTTGAATATCGAAATAGCTTTGCTACCAGGTAAGTTGCTGCTAGTGTAGGTAACTGATGTATATGTTCCACGTTCAAGACCTGGTGTAGCTCTAGACTATTGAAGGATCAAACTGATCTTTCTATCTCATACTGTTAAGTGTCATAAAAAGAGAGCAGAATTTGCATACCAGGGGCAAACCAAGTTGGTAGAATTCGTAAAGTTGGTAGACTCGGTCGAGATCACCTATCTCATACCTCATCACCTCTAAGCTTCGTTCCTGTTTCGGATCAGGCCACCAAGCTCCCTAACTGTTAGCGGGCCCCGACCCTTGAATCAGTCAATAGGATAGCGCCATTGGTATATTCGTCTATCGAATGTACTAAATAATGTCTAGTGCATCTACACAACTACACTAGACAACTCCCCACAGCCGGTATAACACCACAGCTAAGGGAACATGGAACCAGAACTGTCGAGAACGGAATAAACAGGGATCAAGACGATGACGGCGACAAAGTGGCATCGGTCAAGAATATCGGAGGTTTTTTTTTGGAGGGTTCGTTGGCGTATTGAGACCGAACTTCCAGCGGTGAGCCTTGCGCTGATATTGTAAATTTGTAACCTTTTGAGTTAAGAAAGTATTATTTTGGCTGTTTGGGTAAGTTGAGCGGGGATTCGGGGGTTAATTCAGCCCCACATTAGGTAGACTGCTACATAATACATGAGATAGTTACACTAACACTAACTAACACTAACATTGTACCTACAAGCTGTAAGCTACAGCACATTAGAACTCCTACCTAACTCGTCCTTAATATGAGATCCTAATTGCTCTAATCCTGATTTCATGTAAACTTCAACTTCCTCATATGTAAGCCAAGTTCTGTGGCGCAAGACATCTCTTACTGTTTGGTATTTGCTATACCAGTAGTTTACTCTTGAAATCAAGTATTTATTGATAAGCACTATTTTACCTCTCGGTCAACCCCTACCTATCAATGCTTCAAAACTAGGATTATGAATATTACGACATCGTAACAACTTAGAATTATTTTATTAATACTACCCAAATAGCCTACTATTTTAATTGTTATACTACCGTTACTCTATCCTAGTGTAACTAATGTACCTAATATATCGCACATCTTACAAGCAATTAAGTTGCCCAGATTTTAGATAGGTAGTCGGCTACTCAGTACCAAGTTAATGCCAACACCAGCGCCAGCGCCAGCGCAACGGCCCTCCTTAGCGATGCATAAGCACGGTCGCTAACCGCTTCTACACCGCCTTCCACAAAATATACCTAGGTGTACAAAAAGTGACTGTAGACAAGTAAAGGCTACACGGACAATACCTACCTCACACATGGTGCGCTATGCAGGTGCATATGTTTTACACAACAACGAATTTTATGTAGGTACACAACAGTCGGCGACTCCTCGGATTTAACAATTCTCGGTCCATCCTAGGTATCATACCCTTTCTATTCAAGCTTGTCCTCACTATTCAGTAACTAGTGTAGTGGACCTATTCATTTCCACCGCACATAAGACCAAAATATTTCTAGGGGTCTCGCTACGAGACACCAGAGGTGGTAAGTTGATGATGGATGACGCTTATCGCCCAGATCCGATTGTCTAGTTTGCTCGGCACTGGAGAAAAAGGTCCCCTCTTTTACGAGGCCAGCGTGTCAATGGCACAATGCGCCTCCGTCGAGCCTCGTATGTTAAGATTATGTACATTCAGCTTCCAAGAGACATGCGCCATACATAGGGGTTATCCGCCGTTTCCGAACCTGGAATCCATCTGCAAGAACTTGACGTTTAAAAGCAATGACGACTGCAACTGCGAAATCTCTTCAAACCCTTTCGCGAAGGTCCGAAGCTGAATCGAATGTTCTCCGTCAAAAGATTACCTCTCGAATATTCCCTGCAGCAGTCCGCGTATACGAGATCCAACTACATAAACTACTATCGAATAGATATTTACTATTTACTACCCACAGCTTCCTATCGCAATGCAATCTCGTGTTCCCTCCGAATTTTTGAAAAAGAAATAAATTATTTGATCAAATGATGTATATATCCCTTCCATACGACGTTCGATAGACAACAAACGAAGAGGATCAGCGATCAATGATCGTCAGGTACAGCAAGATTTAGTTCTGGCCTCCTAAACCCCACATTCCGATGTTGTGGTACTTGTTTTGCATAACGGTCGATCCGAATACTCCCCGTGATGAACCAGATGGTATTTTCTTCCTGCACTAACGATTAACAACTGCGGGCATAACTGCGGCCTTTTTATAATATCTAGTTTCTCTACTCTTGGGCAAGCGTTTACCTATATTTAGCGACCGTTCTAATGCAATACCCAGGACTTATACATGTATAGTCGCCATCACAAACCAATCACAGAAAAGCTTGGCAAGCATAGTTTCTTCAGCCTCTTCAGCCTCTTTCAAGCACTACCCGTAAAAAAAAGAGCAGAAATTCAAGGAACAAGAATCAGGTTATGTGGGGTTTCAAGCTTGAATTTGCAACCATTCCCATTACGAAGGCTATCAGCCAATATTTGTCTTCCGTGATCACGTGCTTAACACCATGATGGTGTGAAGCAATACGAATAAAATGCATCTGCTCACGGTAATAAATCGGATATTTTGGTCATCACGAGCACTCGTAACTAACACAACACGACGATAATTTCTACAAGATGGGTTATCTCAATTTCGTGTTTTAAATTTTATTCGTGGAAACTTCTAGTGTTTATATCAGCAAGTTCGGGCCTATATGGAATACCTCAGTACCTAAGGTATATAGTTGGTATGCATAGTCGTTACTTTTTTTATACCAGCATAATTAAATGTTGCTAAGGCATTTTAGCATCCTAATCCCAGGTAGAAGACCAAGGGCTACATCAAAGATAAAAGGTACCAGATATTTACTTTATTTGTGGTGAAACGATTAGCTCTAGGGCTCTCGCGCCAATACTTTGACCAACTGTCAAGATTCTAGATGAGACATTTAGAACAAAGGATATGTTCGGTAGGTATATTTAGACCTCCTAACTAATTTCAAGTTCCTTACGGAACAACAAAGTTATTCCTATAATGTTTGGTTCTACCTCGTGGCACTAGCGATAGAGCACTATGTATAAACATAATATTGAAATCTTTTGACATTATACATATTCGTCATATTCGAGATGTGTGTTTTGGCCCTTTCCAAGCCATTGGCGTAGTTCGATATTTACGTATCCATTTGACAATCGTAGATTGCGGGAACTGGATCACGAGGTGAGCCCAGAAGGTATAGAGATAATTTGGTTCTTCCTCAAGGAATTTTGAATATAAGCACTTATTGTGGAAGCCAGCGATTAGCTAATATATTTGTCACGAGGTGGAACCAAACGGCATAGAAACAACTTCGTTACTCTGCAAAAAAAATCTAAACTACCTAAACTTTTTCTATATCAGGCGATATTCTAGCTCTGTTCCTCCAAAGGAGTACTTTAGACGTCTAAGAGCGCCATAGATGCGCGCTGTATCTACCTAGGTAGGTAGGTAGCACATAGCAGATAATAGACGTAAATGTTATCATCATCATCATCTAAACTACCCAAGAGGTTCTATGTCTATACATAGGTATTAAAATTGCTTTTTGTTCTGGGTGTTTCATCCAGAGTCCTGACGATATTTACGATATCCTTCGTTATATATAGCATTTTAACTCTTACCTCGAAATATAATCAATTAGGAATGACATAGCTTCCTATATCTTGCTATGTTATTTTAAACCCTAGTACTTATGATTATGCATATTGTAGTGGCTTTGCCAGTTTCGCTATTTGTAAATATTAACATAATATTAACGGCTTAAAAATGTGTAGTTAAGGCTTTAATATCAATAAGAACTATGATAGTAATATTAATTGCATCATATTTAGCAGATCTGTTGAAATGAGTGTCCAAGGGACTACTTTCAGGTACAATACATGGTATTTTAATACGAGATGTATATATAAGAAGGACCTCCCTCTTCACTCATACAGTGGGTGGACAAAGTCAATATGAATGTATAGCTCATATACCGCATCATTCAGTGGTTCTTTGCGAGTTTTGTGTATTAGGTATATTATAATGGTCATATTGGCTATCTGAACTTAGTTGACGAGGTTATGTCTAAAATATAATAGCAAATCCCCCTTTTAATTAGAGAACAAATTTACTCTAAGAGTCGAAGGTACCTAATCTAAGGTAGGTAAATGCCTATCCTACTTTGACCTTCATGCCCTGCACACGACTATCCCAGCTTTCACATGTTAAAGAACTTGTTTCATTGGTCGCTAGATGGGTTAAATGCAGAGCGAAATATATAGGATACATACATTTCTCTATAAAGGTCTCCCTTAGAGACTTTCCATATATGAGGTTACAGGTCTAGATATTTCAAATTGCGATGCCACCGAGACTAGAGTTTACTTCTATAACAGTCGGAGCTCGAGCCCCCTAAACACTAAAAGTGCTAATACTGAGACATCTTCTTCATTTGGCATCCACGAGTCTGTGCTCGGTTTCGTGTTTATTTTAGATAGAATTCAACGTTCCTGAGCCTTACCTCACAACTTCTCACGGACATTTATCATGCTAGACTTAGCTTCTGGGCTCCCGCATACTGGTTCTGCATCATGTGGGAAGCTACCGACATACATCTATGAGCATGTAATACAACAACACCAACGTGATCCATCCAACGAGAAACGTGGCACACTATCAAGGGATGCTAGACTTTGACGTTTGCACTAGAAGCGCCCTAGACCAATCACTTCTAGGGATGGCAATCTGCCTGGCGCTTGCTCACGTTGGACAGACGCTATGTCCTTCTATGCACGGACAACTGGAGCTGTCATACGGCACACCTAAGTGTTAGTGAAGAACTGACATGTGTTTTTTTCCTCATATTGCAAGATCTACCCAGGTGAATAGTAGTATTTGAACTAAAAACAGCCAAACTGCCTACCTCCCTACCTCCCTACCTCCTAAAGTATCAAATCAACGTAAAGTATCTTGATTAAACTGACTAACTTGTCTTTGATAATCATGGATTATGGTTACACAGAGTAAGAGTAGAGGGCTTATCTTACAGTATACAAGTGTACCCCAAGTTTGGCCTTGTCGTCTCTTAACATATGTACTTCTTGTACAATTCGTTATCCAGTATCTACCCATCCACTAAATGTATAGGATGGAGGTTTCACTATGGCGTATTTGATTATATAATAAAAGGATCTAAAGTTAGATATCCTAATTTTGATTTCAATTGCATTCCGAATATCAATCTCGAGTATCATCCAATAAACCGGCTTCGCGCTTCAGTGGTGAGCTGTAAGGATTTCCCTTGGGCTAACGGAGTCCATAAGATTCTTTCTTGGCTTGATCTGACGACAGAGGGTTATGGTATGACAACTCCTTCAGAGGATATAACGAAAATTGGAGGCTGCCGGAGCACAATACGGAATGAGATGAGTCCCGAATAAAGGATTAAGCCCCATGGCATAATAATTTGCCATAGCAGATGTTCGAAGGAATCGTGGACCTTAAGAAACCCACTAGTAAGCTTTAGGGTGCATACAAATAACTCTGGGCACTTATTATCAGCTGACCCTGCTTTATTCTAAATAGTTTACTTACTCCTTCAAAATGAATAGAGAATATATATAAAATAAAATTTGCTTGGGTAGTATTAAAGATTCTTGGTATATAGATCGCGAGCCTAAGATAGCGAGGGAGGTGCGCTCACTTACGACATATAGCAAATGAATGATGCCTTCATTGTGGGCTCGCTAGGGGAATGCCTTTTAAGTATGGTTGAAGTCTTTTTATGATTTTTTTTTACGAGCAATAACCCTGATATATGGGCCCCTTAGATAGACATACCTACACTAATCATGAGCCTCAATAGGCATACAATAAAATTCTCTGGTCTTTAGATCTCGCCGCCTCGATAAACATATCCCGTGCTTTTGATATATAATGTCGGCCTCATGTGATAGCAGTTTCTTCTTCTTTTTTTTTTTTTATAGCGGCGGAACCCCAAGAGATTTGGCGTATTCCCTAATATTAGGCCCGGATCTAGAAGGGTCAAGCTTTTTGAGTTTGTAGATACCGCCTGGGTATGGTCCCGTTCAAGTTAAGTCACACTATCAAGCAATCCGTGTTGCAACCAACAAAGCAGCACTAGGCCACCTTCATCGTTAGCCTTCCCAGTGAGAATGTCCTAGATTATGATCACCGTATCTAGCCGTGTTATACCAAGCTTGTAGACTTGTCGAGATACGGCCGCCAAGTAAAGGGCAAGCTTCATAAGCATTCTGGGCGCTGCAAAAGAAATGTTCTTTGTACGACCTAATCCTCCCTCCCACCACCGGGTGGCGCTGAGATAAAGAGCCCGGTGGCTTGGCAGCTCGGGACGATGAAAATGTTTGATCATGAGTGAGATGAGTGGTTAGAACATTTGAGATACCTATACGAACATAGCGGTATTATGAGGTGAGCTAGCTCGGCTTGGTGCCCGAAGGATGAGATAGAAAACAAGAAAACCAGCACGTTTTTTTGTCCCAAGCCCGTGGATCTTTGCGTAACAAAAGCTGGGGAAGGCTTGCTTCTAGAATACTCCCTTGCTATCGTTATCTCTGCGTTGCTACAATGCTACGTCGCATCCACAATATCGTGGGCGTGATTTGTAGATTGCGCCATGGGCGCCATGGGCTGGTTCGCGTTATCGTCAACCACCTGCCTAAACCGGCCGAGTACAATGCTAACCGAGACAATCCTACTGGATAACTGATTTTCCCAGCTAATTGGACTTCATTGCGAATCCTAAACTCGTTAGACGAGATCTATCATGTGTGTTAGTATAGATTTTGCGAGGATTATCTAGGATAATGATATTTGATATGGAAGAGGTCATGTACAACTAGATATATGGCTTCGTGAGTGGTTAGCCCAGACTTGGTGGCGCCTGGGGTCCAGCGGAGGAGCTACCTGTTTTTGTATTTACCCAGCTACCAAGGCGCTTGGCGGGACTACCGTTGGTGTGGACTGGTCTGAATATTGTACGATTAGGTAGAGCCTAAGTCGTATCTCCACTGCTTGGGGGTTCGCGGATAACCTCATCTAGGAAGCTGGGATGGTAAAAAGAAGACTATCTTGTCGCTGATAAGCTAGGTATCATGATCTGGGCAAGTCTTGGGTCTTGGTGTTACGAGTGGCTGGCTTGTCCCGATGGCTTGCAACCTGCGTAGCCATGTTACTATATAGCTGGATATATTCCGTTATGCAGTGTCACATATGTGCCCTCCTGTCGATCATCCTGTCTCTTCCAGTCCCCTCCCAATTTCCTTATCTTGGGTGTAAACCCCGAGCAGTATCTTCGCTTTCTTGCTTTGAAGTGTCTGCTCAACTAGAAAGCAGCTTTCTACAATGGGTAAGTTATTCGTTCCTGTTATAAACTTATTCTATTGAAGAGAACTTGCCGATATCTTCATAAATCAGTAAGTCAATAAGTTAATATGCTAACGCTCTTGTTATAAGATTCTGGTACTACCCTTCCCACCGTCGTCGCACCCGTCAGCGCGGTGCGGGCGTCTGTCGACGAGAAAGCGCTCGATGAGAAGACCCAGCTTGACACCAATACCTCAGAAAAGGCTATTACTGAAGATGGCCATGTGGTACTTCAAGGTCTCGTCATCCCAACCGAGGAGGAGAAATCTACTTTAAGGCGTGTTGCTGGCAAGATGCCGGCAACTTGTTATTATCTCTGCGCGGTCGAATTCGCCGAGCGGGCTTCTTATTATGGATGCAATCAGGTCTATAAAAACTTCATCAGAGCCCCCTTACCTCCTGATGGCAACGGCAGTGGTGCTACAGCTCCCGGGTCCGAATATACTGCCGGAGCTCTTGGTAGAGGTCCGGTAGTAGCTACAGCTATGACTGAAGCATTTAAATTCTTAGCATACGCGCTACCGATTTACTTCGGTTGGCTCGCCGACACTAAGTACGGCCGCTTCAAGATGATTTGCTGGGGTGTTGCGATATGTGGTGTGGCTCATATTATCATGATCATTTCGGCACTTCCACCTGTGCTTCTCTCAGGCAACGCTATCGGCCCCTTTGCTCTATCTTTATGGTATGTATAATGATGTTTTTATCAAGCTATCCCCTACCATCCTATTTATTGCCGTATGAATACTTAAATGCTAACCTCTGTGCAGTATGTATTGATACCCCTGATTCTTATCGTTGTTGCCCGCGTCCTATGCTTCCCAGAAACAGCGAAGAAAGACAACATAAGATCACTTCTAAATTGCTAAACGGTATACTGACTCCTATTAGACATGCTCTCAATTGGTGCTGCTCAGTTTAAGCCCAATATTTCTCCTACCGTGATTGACCAAAGTCCTCATAAAATCGCCCATGTCATCACCGAAAAGAACGGCGAGAAGGTTATTGTGGACCCCGAGGAATCTGTCAACAGCGTGATGTTGTGGTTTTACCTGCTCATCAATCTCGGCTCTTGTTTCGGCATTGCGACGACTTACTTGGCTAAGCTTGTTGGATACTGGTCGGCATACTTGATTCCCACGATTTTGTACCTGATGCTTCCACCACTACTATGGTTTTTGAACCCGCGTCTTATAAAACAACCTCCGGGAGGTTCAGACTTGGGAAATGTGTTTAAGGTCCTCGGCGATATCTTTGCTCATGGTGGTTTGAAGCGTATTGGCCGTACAGGATTTTGGGAAGCCGGCAAGCCAAGTGTGCGCAAAGCCGCAGGCAGCACGAAAGTATACACATACGACGACCAATTCGTTAACGATGTTCGAAGGACCTTCCAAGCTTGTGGCATATTCCTCTTTTCTCCTATCTGGCAAATCAACGACGGTGGTCTTGGTGCCGCTGCCAATGCCCTCACTGCTGGAATGGATACTAACGGTCTCCCTAACGATCTCTTGGATAACCTAAACGCTGTCTCTATTGTCCTAGGTATGCATTTACTCCCCCTTTAGTTTAGGGAAATAAGATGGGTTAATATCAAGGCTAACGAATATATATAGCGGTACCTTTCATGAACCATGTCATCTACCCGCTTCTACGTAAACGCGGTATCAAATGGGGTCCCATTTCTCGAATGACCTTCGGGTTCGCGCTTGGCACAACCGGCTCCATCGCCTATTCTGTTCTTCAGTACTACGTGTATAAGACTTCACCCTGCGGTTGGAATGCTACGACATGTGCTGAGATCGTCCCTGTTGGTGAGGTTTCAGTTTCTACTGTTTCTTACGCCTGGTACGCGGTCCCTGTTATAATCACTGCTGTTTCGGAAATCTTCGTGAACGTCACTGCCTACGGTATCGCCTATTCGCGAGCTCCTAAGAACATGAAGGGTCTTGTCGCTTCGCTCAATCTTTTCATGACGGCCATCTCCGCCGCCATCGGCCTTGCCACCGCACCGGCTATCAACGACCCCTATCTCATCTGGGCGTTTGCCGGACCAACCATTGCCGGTGCTGTACTTACCGTCGTCTTCTGGTTTACGTTCAAGCATATCGATAAAGAGGAGTTTGTCCTCAATTCTGACCTTGGCGATTTAAGGAAGGACTCGGAACGCGAAAGCGACGAAGAGAAAGCCCCCCCGCCGAAGTCAATCGATGAGAAGAAATTATAAAGCTTAGGCTATGCGCTTAGAGATAGATCTGAATCATGTAGACTCTTATTCGGACATTTACCTGGAGATATTCAGATAGGGAAACGTAGCATAATGAATAGCAAGATACCTAACATATGTAAACCACGAGTAGATCTCAACTCATTATTAAAACATGCACTCTTAATAGCATATATGGTATTTTATGCAAAGGATTTTCTTACTCGATACTGAGTTGGAATACCTAAATAAGCACAAGTTGGTCAGCTATTACTACCAAGTCCTTCCAAGACTGGAACCTAGCCGAATTAACCAAGTACATGGCAATTCTAATAATCCTATTGGTGCAATACAAGGGTTATTAGACCGAAAAGAAAAGGGGAGGGGGCTAAAAAACTAGAGGAGCGCGGCAGAGCCTCATGTGCCTCAGGTTAAGAGCAAATACTCATGAAAATTTCAAAAAATATCCTTGTAATTTATTATTCCTTAAACAGAAAGTGAGATCCGTGCCCACCCATGGAAATATTATTCAACAACTCGCTTGCCGCTGCGGTTCTTTGCTGGCACCACTCCATGCCCAGTCGACAGAATACGTTTTGAGTCGTAGCTGAGATGCGGCTGTACAAGAATTTGCTGGGGTAGGGGTAATATACCTGGATGAGAATATTGAAGTAGCAGGCTATTTTCGAAAATAAATTCTGGATTTCTTCATTACTTCCACCCAGTCTGCCTAAGCCAGCCGTGAGATTGTCGCCCACACAAATACTGCAACCCGCACAGAACTTATCCCAATCGTTTGTCGTTCGCAGTCTCTTTAGGTCGAGAAACGGGATTCCCTGCTGCCGTTCTCCTAATATGGATTTTTTAAAACCTACATTGAGCTGGAGGTCCGCCGCCTGGCAGCCAGCATCTCTGAAAACATTGGCCGAGAACAATATTTGGCATGCTGTCACGCATGGTAAGGACGGCGAAGTTGAAAAAACTCTAAAGCAATGGGGCAGTAAAGTAAGTGAAGATGACAAGGCTGAACTAGTGAACACTTTCCGGAATTTCGAAGAAGATATCGAAAATATTCAGTCTCAAACTTGGGATATGATGGACGATGTACAAATAGGGGCTGGGTATTCTCTTCTCTCTATCGCCATCTGCCGGAATTTACTTGAAGACGTCAAATTCCTGGTTCAGCAGCCGGGCATTTCCTTAAATACACCGAGCGGTAGTGAACGCCTTACACCTCTTCATATGGCTATCATCGGAGAACATTCCGATCTAGTTTCCGAAATTCTTCATAATCGCTCAACAGCGCCGTCACAACTAGTCAATACCCGTGACTCCGATGGAAAAACAGCACTACATCACGCAGTAATGAAGTATTGCTGGAAGGAAGAAGAGTTTACAGAAGAGAGCAAAACTCGCAAAGATGTCTTACAACTTCTCAAACATGGAGCAAATATCGACGCACAGAATCGTAGTTTCCACACACCTCTTCATCTGCTTATCATCCATGGTCCTGACAGAGAGGAAATTGAATTTGCTCGACTCCTTCTAGAAAATGGAGCTGAAGTGAACACAAAAGATGAGTACGGTGAGATAGTCAACACTCAATACTGCGTTATTCTAGAAACTGAACGAAGTCTTTAGGTGATTCGCCCTTACATAGTGCGTGTAGACGTGGAAACGGTGGGCTCATCCGACTATTGATCGATTGGGGTGCGGATATGGATTGTCGCAACTTAGACTGGACAACGCCTCAAGATCTATTTTTGAGTGGCGTTGACGTATCTAAAGATGATATGACCTTTGCTTTGGATGTATTTTCCAAGCTAAAGAAGTCAACCATGACACGCGAGAGAGTTGGGAATATCCCGCGAGGTCCCACGGAGTGTCTTGATGAGATGAGAAACATTTGTGCCGAATTCCCTGTCTACTTTCGGTACCAATGGCCTGGACTAGACCCTAAGCCAGACGGAAACACCTCTATGTCATGGATTCGGAGTGACATGAAAGTTTCTCATGTCCTTTATCCAAACGACGAAAAGGACGAGGAGACGCTTGAACCTGTATGTGGCGGGGAGGGTTTCCTTGTTAACTGCGAGAGAAAATTCAAATCGAAAGCTTGGATGTGCTGGGAGGAAGAATATGGGAATGACTTAGGTGATAGACATAGAGCTACTGGGCAAGAAAATGGAAAATACGAAATTAGGAGCGTAGAAGCGCGGGACCATGGACTCGAAGATAAGAGGAAACAAGTCGAGGACGACGTGGGGAAGAATTCTTGGAGATGGATCAACTTCCCATCTAATAATGTAAGCAAAATATCTCCACAAGCGTCAGTAGAGATTGTACTAACATACATACCTCGTATAGATGACATGGATCAAGGTAAAACAAAATGTTCCCGTAATGTATGTCAACTGCCTCCTTAGTTAGCTAACACTTGTCAGGATTTTATTATACACAACGCCAGATACAACGAGAACAACCAACTGGATGGAAGAACATGGCGATTTTTCGAAGAGAATATCCGCATCCACGAGACAGATAGTTTATACTCGCGTGTTAGAATCCCTCATGCGAAGGAAAGTTTATTCAAATCACTGATGCGTTGTCCAGCATAGATGTGCTGGCGCCATCCATCCATTGAGAAACTTAATAGTAGTTCCCATTCTAACATATCGTCTAGGCTAGCAACAACCGGGATAGGAACGATAAGACACTTCAGAAGAAGAAAGACAACCCAAAGACAAGTAATTGACAATAAGATCTCTTCTCAATGAAAAAGTCAGCACTAACACTAGCTCAGAGATAGCAGATACTTCCCTACCCAGTACCGCCACCACAGAGAAAGGGCAGGATGAAAAGGAGGTTAAGCCCAGTGCAGTTCAGTCATGGAAGAATACAGATGCTTTCATGCCTGGCAAGATGTTATCTTTGGTGGTAAGTCGCGTGTGACTTCTGCGAAACTTCCTCGACACCAAGAAGCTTACATGAAATACTATAGGTTCCCTTTTTAGATATTGAGACAGAAGATCAAGTCCAATCAGGCTTCGACGGCCTTGAAACACAATGCCAAAGAGTCAAGAAACTCAACGAAGTATACTCCCCTTTCACGGGCATGCATGGTGTCCAGCACTCCCAAACACTAGACCAGATTTACTACAACACCGAAAGTGATGCCACAAAGTTGCATACGGAGAAGGAACAAGTGATATACAGGTGGTCTGAGAGAAGAAACACGGAAAGGAAACAGTTTCAATATCATCAAGAGCACCGATCGCAGCAGCTTAGTCAAACGCCAACTGAAGAGGACAATAATGCTACTTCTTCACCGGGGGAGCCAAGCAGTATTAACCAGCATACGACTCAAAAGAAATTATCATTGTTATTTCATAAGTTATGGCGGGAGTTACGGGGCCAACAAGAGCAACCAAACCAAGCGCGAATTAAAGGGAACAGCAACGCTTCACTTCCTCTAGGAGAGTCAAACAGCAATGACCAGTCTATGCTTCGAAAGAAATTATTGAGATTCTCCTATAAGTTGTGGCAGAAGTTGTGGAGGCAACAAGAGCAACCTCAGCAGCTAAATCCGTCAAAAGTAATAAACACACAACAACTGGATGCAGACCCTATAAGGCCAAGGAGGCATGGCGGTAGAAACGCTAAAAATGCCAACGCCAAGCGTATCCGTGAGGACCCTTCGCCGAAATGGCTAATGTCTCGGCAGTTGTGGCTATGGAAACTTGATGATAGTAAGTAGAGGAAATGTGTCTTGATGTAAGTGTTCGTATGGGCTAATTCTTATGCTTAATCTACAGATACCATTATCACGGCGATACCGTCTCGAGCAAATGGAATGACGGCCGATACCCTTCTCGAGACCATACGCCAGGGCAACCTGGATATCCTCACGACACCGAATGACCTCATTAAGCGCATACTATACGAGACGGTGTCGTTCCTTGACGAATTCAGATGGGCGGGACTCGGTAACCATATCCTAGATATCTTCGAAGGCGAGATTGCGACCGAGGTACAAATCTTCAACCCGATTCCCCAGCCAAACAGAGCTATGTATATTAACTAACTTTGCAGACGGACCGAGAAGCCGGATTCTTTAAGAACTTTAGCAGTGGCAATTGGAGTCCAAATAACGTCAACGGGTTTATACAAGAAGCTGCTCACTGTACCTATCGCGTTAGGGACATCCGAGACGAGCTTCACCTGCTGCGGCAAGTCTTCGAGACACAAGCCAGGGTAGTTGCAGATTTTGCAGCGATATTCTGGCCTAGTAGTGCCCCTGGAAGTCAAAAACAGGGGAATATTGCTTCGAAGGATTTGCGAGAGAGCTTTATTCGCGATTGTGGTCTCCAGTCGCTCATCCAACGAGTCAGGCGGATGGAAAGCGATGCGTCAACTACGCTTGAGGGGGTAGGTGTACAAGCGGAAAACTCATGTTCTCCCTACATTCCAGTTTTCTTTTCTTGCTATTAAACTAATGCTCTTTGTGGGTGTACTAACTATGATATTTACCTAGTTGAGCACCATCATCCAAGCAATGCAGGCCCAGGCCTCTCTCAAGGAAGCCGAACAATCACGGTTCTTGAATCTCATGATTCTACCTTTCACGATTATAACAGTAATATTTGTGAGCTTAAGTCTTCTTTCGTAACTACCTAAGGTACCTATATAATAGTATTGCTAAATATGTATATTGGGCAAACAGACCCCGCTCTCTTTCCTCACGAGCCTCTTCGCAGTGAATACTTTGGGGTTCCCGCACAACGACGACGGTGAACTACGATTGCCAGCCTCGTGGTTTTCTTGGAGGATGGGTACGTCGCTATCAAGTGTTGATATGATATCCCCTCCTCATTCTAACCATGCCTTAGTTGTCGGCGAGGTTTCTTCTCTGCTTCCCCTTGGGCTGTTGGTCCTCTTGATATACTTTTGGTATGGAAATGAGAGTGGTGAGTTTTACATCCTGCGCAGGGACTCGACATTTTTCAATTTCAATGGCTAAATGCAGATAGATAATGTATCTGCCCGAAATACGGCACGGAAACGTTCAAGCCTACGCAAAGTAGTGGATAAGGAACAGCGGCGATATGCTGATGTTGAATGGGGACACTAGACACTATGATTGCAACCCCTGAGACTTAAATGATCGCTCAACTCTCCTGAACTATTTACTAGTAACACATACCGCAAAGTTGGTACTATAAACTACTCCAAATAGATTATTGACTATATAATTTAGAATGTGCTAGCTTATAGCTTTAATATAGTAGTCGTGTATCGCTCTACTAGTTCCTCTGAAAGGGGTGGTAGTACATGTTTAAAGGGGTGGGTTGGAAATATATTTCTTACACCTTGATCATATTAAACGTCACATTCTTAAGAAGAAATACGAGGAAATATAACAACTCCCGAAGGATGCAATACAGTTACCGAGTGATCACGTGGATCAGGCATTGAAACCAGTATGCTCCCGAAATACCTAAGCGGGAGCCATATAATCGGGATCTCTCTTCAAAAGCCCCCCTCAATAATGTAACTTGATATGGATATGAGTTACGGTAGTATTGGCGGGCGCTAATCCCTGGCTGGATTTTGGGTGACCTCATTGGTACTAAAAGCGACCGGATGACGACCTTGTTTTAACCATGATAGGTGAGATGGTACCCAAAATCGGTTTCAAGAACGATGGATGGTAGCGACTAGGCCAATCAATTGTATGCTGCATGGTGACGATTCAAGTTATAATAATTGTTGTAGGTGTGATGGTATATATAATTGCCGCCTTGGAGGCGAAGCGCTTCTGAATTGTCATAGTTAAGTCGAATGATTTCTTATTTCCAAAATGTTAGTGGTCGTTTATAGGTATTTTACCTTTTGCTTATTGCAAAATCCCCATGTCTATCAGCGGTATCAATCAACCTCGGCGGTTATCTGCTTTAGCTTTGTCTCGTTGACATCACTTAGTCGCATTCTCTTAGCGCGGAGACGCGATGCGACTCTCCTTAGGTACGTTATGCAAGGTTTATTTCGAAGGGGAGAAACCTGAAAATGTTCAAGATCGGCAGGCATCGGTCGAGATCTCATTCGAACATGGAACTTAGATCGAGCGTCAGCACAAACTTATTTGCTTTAATTATTCTGCATAGGTATGTTCGAAGTAGAGGTAGCCAAGACCTCTCCGGCTGCCTCGGAAACCGAGCTAACAAACATCTTTATCAAACATATTGTAAGTATCGTGAATATATGTCGATTCCTTTTTCGCATTTGTATTTTTTCTTATACACAGCCTAATATATATGATTCGTAAGTGAGTACAGTACATAATATGTAAAAAGCAGTGTAAGAACGGAATCCTGCAGCTGGATACGAAGTACAGAATCTGACCTTAAATCCAACATGAAGTTGTCGGAGACCGGTGCCACACAAATGGTAGCACTGATAGGTCTCGGCAGCAGCCATGCCCCGACCCGATACTCAGCTTTTGTTGTCCCTCTGGATACAGGCTTAGCTGAGCCCCGAAGTAGTACGTATTTACATAGTTTAAAATGCTTAATTGAGTACCATACACCTTGAGTGCTCTTGGTAAGGCAGGTAGTACGTAATAGGTGTTCCAGACCTTGAAAATTCACCTAATCCCACTGCTTCATCTATTTCTCACTAAAAAAAAGCACTAAAAAGCACTAACAAGCACTGACCACACAACATGTACTTTAACATCGCTACCTTAGGTACATTATAGGTGCACATGCAAACATGTAGTACGTAAGTTGCTAGTTAGTCCCTGTAAAATGCACTATGTACGGGCTGTCGTCCAGGCGATCAACACTTGAGATCGGATGGCGGAAAGTCCTTTCCAACAGCCTATTCGACTAACTTCAAAGTTACCTAACGTATATTGTTTTGCTCTTATTTTTATATTGTTTTTCTTTTACATTGCGCATCCAACCTCTCTCTTTTCCATGTTAGCTATCCACCATAGAATGCTTCAAAGCCGCTTTTCGATCTTACTTAGCGATTACGACCCGAGAGTACCAAGCTTCCTTGTTCCTTGTTAACCGTCGTTTCATGAACCAGCCCGGTTCGACATCGCCTACGACCGCCTACGACCGCCTACGTCCTAGTCACTTCTACTCCTACTACAAGTCCCATATCGGAAACCCCTACGAATTCGCAACGTATCCGCTTCGTTACACAACTAATAACTCCTATTCTACTACTACGAAAGACTCGTATATTAGAAATTCCCTTCCGATAAACTGATCCTTTAACCTTTCCTGCACTCCATATCCTAATACGATTAACCTTCCGCTGTCGCTTGAACCCTAGCTCAAGGTTCACCTGTTTAGAGTTGGACCATCCCGTCGATCTTCAACTGTGTTTGTAACTCAAGTTTTGCGTTGGGAACGTTACGGCGACCTTAGTAAATTCGAATTACTTTCGCGAGAACAACCGAATTCCTGTGCTGTCTATCTACCTTCCCATGTTTAGAGCATTAGAACTGCGCGATCTACATAACCTATCTATATACGACTGTCTTACACTTTGCAAAAGCCAAGGTTTCCCCCACAATAAGCGAACGATTCAGTAATACATAAAATCCATATATATTCCCAGGCGGCCAGTTTTCGCCGTTCCCGCGGCTCTGATATGGACCAGACGGGGCAGCTCCTCGTCGCGGCCAACCACATATATGCCAGAGCGAACGAGACGAGCACCGACCCCGCGACAGAAAGCCGACCACCCGCCTACAAGGCCATCGGTATATCATTGGCAGTTGCATCCGGTTGCTTCATCGGAGTATCATTTGTGTTAAAGAAGGTTGGATTGCTCAAAGCAAACGAGAAATATAATGAAATCGCTGGCGAGGGTTATGGCTATCTCAAGAACGCCTTCTGGTGGGGTGGAATGACTTTAATGATTATCGGCGAGCTTTGCAACTTCGCTGCCTACGCCTTCACGGACGCCATCTTAGTAACGTCCTTGGGAGCTTTATCGGTCGTCATCACAGCCGTTCTCTCGGCCATCTTCCTAAAAGAGAGACTGAGCATGGTCGGCAAGGTTGCATGCTTTCTCTGCATAGTTGGATCCGTGATTATTGTCTTAAATGCTCCCGAGGAATCTTCTGTGGCGACTATCCAGGAGTTACAGAAATTCGTCATTACGCCGGGGTTTTTAAGTTATATCGGTGTTATTATAGTCGGTTCTGCTTTCGTTGCATTATGGGTTGCGCCACGATACGGCAAGAAAAATATGTTCCCGTATATCTCGGTCTGTAGTTGGATTGGGGGTTTGAGTGTCGTCGCTACCCAGGGTCTTGGTGCTGCTATTGTTGCGCAGGCCGGCGGCACTCCTCAGTTTAACCAGTGGTTTGTATACGTTGTTCTAGTCTTCGTAATAGGGACACTGCTGACGGAGATTATTTATTTAAACGTGAGCTTGCTGCAATTATACGGTAAAGACATGCTAACTTTTTTATAGAAAGCACTCAACTTATTTAATGCAGCTATGGTTACTCCGACTTATTATGTCTATTTCACAAGTACGACTATGATTACTTCGGCGGTCCTCTTCCAAGGGTTCAAGGGTACCGCGATGCAAATTGTTACGGTGGTCATGGGATTTCTTACTATTTGCGCTGGCGTTGTTCTGCTACAATTGTCAAAGTCCGCCAAAGATGTGCCAGATGCTGCCGTTTTTGCTGGGGACTTGGACCAAATACACACGATTGCCGAGCAAGAGCAGCCCGAAACCGAACCCAAGGCCGACGCCATTCGTGGAGCCGCCGCCATTGTACGGCGCATTTCTCTTGCTCGCCAGAAGATGGAAGAAGAGGAATTCCGGCGGCTTCGTGAAGAAAAGGAATTAGAGCGTCTCGCTCCGGTTAGTGAAGATGGCCAACAATTATACGAGTGGGATGGATTAAGGCGGAGAAGGACTGGACTTGGGAGTTATAGGAGTCGTGCGACAACATCACCAAGCATTGTCAACGCGCCAGCCCATCCGCCTTTAGGCAGATCGAGATTTTTTACCGAGGAAGAGTTAGCTGAAGAACGTAGTCGTCAGATGTCACCGGGTATGCTATCAAGCATAGCCGGTACTATTCGAAGTCGGGCGAGGAGCGTTTTGCTGCCAGGACACCCCGAGTTTTCCCAGGACGCTCACGATCCTAGGGTCCAAAGTCCGATGCACCCGGTACAGTTGTCTGAAATTGCTGTTCCGGGTCAGAAATACGCAAACGAGGCTAGTCCATATAGCACTAGTCACGGTCATATTTACGGCCTCCCGAATAGCCTACAGAGGACGGAATACGAAGGTGCTGCTAGTATAGCATCCGGTAGCACTGGGCGTCATATCCAGTTTACGGAGACGCCGAAGCCATATGCCAGCGTATCTTCTCTGGCACCGCCGACACCGCCGCCTCACGGGGAGGTCCCTGTAGCACGTCGGCAGTTCTCGTTCCAAAATGTATTCCGTCGGCATCAAGCTGACAGTATACAGGAGCAAGCGCTGCCGTCGCCGAGGAACTCGTCGTCGCGCCACGGGATAGGATCGCGGGGTTACTCGGAGCGACAGGTAAAGACGAAGAATGCAAGTGAGGAGGAAAGATTAGGCCTCGTTAAGGGTGATTCACGCTCGATGCCCACGATACCTCGGTATGACGAGGATGATTACGACGAGGAGGAAGAAAGTGAAGACGGTTCATATTCGGACGATAAGAGGGCGGAGCGGTATGGTAGGGGCATAACCAATAGTCCGCCGAGAAGAAGCGACGAGAAAGAAACCGAGTACGAAGACTACGAGTCGAGAAGGTGGAATAGGGCTCGTAGCGATAGCGAAGATACAGCATACCGCAGTTCGCCACCACGACCACCAGGGCATAATCCGCCTCGAGGTAGAGACGGCGCCTTCATCTGAGGCCATGGTAAAAGATCATGAGATATGAGTGATGCTGCATCTATTCATTTTGTTTACTAGGTGGTTACACTTGCATACCTTGTTGGC